ATTGAGGCATTCGAGGTAGCTTATCGCAGAGGATGCGTACCCCTCTGCGCCTGGAAACTTCGTTAGTTACCCAGTCGAGAAGCGGATCTGTGGGTAGTCGAAGTAAACTGAGGAGTAACGTATTTCGCATAGAATCTACCTTACGAAGAAGCGTAACTGTGGAAAAGACCGCGGGCGAGGCCCAGAGCCACCTGCTACTCACATAGGTTTCAAATATGGATACCTTGGTGCACAAAGAAGATGCAGTAGCATCCATGATGAGTTTGAATGCAAAGAAGCTGCTTTGTGTTTTACGTAGGCAATGGAAAAGGGTGTCTTCACCCGTCACTTGGAACCCCAGGGGAACCCCTAGAAAAATGAAGGTCTCGGAGACACGGAGGGGGGTTACTGTGTTCATCCCCCAGATGCCATAGTGTTCGCCTATGGGGCCTTGCAGCACAGAACTTTTAGAGATATTAATATGAAGACCAATGGCTGCCAAAGCGCCCTGGACTCTGCGGAGTCTATGCTGAAGGTCTTGTGGGCAGGTCCCAAAAAGTAGGATGTCGTCAGCATATATAAGGAGAGCTGGGAAAGAAACCCCGCAAATGTTAACCGGAGCCACTTGTTGTAAGTCGCGGATAACAGAATCTAGTGTCCATGCAATAATTCTCGAAAAGAGCTCAGCGCTGTAAGATGTTCCTTGAAGTATGCCTTTGCCTAGTGATTGTTTCCAGGACTGCCCTCCTACCTCCAGTATAACTTCATTGTCAGTGGATAGATGCCAAAGTGCCAGGGCCTCTTTACAGGGAGCGAATTCCCGAAGATAATGAGCGATTGCCCTATGGGATAACGAATCGAATGCGGCTTTAATGTCGAGTTTTGCAAAACACAGGGGATTACTCGAGCGCTTGCTGACCGATATTGCGGCCCGCGCCGTGTTGATTCCATCCATAGCTTGTCTGCCCGGGTGGCAGCCTAATTGGAGGGGGTTGCATGCAGGAGCAAATTTACGAATTCTGTAGATTAGGATGCGACCGAAAAGCTTGGCCACGGTGCTGGTGAGACATATAGGACGCAAGTCAGCGGGACTAGTCGGGAGTTTGATTTTGGGTATGAAACTGATCCGTCCAGTTTTCCATTCTGGTGGGATGTTCCCTGTATACATAGTGTCATTCAGAAAACTGCAGAACGAATGCTTCAGATCTGTGAGCATCAATTGTCTGAGCAGGCTGTACGGAACACCGTCCTCACCGGTGCAAGTCTTGTTATCCAACTTACACAAATGTCTGGATATCTCCTCAAGGGTGATGGGTTCATAGCGGGCGTGACTGTGTTTGCGCAGAAGCTCTTCGACAATAGGGGAGATGGGGGTAACGTCCTCTTGCATATACTTAGATTGGTAAAACGACTTCACATCCATCTGTGCCTTAGTTGCTCCCCCTGCCCGTTGAAGGAAGCCCGCATCTGTCGCCGATGTGGCTGAGCTCCTCTTAAGGAACGATATGGCGGATCTGTCCCCTGCTTGAGCACGTTGCAAGAGTTCGGTTTTGTGCTCTAGCTTGGCTTGTTTGCGTGCTTCATGTATACATGCAACTAATTTAGAGCGTGCACTCGGGTCGGATGACTGTTTACGTTGGCGCATAAGTTCATGCACATGCAGAGGATCTTTATACCGAAGACTGGGGGGCTTAACAACAGCTTTATCCCTGAGTGCATACAAGGTTTCCAGGTCGAAGGCTTGGTGGCAGGAAGCAGCCGCTTCAAGCCGTCGCGGATCCGTATCCCAGACGCCACACAACGTCCTACGATATTGTGGTCTCGCTAAAGGGTCTTTCGCTGAGCAGTTCACTAGGAGGGCGTTGTGGTCGGAGGGAAGCCCTAGGCGCAAATCAGAACGGTTTTCAGTAGAAGTACACATCCCTAATCCACGGAAGAAAACAAAGTCAATCTTGGAGGAAGATCCCCTAGCAAACCATGTATTACCCTCGGTGGGAAGCATGCGCAGATCATGTTGTGCTATGACGGTTCTGAAGTGTGGCATGCCAGCGAAAGTATCATAATGCAATGTAAAGTCCTGGTTAAGATCAACTGAAAGAAGAACCAAGTCGTGAGGCCCTGCTACACGGAGGATGTCTGAAATTTCAGGGGTGCCTTTTTCCCATACTGTTTTGGCATCCTCACGTTTGGAGTGAGGTAGGTGGAAGGTACACAATAATATAGGTCGCCCGCCTGTTGGCTTAAGGTAGACGCCGAGACCAACCGAGGAAACATAGGTAGACTGCACGTACTCCGAAAAGGGGTGTCGAATGAGGATGCACACATGTCGAAAGCTTTGAGCTGAATCAACATGAAAGCAAGAGTATTTCTCGCTACCTGACCAAACCGTAAAGGAGAGTGCCGAATTAGGAGGAGTTTTTCCAAGTCCCCCAACTTCTTGCAGCAGAACAAAGTCTGGTGGATGAATTATTCCTTGCATAGTGTCTAGAACCTCTTGAACGGATTTACCACGAACATTCCAATGCACGGCCTGAGCATCGAAAACCGGCCTGCTTCGAGAGGCATGTTTAGCTGCCCCAGTTTCGCACGTGTCCCTGTCTCTGCCACCTTCCTACGCATCACAGGTCTGCATAACCTCGTCCACTCCACAGCCTAAAAGGCGAGCTACATGTGCCACATCTATGTACCAACCATTGTGCGACCCTCGTACATCAGAGAGTGGGTGGTGTTCAGCGGGCGGCGTGCGCTGTGCTGCATGAAAGAGTATATTCTCCCCGTCTAGGTAAACTCGTCCTTTCCATTCGAATTCCGTCCTAGATTCCGGCGACGCAAGCTTGTGCATGATTTCACGGGTGCGCAGAATACTACGTATCATTTGTCGATCCTCCGGTGATCGGTTCCTTTGGAACCACAAACGATTGCCCCCCTGGCCTTGGATTTTCGTCGCATAGGTGTCCTTGAGTACTTGTAATACTTGTGTCTGCATAGCTCGGCGTGCACTCAAGTCTGCAACAGGAGGGAAATTCAGTTCGATACGCACAATGTTTGAGCGCAAGTACGGCACATAGACTTCCTTGAGTACCTGAGGACCACCATGGGATGCGAAGAACTCGCGGACTTCCTGCTGTAGGTCTACCCGTTTAGCATTGGTAAACCCACCGATTACTATTTGTAAGTCATCGATCGGCTTGCCTCCGATACTGGAAGCAGTGGTGGACCCCAACCCACCACCCCTGGGAGTGTTGCCGCCCATACTGCGGGGGGTAGAGGGCGACGGGGGTCGGGACTTAAGCGCCGATAGCTCTCGTTCCAAGCGGGTAATCCGTCCCTCCGTCTCTGCATGCATCTTCTCATGTGCCTCAGTTCTAGTCTGTAGCGTGTTGATGCAGGCCGAGTTTGCTCTGGTAGCTTCCGTGCATGACGAGAGTTCGGAAATAAAACGGTCCTGTTGTGACACCAGCTTATGTAAGTCTGCCTGCAGCGAAGACAGCCACGGAGGGTTGCTTGGAAGTGCATGCTGAGGGTTGTCAGGCAGGGGCTGTGGGAGTTCATGGGTTGGTTCAGCTGCTGCCGGTTTAGCCTCACTCAAGCCTGGGGGACCCACAGTATCAGCACGGGCACTAGCATTTCTCCTAGGTCCTCTACGGGGAGAGGGCAAACCGGACTGTAGGTTACCTGCAAATTGCGGCGGGGCAAGGGTGGTAGGACCTGCGGGTTTACCGAAATCAGGAGACTCCGTATGCCTAGGGGGAGGAACAGGTGGGGCAGAAGAGAGGGGGGTGCTACCTGCAACAAATTCAGGAGGTCCTACTGACTTGCCATCAATATGATGAAGTTCGTCGTCATCTGCTTCATCATTGACCGTGAGATCAAATTCCGCAATGAAATCCGGGCTGGAGCGCTTCTTCTGGGGGGAGTCTAGGGGAGGCGGAAGGTTGGCTTCGTCTGCTGTCCTAGCTTTGTTGGTATCCACTACCATTGCAGCCATTTCATTAGGTGCCGGGAAGGTGAAAGTAGGATGACCATCCAATTCGCCTACGTGAACTGGTCCGCCTAATGCGGCCGTAAGAGCTTCTCTTGCAGCATCAATACTGTTCGGGGAAGCAGGCTGAGTGGCCTGAGAGTCGGGCCGACCTGAGCTTTCCGTATCTACAAAAGGGATAGGTTTACGATCGTCAACCCAGCCCATCTTTTGTTTCCAGTCCTCGAAGGGTTCAAGATGAGGTGGTTCAGCCCTGTTTGCCCCAGCAGCGACCCTTGCGTTAAGCCCGACAAAGCATCAGACATGGCTCAAGACAGGGACGAGACCAATCGCCAAAAGATCCCTCAATTCCGAAACAGAAGAAGAAAGACTCGCAGCGCACCCTTCACCGCAGTAACTACAGTAGAAGAGGCAAGCAGCAGCAGGCACAAGCAAGTCGTAAGTACTGGGGGAAGTACCAGGGACTGCCTACCCTGTAGCGGCCTCTACACCCACAGCGGAGCACGGCCTTGAGCCAAAATGGCTTGAGCCGTTCAGGGTTGCCGACTCTCAAGATGGATCAGCTAGCCAGTGGGAGGCATGAGGTTCGCCCCCTGCGAGTCACAGGCTCGAGGCCGACCCAGACATGCGAGGGCGCCGAAACATGATGATTGTTGGATGAAACTTCCAAGCTAGAGGTCAATGAGCCAAGGCGACTAAGAGGTACAGGCACCACAAGATTCTGGCATGAATATGTCCTAACCTACGTTTCTGGTGAATAAGGCCCTGATATTCGGGGTCCACCGACCACGGCTGGAAGTTTCCAAGCCGTTGATTGAACCTTGGGCCTGAGCTCTCTGGTGAGCTAGCGGGTTGCGACACACGAAGAAGTCCGTGCATGATGTTCCACTTCAAATAATACTAGTCACAGATATGGGCCTATACGTCGAAAACACCAGGTTTTTTCGTGCTATCACGAAAAAGGTTCTGCGGTGGCGCCCGGCACCCCACGAAATGCTCATGCAAGAAGTTGAAACCTTTGACCCTGTCGCCAGGATGCTCTGTGCGTCTGCCATGAGCTCCTCAGTTGCATCGAAGGAGGAGACACAAAGCTTGGGGCTACGTGCCTGATCCCTGAAACCCTATCAAGTCTAAAGTCCCAAATCCCTGGTACCAAATGTACGAAATCCGCCGAAGCCACAGGCCCAGGCGTCTTGGGGGTTACCTCAGGTTCTCCCTGCAGTCCGAAAGTTTGGAGACACCCTGTTTTTGCGTTGGTTTGCCACCCTTGCCCGGCTTCCATTCTTTTTACCTGATTTGAGAGGCCTCCCCACCCTCTCCCCCCTCCCCCCTCCTCCCCCCCCCCGCTCCCCCCCTCCCCCTCCCCTCCCTCCCCCGCCGTTCCCCTCCCCACCCTCCCAAGAGCAGGTTGGGGTTGAGAGGCTCCCCTAGCATGGTGTATACAACAATCACTGCCCCCTCGCCCTGCCGCTACAGAGCCGAGGCGGGCGGCGTAGCGTTAAAATTAGCGTGTGAGTAACATGCAGGGAGCCTGTCAGCTGAACCGCCCACTGCAAACATCCTGCTAGCGACAAACCGCAGGAGGTGCAAATATGCCTGTGGCAAGTCTGGCAACCAAGACGATAGCAAATGCGGTCCTTTCAGCCCCTTACTGCGTGGACACGCAGGTGAGATCTGAATAACACATACCTTACAAGCCTTCCATGTGCTGTGCATGGGCATGTTTTTGCAAGCCAAGCCCTTCAGCGAATCCCATGACTGAACCTGAAACACAGCAGTCTCTCTAAGCCCTGAAGCCTGCAAGACTCAACTCGGCGCGGCGACAGGTCACAAGGGTAAAGACACAAGAGCGAAGTCATAAGGTGGGCCCTGCAGTCTGCGGTGCTCGTTGAAGGTTTCTGGTAGCTGCCCCGCAAACATCTGGACTCTGTAATGGTACACAGTACTCAAAGGTCACTCATGCCTTTGGTGCTTTCCCAAGCTAAACGCAGAGGAACGAAAGTCACTGCATTAGTGTTTCCTGCATGTAAAGGCACAAGCGAGAGGCTCAAAGTCTGCTTAGATCGCGTCCTTTTCCCCCCAAACCCTGCCACCCAAGGGAACGACGGCGACAAAACCTTGGCAATCTAATGTAGGGGCCTTAAATTAGAATAGGAATTCGGGCCTATTATACTAATTATATGACTCTATTATGAAGAAAACTCTGTGCTCGACGCGCCTCAGCGCCCGAAGCTATACCCAAAGGCCCCAAAGTAGTTCCTTTTGGGGATTCATATATAGAATCCTGTAAGGTAAACCCAAAACGGAACTACTTTTGGGCCTCTGGGTAGAGGGCAGCCGAGGAGCGGTGCCGCCCTGTTGGAGCTCTTGGCCTCTTGCCATCAGATCCTGTTTCTGCTGGGGTCCAAATTACTAAACCCTATAAACCCTTTTGCATCCCTAAACCCATATAAACCCTAAACCCTATCACGGCTTTTTTTAGGGTTTGGCGCTCACACTCGGACACGAAGCAAGCTGATGGGTGTGCGGTAGTCGGTGGGTGCTGGCACACCGAGACACACTCTACAAGATGGCACCTGCAGCCGTGGCCAGTCCCAACCGAAATCTCAAACGTCTTAGCAACCCTTCCTTGACACTGTGCACCAATGTCCTCGCCACCCGTTTTGATATCCATAGCCTCACCCACGTGATCTTCCAGATGCGCAGCATAGAGAGTGTCCCCGCTTGCCGCCGCTTCCTCATGACGGGGCCGCATGGGGTTCCCTCCTTAAATTAAGCTTGTTCTCCAACAATCACGCAACCTACGTACTCATATTGCTTCAATTCAAGTGCGCGTAGCACGACCAGCAGCTCTGTCGACAGTTCTGGTATGTCAAAAAACAGCAACCCTGAAGCCTGTCCTCCTTGGCAATGTCCACTGCGCCAGTTTGGAACTCGGCGATGTGCGTATCGAGTATCACCTATCTCACATTCCAGGCTATGCAAGACAGACTTCGCTGTATAGGCGATCCCTGCGACTCGAAGCCTTCATCGACGACGACCGGCCTACTTGCAAACCCTGCCCGGCAAGTGTGTGTCGGCGGTTTGGGCCCCAAGTGTGTCAAGTCCGGTTGCCGCATAGGGTCCGCAAGCAACTTACGAGTAACATGTTCAATGCCCCGACTGTGCGTTGTCCAGCACTCGCTGAGATGTGACAGCTGCGCTTGCATCACATGGGTGGCCGACTGTGCAGAACGATTCTGCTGAGTAGGTATCAGGAACTCGTAAGACAGCAAGTGCCAAACATACTGGTCAGCCGTGTAAACTCAAACCGTAACCGCAGACCAAATTAAATCCCGGAACCTCAACCCATAAACCTGTACTCTGTAAAAGCCTAAAATGTACGATATATCACATCTAAGATGTATTAGTAGTCTATGATATACTGAAGCTCCCAACATCCAAGTTTCAACCAGGCCTTAGTTGAGGGTTGAGTTTAGAGTTTAGGGGTGTAGGGTTTCGGGGTTGATGGTTTCTTCCCCCTCCTACTTCGCTAGGGCGAGCCCGCATTGCAGGGTGGCTTGGTTGAACAGTTGACGACAGCCTTCTCAACATTTTGTTTAGGGGTTTGGGGTCTAGTTAATTCATTGCTTAGGGGTGTAGGGTCTAGGGGTTTACGCTCTCGCAACTCGGACAAGCCTGGGTCTAGGGGCTTAGGGCTTTAGGGTTTTACATTCTCGCAACTCGACTCGCCAGACGTTTAGAGGTTCAGGGTTTCGGCGCTCACGCTCGGGCATGAGGGCTTTACGCTCTCGCAACTCGGACATGCCTGATGAGGTCTCGGTCTCCGCAAGCACTTTGACTGTGTCGCACTAGAAACTGATCAAGATTAGGGCTTTAGGGTTCTAGGTTTTAGGGCCAAACCTGGAAGTCTCCCCGGCGCCTGCGAGTCAGCACTGAAGGATTGCCAACCCGCCTTTGCTGGCTCGCCTTGTCTTTCTGTGCTGCTGCATATATAGATCTCCTTATACATGTATGCATCTGTGTGTGCATGTGTATGTATGTCTATGTATATATATATATATATATCTATCTATACTGCTCATCTCATCCGCGCTAACCAGGGCTGGGGCAGTGGGAGAAGGCCAACAGTGGCCGGGCGGTGCATGGAATGAGTCGGGCTTTGCGCACACGAGTTTACTAACGATAGGAGTCGTGCAACAGAACGGCAAATGCACGGATGTCAGCTTTCAGTTCATGTCCTGAAATACTTTCGACAGGGCACCTTTCAAAGCATCCAGCGGCCAAGTGGGATCGGATGTCCATCTTGCCCAATTGCGGTGAATGCCCCATATCCTTGTGCGAGTTGTTGTGCTGCATCACGAATACCAAACTGGTATTCAGCTAAGATAAACAACTTCTACGTTTATCCTTCCATCCATCCTTGAAGCCAGTTACATGCATAGATTTATGCATGGATGTACGCGTGCATGTGCGTATGCATGCATGCATGCATGCACTGTACATGTATGTAAAGAACATGTGAACGAATGTATGTGTATATATATATATACACAGGTATTATGAGTGTGTTGAGTGATAGGTACATGTCTGTGCAAATGTATTTGCACATGCATGTGTATACAAGCAATAAATGCATGAATGTGTGTGTGTATACACATGCATGTATACACAAGCAGATTTATGTATAAGGTCGGAGTCCGACCTACTCAGCGAAGCAATGCATAGCACGCACAAGGCAGGCAAGGCTCCATAGCGCGTCCGCCCTCACACTGGACTCTGCTAAACGAGCGGTTTGGGTTAAGAGATTAGGGATTGCATTCCCCGTGGTACAGATACAGATTACTTATCAACTTCCTCCAACGACTGTCAAAATTCGTTGGCCCTTGGATTCACTATATATATATATATATATATATATATATAGATACTGGTCGGCTGCGAGGGTCTGTAGGGCGTCGTGCGCCACCAGCATGCCTTTGCGCTTCAGCTTCTTCATCCTGGAAGGCTTTTCTGGTGACTTGGCAGCAATGTCAGAATTCCGGGGTGTACCGGAGCTTGGGAAGGATACTGCGATGCAGGTACAGCAGCTTTGTGTCCACGGAGAGCTCTAGTTATGGGTTGGAAGCAGTCACTGCTCGATTGCTTGAGGTCTGACAAGATTGAAGGAGTTGAAGCTGAAGCTGCTCCCCGATCGTCCGAATTCTTTCAGGGAGTGTATAAAAAGTTGATGAAATTTTACAGGCTGGGTTAGTTCGGGATATGGATCTTATCCTTTTCGGCCTCAAACTCCCTCTATCTGACTCTATCTGTGCATAGACACCCACGCTTCAACTCTGGCAAGGTTCACCTTGCAAAGCTGGGTAGATTCTGTGGTGCTGACCTTTCAGGCAAGGATTTGGCGGGTCTTTCCACAAAGCATTAAGAAGGCAGCCTTCCTGTTTCCCATCCCAGCCAGCCCTTGCAAGGGCTGGGGGACTTACACTTTTGCGGCAAAGGGGCCCCTTCGTTCGCTGCACCGTTTCATCAAGCTGCTGTCGGTACTGCTCCTGCATTGTTGCAAGCGCGAGCGCAGAAACGGACTGTCGGCACAAATCTCAAATGAGTCCCTGAAAGATCTGATGTGAATATGCATATACGGTGCAACGGACTGCCATGCTTCGGAGACTTCAGACCCGCCCCACCAAAATCATCGCCACCTATATGGCAACACGTACGCAACAGTCTGTCTCGATCTCTCCACGTCTCTCGGTCAAGGGGCTTGGCAACCCCTGCTTGCGTGCCCGCACCGGTCCCTGCGTTCGGATTGACACTCCCTCCCTTGCAGGACCGAAGCGCCGTCTTCTAAACTGTGATATATCCCCCGTGTACTTAGAAACTCTAGTTTAAAGCCACCAGGCCTCGTCCCACACTGGCTTCCGGTCTGTGCCGGGCCGTTCTCCAAAGCACTGCTTGATGCTTCGGAGCTCGTGGCATGCCCCATTTTGAAGGCTGCCAGTGGGAAAACACTGTGTCCTCTTCTTCAGCACGGCCAGGGGAGCGTCACTCAGTGTCCTCTCTTTCTTACTTTCGCCAGGGCTATGGTGCAGGGGCTTCTCCCCCTCACAGCGCGCGCTCACTCTCACTCCCTCTCTCTCTCTTCCTTCCTTCTCCCTTCCCTGCGATTCTGGGATGATGTGGTTCTGCAGACACAAGCTCGAAACCAAAACCGCTGAGCCTTAACGCCGTGCCTCCTTACGAGCCGAAGCTGGGGCTTGGTAGCGCGATCGGGCAAACACCTCGACGACCGGCGGCTTCCATCCAACGGAAGCATCTTGGCTTGCTCTTCTTCTTCTGTACCACCCGTCCCAAGCACCTCCCGTCGCGATCGCCACCATCATCATCGTCATCCTCATAGCCATGTTCATCTAGTGGTATTTTCGGCGCGGTGACACCCAGGGCCCTGGCAAGTACCCGACAGGCGTCCAAGAAGCCCTTGCAAGGTTTCCGAAGTTCACAAGCCGACCACCTACCCCGACTGAGAGTACGGGTTACAAGACATGCTGCAGTGCAGGCGTCTCTTTGCGTCGTCCTGCTTTGCCTTCAGCTTTCGGCTCTCCCTTAGGCGGGAGTTGTTGAAGCTGCAAGTGTTCTTGTAATTTTCTTGCGGGATGTGCGTATAAGAATCCGACTGAGTTCTTGGGCCCTACCCTACCGGACGATCTTTTTCTTGCTGCTTCTACACATGTTCGAGCTTGAAGGTGGGTCGATCTGCGACAAACTGCTCTCGGAAGTATTTCTGCACAAGCTTCAACAAGTTGAACTTCATCTATATACCTGGGCTATATTCTGAAACCAATGCTTTTCTGAAAAGAGCAATCGGACGAGTATAGTTATGGACCGAGGATTCTCGGCGAACACCAAACCTTCAATACAATCTGAGAAAGCTGGAAACAAACCTGTTTGCGAACAAATGTCTGGAACAACACGACCTCATGCCCCACGCAGTCTCGGTACTCTTGCAGCGTGCTGGCGTTTTCCTGAGCATTCTACATGGAGTTCCAAGAATTCAGAATTGCTAGTGGGTGACACTTTTGGGAGTAAGCAGTGGGCACATATCTCGGATGTCACAGGTTGGGTGTTCGGGAGACGCCCGAATCAGACCTCTTCAGAACGTCGGAAACTGATGTAGGAAGATTGTGGCACAGGAAACAGGGTCATTGCTTCGGAGACTTTCAGTCCCAAGTTGTGTGCCCGGACTTGCCCAGCTCTGAAAAAGCCTGTGCTCCTGTCGCTCCGAAGTATTCTAGTGTCTCAACTTTGTTTGCTGTCAGATCGGTCCATTGAGCTTGAGCTTGGTGAAGATGCTGTGTTTCTTCTCCGGACACTCGTTGCATGTGCGCGTGGTGGTGAATCAACATTCATCACGAGCCAACTGACGTTTTGCCCACATACCAGTACTACAATGGAGCCTCCAGCCTGCATACTGTCATAGCTCAGTATCGCCGCAAGCATCGCATCGCAAGCTTGGAAGAAGCTCGCAGATCTTGGCCTGGCATGCAGACGAGATCTTGCGAGAGGTTTCGGCCCAGGGTCCCGAAGTAAACTGGGAGCTCGTCTAGATCAATTCCTCAAAGAATGTGTGGAGAACGACACCTCGTCCACCAGCGACACAACTAGCGGTCTAGCGGTCACGCCGATGCAGAGGCAAAGGTTGAAGCCAACGAGGAAGTGGAGGCACAACACGGCTGAATCAGAAAAGGATGGTTGTAAGTGTGGATAGTTGGCAGCCATGGACAGTGGACAACCCTCACAGACTGTCAAGCCCAACATGAACCTACGAGGGTCTGAGATGTAGTCCTTAGAAGTGGCCATATCTGAGACTTGCACGCGAGTGAACGCATCCATGGAGTCCTTAGCTTTCGCACACAAAACTCCAAAGTGCAGCCCCAAGGCTTGTCGTACATGAACGAGACTGATGTCATGATGATAACTTTGTGGCCAGTGTCCACGTCCATCTCGTCAATCTCCCAAGACTCTGCGACGAGGCCCTCGTCGTCAGTGTCCGAACCTCATGGAAATCACGATTTATTGGCTTGGAAACATCAGCCACACTGCCCGATTTGTCCGTCATTACGGGAGGAGCAGATTCCCTCTTTGGAGTTGCTGCTGCTCTCGGACACATGCTGTACAAGTCTGGAGGCGAAACAGCAGCTTTAACAAACAATGTTTTGGTTGTCGTGGTATAAAGATGGGCTGAAATCTCTCATTGAGGCAAGGCTGCCAGCTGCATCCGTGCTGAAGGATTCAACCAACTCGGCTGTGTCGTTCTCAGGCTCATCTGCCAGCATGTCTCGCGGATCGACACCTTCCATGGGAAGCTCATTATCCCAGACGTGCTTCGGACAAAATGCAGACTCTCCAGCTGATCGTCTCAAGGGAGAGGGAATTTGATCGTCAACTTGGTGCTCCTTTGTTGCTAGCAACGAGTTTCAGCCGAGATTCCCACTTCTTCCGCTTCCTCACAGAGGCGTAAGCTCGACTCAGGATTCACGGCCAGCGGCCGGTTTGCAGACGGGAAAGAGTTACGACTCTTACAAGGATTCACGGCGGCTGGTTGCAAAACTGGAAGGTCACAAGTCAGCCTCAGCAGTTCCGGTTGTGTTTCAAGGACGAAGCTACAAGTAGCTCCACGTTCACCAGGACAGTCAAACAGTCAAAGAGGCTTTTATTCGGACGAAGTTTCCCTGCTCCTGGATAAGAAGGCTTATCCGATTGTGGGGCACACACATAAGCTGTCGCGGATCTCTGCCTTAGCCCCGTCCACCATCTTCTCGACGGCAATCATGTGCTCCACGATTTTGCCTTCGGTCTTCTTCAGCATCTTGTCGTCCCCACGCCTCACGGCAAGACAGGCGCGTCACAAGCAACCCCACGCCCTGGTGCCCGGGCTTGGATTCCTTACACCGAATTGCGAAACCAAAACAACACCCGGAATGGCCAGAGTCTAGGAGACTGAAAGCCTAGAAACAAACGCTAATCGAAATCACACTGCCGTGCTGCTTTCGTGCGAGCTTGGCGATGCCCTCGGCCAAACGCCCGACCTCCTCACCCGGGTCTGGAATGTCCTGAGATGCGTTGGTGAAAGGCCTTGTTGTTACCATTCGGTGTGCTTCTAGCTTCTGGTGTTTATGCGGTAAATCAAAACTATAATCCCATGACTTAATTGCTGCCTGTGTATTGCAACATACATGTCCGCATTAACAAATAAGAGGGGGACAATGGTACGCAACCCATGTATGCTGAACATATGCCTGCATGCGAAGCAACATAAAGATGAACTTCTGCATGTGCTTTACATGCATACCTGCTGCTATCCAGTTGCGGGTACTGCTCGAACAAGAAAAATGATGCACCTAATTATGTATGGGCTGTATTTCACCGGTATTTCCAGTGCCGTGGGCGTGGACATTTGAGTGGGTGTTCGGCTTTACCGAGTCACTACTGAGTCACTATTGTCTTGTCATGCGAGACGGTGAGCTGAGGCAATAATGTTGACTTGCTTTTAATTAAGCCCCCTTGAATTAGAAAACCCTACCCCCGGAACTCAATTATAATCCCCCTCATTTACGAAACCCCTAGCCGCGAACATATTTTTTTTGTGTACTTCTTGTTCTGTGTTGTTTGTTTTGTAGCAGGGAGAGAGAGAAAAGACAGCTACTACGACCGCTTCAGCAGTACCGAGAGAGAGGGAGAGACTGCAGCTACTACGACCGCTTCAGCAGTGCAGAGAGAGAGAGCGAGAAACTGCAGGTTACTACGACCGCTTCAGCAGCGCAGAGAGAGAGCGAGAAACTGCAGCTACTACGACCGCTTCTGCCGTGCAGAGAGAACTGTACTGCTACTATTCAGCATGCTCCACTGCCCACTGTACTCTGAAGCTGCCATAAGTTCTAATGGTAATTTTACGGAATAACATTCGCCATGAGTGTAGTAAGCAAAATCAGGACTACTATTACACAATCTCTTCGGGAAGGATCCACTCCCGGAAGACTTCTCTTCGACACCTTCCCTGGAAACATGGCAGCAATCGCAAAAAGGAGCCACCATTACAGTTGCCGCGGCTCTTGCTAGCGCTTTAGCTGCTACGTCGGTGGCCACTGCCGCTTCACCCTATAGCCTATAACCCTAAACTGGCTTCACCTCCACGCGCGAGCTTCTGAGGATGACAGCCCTCTGATGCTGGCAAACAGGATGGTTGAGGGTTTGTGCTCTCACAACTCGGACAAGCCAGGCGAGGTCTCTCGGCTTGCAGCCGGACAGAAGCGCATGCAGCACCTATCCAAGCAAAGTGTTGCAAAGCTACCTGCACCTGTCGCCTCCTTGTACCTACCCATAGCCGTGGAAGTACATGACAAGAGTAAGCGTCCAAGGCCCGAAGGGACTGTGGGCATGGCAAACGAGTACACACGGACGCAACTCAAACAAGCTGTAGTTGCAGCAGTTCTTGTGCCGAGTAAAAGCTTGCAGGAACACCGTGTGTGGACATGGTTCAAATCCGAGGAGCACTACGATTGATGGATCCGTCGTCGTAGACTAGTGGGTCTCCTGTCCTGAGCACCGATTTGTCGATGGCTGCGCACCAACTGTCGAACGGCCCAGCTTACGTACGTGACACATCTCTGCAAGTACCAAGACCTGGCAGATGAAGGTGATAGAAACAGCAGAATAACGAAGGTGACAGCCCACCTCAAGTCCTGACGACGAAACCTCCATACCAATGCCGTATTCACGACTTGAAGGAGGTCCCAGCGACTTGGCCAAGCTCTGCTGGATGGCCTTGTCACTGGATTTCACCTGGAAGAGTGGGCTGCAACGGTTTCTGGACCCCCTCACCCAAACGGTTTTGACAGGCCCCCCCCTGAATATACATTAACCGGCCGGGGGGAATGTATAATATTAGGGGGTTGGCAGGGTTCTCGTTTGCGACAGTTTTCGAGGTTCTCACAACTTCACACTGGCTTCACATGCACTCGTTCACACTGGCTTCACATGCACTGCTCATGCACTCGACACTCAATCGACATTCTTTCCACCCCGGTTGGCGCCGCTCTGTCTTCGCACTGTGTTTGTCAGTGGCCCCAAAGCCATCCCAAGCCATTAGGAGCTGCCAGCTAGCTACTTGGCAGCAGTACCCAGCAGCTCCGGCGCTATACGGTGGATGGCCGCCGTGCCTAGATCATGCCTAGGGGTCGTGGAGGGTTGTCAGGGAATGCTCGTGTACTCCTGGGAGTCAGCCAAAGCTGAAATGTATAAAAACAGGAGGATTGGTAGCCAGACCCCCCCAAATATACATTACGTGTGTCCGGTTCTCGGTGGATGCGCCGGGCAGTAGTCTTGCTGCAGTAGCCGTCTATGAGTATCTGAGGTATTCTGTTTGTTGAGTGTTTGTTGCGAGCATCCTCGTGGTGTCCTTATGCATTCCCGGGAGTGAGCCAGGGCTGAAATGTATATAAATAGGGGGATTGGTAGCCAGACCCCCCCAAATATACATTACGTGTGCCCGGCTCTCGGTGAATGAACCGGGCAGTAGTGGGACTAACCCATCTGGAACAAATCAGAAATCTTGCTTCATGACAACATGTGAAGGACTTGTGAAGGGTTCTGACACTTTACACACACACACTTTGCTTTGTGCTGCATTCGGGCTTCAGTACAGCATGCCCGGCAACCGGCAGAAATGTATATCAGCCCCCCTCGAAATCGAATTATCTGGCCCGGGCCAGAGAAATGTATTTCTTCAAATGCTGTACCCCCCCCCCCCCCCCGATATACATTCTTAGGCGTGGCCCTGTTTCTGGGCACCTTTTCCCCTACACTTTACGGAAGCAGACTACATAGGCCTTGCCAAGCGGACTATGCACAAGCGGGTGCCTGGCTTTGGCAAGCAAAAGCCGTGGCTTTCCGGAAACCACATCGTTTGCGACACCAGAAGTTAGGCTGTTTGCACAACCGCCCATGCGAAGGCCTCGTTGACCAGGTCCACCATCTGTTTCGACACCTTTGACTTCATTCTTGCAGGATCCGTTCACGGGTTTTGGGCAAAGAACGGGGGTGTTATTTCATTCTGAAGACACACCAGCTTGAATCTACATCCCCTTTGGAGGAGCAAGAGAAGATACAACGTGGCGAGCGAGTGCGCTGGAGTTTTCTGTTTTTGCAAGAGTATAGTCACGGTATAGTCATTGTCTCAGTGGTCAATTTGCGGAGACTGTTGCTACCAGAACTTTCATCAGAAAGCACCACTCTCCCATCATCATAGCTGCTTCAGACTTGCAGGCTTTCCTGAGAAACTCGCGCTTCACCTTCCCAGTCACAGGCTTGGCTGAGTTGTTTTGCCTCTAGCCTTTGCACTCTGTACCTCCGCAATTCCTCCTTGCACAAGCCTCTTGATTCAGCTCTTCGCCTGCAGGGCGTGCTGAATCATCTTGGGATCCTTCGGGGCCTTGGCAAATTCATCCGCTGTGGCCTGCGCAGGAAGAGAAAATTAGAGAATTGGCTATGTAAAAGGACATAAGACCTTGACATTAACCGGCTACAAACCAGGCACGCCCCATCATCTCAAACTTAGATCGCGCACTGCAGGAAGCAAACCTCCTTTCTTCAGCCCGGAACCAGTCGGGTTCGAAGGCTCCCTGATTTAATCCCGAAACTCAAAGCATGGGGAGCGACAAGATTTCGCAATCGCAAGTTGCCAGAGATCGGGGTAGAGGAAGGCCGGCGGCCTGCCCTGCTAACATGTCTAAACAATCGCCCCAAGTTTCGCCACAGTTTCCGTAAGACGAGCATTGGCTACAACAAAAGACTTGCGCTCCATGGTCTCTACCTGTAGACTTCGGAGGTGTCCGCCTTGGGCCCCGGAAGCCTTGTAAATTGAGAGGAACTTTCTGTGCAGCCTCGGTGGTGTGAAGCATCTCCACCAGCTCATCTCCCTGATTGGTCCTTGCTCTCTGGGCGTAGTCACGTCGTAGTCTTTGGCAGTTTAAACACGGCTCAACGGCTTTGATTTATGGACGGCTCAAGGGTTTTATAGTTTGGCCTGCGAGGGGTCTGTGGTGGGGACTTTGTGCACCCCTTGGGTCTTAGTAAGTGGTCGTAGCAGTACAGTAGGCCCGCAGACTTCAGGGCACGCTCTGTGAGGTTTTGAGTCCCCAGCGTGCGCTGAGAGCAAGGCCTTCAGGAGTCTAAGGCCTGAATGCGCTGTAGGGCTTGAATTATAAGTATTATGCTCACAGAGTCGATACGCATCTATTCGGCAACAGCAAGTGTCGTTGAAACCTGCCTAATGTCGTCTTCAGGTCTGCCATCCAAGTTGACATGATTCGGCGGCAAGTGATTGCCGGATCGGGCTCAAATTGCAAAACCTGGCTCGTTGATAAACGCTGGCCTTGAGGAGGCTGTAGAAGAAGCGGAGCAGCGACCACAAGCTAACTACCGCAAGCCAGATGAAAACAAAAAGGTAGCCAGAATCCAGAATCCAATATCACGCTCAGAACAAATTGACATAACGCAGAGGCCTATACCTTACAAAGCATACCTAGCACTCTTTGCCTGCTGGGACTGGTCTGCGCCAAAGCGGCAAGAGCTCTGTCAGCGCTACGGTGCTTCGCCGAAGCCGGCCCGTTGCGGCCTGCAGCTGCACGCGAGCCTGCTGCATTCTTGTGTTGGTTGTCTTCATGCGCAAGCATTTTCTGCTGTTCTGACTGAAAAAGATACGAAGACAATCAATCGTCGTCGTAGCAGCAGCAGTAGTAGAAGCAAAAGCAGTAGCAGTAGTAGTACTAGTGGTAGTAGCAGCAGTAGCAATAGCAGCAGCACTACATAATTAGTAGCAGTCGCAATTAGTAGATGTCGTTGTAGCAGCAAGAGCAATGGCAGCAGCTTGCTACCGCTTGTTGCTTACACCTGCTCCTTCTTCAACCCCTGCTCCCACAACATCTTCAACAACCATACAGTCCCAACGCAGCGTTACCTGAACATTCTACTATTCCAGACCCCCCAACACCAAATCGTGAGAGGTGTTGACGAGAGGTTTCCAGATTCCGATAGAATCCCCAAACACGGCTTGGGGGCTTCTTGTTGTTATGCCGATTGCAGATTATGGTCATTGCGAGAGATGTTCATACCATGAGCTTCCAGCTAATGACGGCCCCCCTTCTCCATTTCATAAACTGCATTTCTCGAAAAGCCTCATCTGCGTGGGATGGGCCACGTGCCCACCTACTCGATCTTTTAGGTTGCCTTGGTCTTGCAGTCCAAATTGGCGGGTCCTCCTGATCCACCAAGTGTAGGGATTGTTGGGCATGAGTCACTTGCCTGCAGTTGCGAGGCCGTTGCAGAAGAAGCCTCCTGCAACAAGCTCGTGTCCAGTTCAAGTCAGCCCCTGCTCGAAAACAAAGATGCCTCGTATGCACATCGACTTGGTGCTGTGCTTTGCCCTGGAGTGCCTGCCGTGGAAGCTGACTCAAGGGGAAACCGCTGAAGGCCTGACAGAAAACCCTGTACATGGGTTCCGCCCCTCACATTCGCACAGCCCAACGCATCTTTTAAAGTCAGAAGAACAGGCGTCGTCCGAGGCAAAGGAGAGACGCACCAGCGGGCTGTTGTTCTTGTTCTTTCTAATTTGTGGGGCCGGCCACACGCAACAACATCAAATGGCATTCTGCCACCTTTTATGGCAAATTCAGTCCCACTCCTGCAGCATGAAACACAATCAATTGAATTCGTACGGCTTCTGGAAGCTGAGCTTCGACTTAGCCGAGGTCTACGAGCCTGAAACGAAGACACGCGAAGACCTTGACACCAAAAGTTTTCACATATCTTCACACCCGGAGTGACTAAACCCTAGGCAATGCTTGTGCCATGCCTGGCGTTCTTGGGTGTGCCCTGTGGAAGCTCCTCTATGTTACCGGGCACATAAGAAGCACAAAATCATAGAATTACTGATGATCTTAGGCATGGCTCTGCTTAGTCTGATTTGTACATACACATGCGTAATGTAACATCGCACAGCATGAACATAAGCACAACACGTCCACCCATCCCTTCATCCATGCAGCCACGCGTGCATCCAGGATCGCGCATGATCAACATGCTCATACATACATATATAGGTGTACATGCGCGCATCCATACATACATCCTGGTCACTTGCAACACACACACACACACACCTACACACACATATATATATATATATATATGCCTGCATGGACGTACGGCAACATCCCTGAAATCGCACAGGCTCCTCTGCGAAGAGCGCCTGCAGCAGCGAGCTGCTGAGAGGAGTGCGGCCCTGGGATCATGCGTGGGGCGCAAGATACGCCATTCAGTAGCCAACCCACAAACCGTGAACGGCAACCACAATACAATGATTCAAGTAGTATTATTTTTACATAAACAGATCAGGCAATAACGCAAACACAGCGACCAACCGGACTCACATGGACTCACCACGGCCAGCAGCAGCACCAGCACACGAAGTAGCAATAGCAGATAGAGGCAGCACGGGCAAACGCCACATCATGAGCACGACACCACTGCGACAAGCAAATGACAGAACAACAAAATCAATTCCCGACACCAGACAGCTGCCGGCTCTGAACACAAATAATAATAACACTAGGCGACAGTTCGAACAAGAATAAGAGCACCAGCCACAAAAAAACACAAACGACAATTACATAAATGCACTCATGAAGTGTCACTGCTAGCAAACACTGGCAGCAACCACATAGTAAACAGGAATCTGCTTCAACGACAAACTATGCGATCACGAAGTCGTCAGCATCGTCATCACCATCAGAACCATTACCGCTACAACCAAGACACGGCGCCGACCAACCAACACCGAAAAACATGCGCACTCTCTAACCCACCCCCGTCCGATCCCACCCACACACACACACACTCTGGGTCAAACCAACCAGCAGAACCACCGCAGCCAGCACGCCGGCATCCTCATCGCCGCGGTCTTCAATGAAAGCCAAGATTTCACGGATTCACCACAGCGACAGCAGATGACAGCAGCAAGAAGAACAACATCCATATCGGAGACGATGGCAACAGTAACAGCAGCTTCAAGAGCAAAAACAACAACATTAACGACAACGACGACGACGACGAAGAAGCGGACAACGATCCCGAGAACCGGCGCCGACAACAACACCACTCTGAGCGGCAACAACGTGACCAACACCGCACAAACACGCCGACAACAACACCGCAACCGAGCCCGTAGTCAACATCACAACAAGAACGAGCAACTCAACTGGCATCTACATCACCAGCAGCACCACCACAACAAGTTCAAGGACATCGACGACGACGGCAACGACCACACAAACACCCGCCCAACAGCAGCATGCTAACTTGTGGTCGAAGCTTGAAATGCCGGCGACACCAGCAGAAGAAGCAGCAGGGGCAGTCGCATTGGCCCGACGACATCAGTGTCTTAGCCTCAGTCCTGGACAGACAAACACCTGGTGACCTAGTCAACCTTGTTCTGTGCCGGGATGCGAATGCGAGCAGCTCGCTATCGCTGCTCTCGTCTTCGTGCTCGGCTCTGTCTAAGCTCGCTGCCTGCACATGAACCACACCATGTCAGCCGAAGCAATAGCTCCACACAGCGACAGCCCTGCATTTGTGCCCATTGGATAGGAACCCGATGCTCGTTGTCGCTACTACGCTCGTCTCCCAACCAACATACAACCCCAGCACACTTTCCATGTTTCAGTGGCACTACTTGCCTTTTGCTGCTTGCCGCAGCTCGGGAGAGCGGGAGTTCGGTGTGGCACCATCTTAAGATGTAGCTGGCAGTTCGGAGTATGTCTATATGTATATGTGCATGCAAACAGTTGTATGAATGTGTATGCAGATATCTATGTGTATATATATATATATATGTATATATATATAATACATACCGTATATGTGTCTCTGCAGGTATGGGCCTGCACGGCGTGTGTATGTATGTATGGATGTATGCATGGATGCATGGGTGCATTGGTGCAAGTTCGCATCCATGCATCTATGCAAGCAGGCAGGTAAGTGCGCAAATAAATGAACATGTGTGTATGCACAAATATATGCGTGTATTTGTGTTACTGCATAGCCGTATTTTGAGTTCCTGGGTAACACCGTATAGGTACGTACGCTACGAACACACATCCATGCATATATGCACGCATGCACATACTCACACACACATATGTATACATATATATATATATATATATGTACACTCATTTTAAATATGAATATATACCATGCATACATAGACGTAAACACAAACCTACATTCATACCTAGATACACACATACATACTTACATACGTCCATGCATACACACGTACATACATACATAGACACACACACACACACACACACGACCTTTCACACATGCATGCGTACATGTGTACCATGTGTACAGTCTTGGGTGCCGGTGACTCCCATTGGGACGCATGAACAAAGACTTTAGGTACACAAGTTGTGTACAAACATACAACCATCTCAAGCCTCATAAACATAGAAAACGGACAGCAAGCGATAACATGCTGGCAGGCAGATCCCCAACAAACAAGCATATCGGCCTGGCAACTGACCGACTCAACAGTTCTCCGTTAATGCATGAGGATCATTCAATGGACCCGCTGATATACGTGCGGTCGGATGCCTGGTGGCCGGCAGGCCGGAGACAAGTGGGAACGGCAGTCCAAAACAGAACAAGCTGGCCAAGCAATTCGATTAATCCACGCTACTCCGTGAGCACAAACTTGGCGGACTCCTGCCTGCGCGTCGGTGTAGGAGTCTCTCAAAGCAGAAATGCCGCAGTCGGACCAGATGACCAAGTGCAGCAGAAGCCAAGCTCTTCGCCTGGAGAAAACAGACTGGCTTCGTGAGCGCAGTGCCCGGCTCCAGCTCAAGCTTGAAGACTCGAGCTGCCTTGATGTGCACACCCGGACCTCTTCGGATCACCATGCCACTCCAGAGTATTGTTGCTTCAAGTTTGAACTGCGAGCGCAAGGTCACTTGCAAAGTCTACTACGGGCTGAATCGTGGTCTCAGAACCCTACCGCACGAGGCTTCCGAAGCTACCTTTTGCAGGACCTTCCAATCCCTTCACCAAAAAAATCTGTGTCCGGAGTGCCGCAATCAATTAAATGCCCTGGCACCTCAATTCCTTACTTTCCGGCCCTGCCCCGTTACCTACGAGCCATTGAGGCAAGCACGCTAGCAAGTCCAAAACCCAACCAGAAACCGGACCTCCGCCATGTCTGGGCCATGGATCTTTGGCACGCACTGGGGCAAGCAAGCCCCTTCAACTCTCCAGGCCTGCAAACCTCGCTATGTGTTTGAGGTTTGGCTACTACTCTGCTGAGCCAGGCCTAAACCCGGGGTTGAAGAACTCATTGAATACGGGACACGATGACCGCCTTCTCAAGGCTAGTGACTTAGCGGGCGGGTCAGTGTAAAGTAAGTAAGTTTCAAGCCCGCTTTACAAGTGGTAAAGTGGAGATACAAGGCACGGGATTTGGGGCTTATCTCTTTGGAGGGTTGGGGCTTTCAAGTTCTGCAAACAACGAAATGCTACGGCTCCAAAGCCGTGGCGAAAACCACCGGCTCGAGCCCTGCCAGGGAGTCGCCAGCAAAGCGTTGCACATGCAACAGGACATCGTAAATATCTGTGAAGGGTCGCCGTGTGGACGATCGAAGCACACCAGCTCAACCACAACGAGACAAACTTCAGCAGCTCTGCACTGCGGTCGCTACCTAATGGCAAGTTTCTTCATGCTATGCCAACGGCTCTCCGTGTTGTGCGGCACTGATACAGCTGGTGCTGTCGCACAACGACAGGTCGGACGGACTCTGATTTCACCCGCCGTGCGATCGAGCTGAAAGCACGAAAGCCCCAGGATGACCACGCTTCTTGATGCCAGAAACAGCAGTGCACTTCTTTAAGGTTCGACACCACCCATGTACAGGAATACATGCATGCATGCATCCATCCATGCAAACATTAATACAAACCTACGTACATACGTACATACCTACCCACCTACCTACCGACCTGCTACCTATCTGTTACATACATACTTACCTAAGCAAAAAACATTCATATACTTATATACATATATATATATATATACATATGTGTGTGTTCTATGTGTGTATGTATGCATAGTACAGTAAAGTATAGTGCAGCACAGTCTATTATATAGTATGGTATAGTATAGTATAGTATAGTATAATATCGTATAGTACAGTTTTACGTATGTAAACATGTGTACATATGGTGCAAACATATGTGTGCATATATGTATATGCATACACACACACACACATTGCGTGCGTGCTTATATGTATATATATAGACATATATGTGTGCATACAAAGCCATTTATAAAGACGCACATACAGACTATCTGACTGCTTTCAGTCTAGTCGTAAACGGTACCAACTAGCACAGACCGTCGACACCCTTCCTTGTACGATGCTTCCGAAATGGCCAGTGCCATCAACATAATGTGCTTGGCACGTCGTCGCTTGAAGCACAGGTAGGAAGCAACCGACGAACCCCAAGCCCCATCCTTGACTCAATACCATACAGCCGATATTGCTGAGAAGAGATATCAACCATATTATATGCACACACCTATAGCACATAGTATGCTTTCCATCCTTTTCTCTGGACCCCGCTCCGGCTGCCCACATCTCTGCTAGGTCGTCATTTGCAGGCGCTCTGCGAGGCCTGCAGAGGAAACGGTCCCCAAACCGCCCAAACCCTGCTTCTTGTTCAACCCCATTGTTTGTTCACCGAGGGTTGCAAGGCTAGAGCTTCAAATCCAAAGGGTTCGACCACTTTGTTTTGTCTATAGGCTTCAATGTACCAATGCACCAGAGACATCCGGAGATTGGTCGAACCGACTGTAGCTTCCAATCTACAAGATAGTCAAGGCGTGTGGTCCGAGGATACCAAAACGTGACATTGCACCAACAAGACATGTGTAGGATGTAGAAATTTGACATGCGCGTGGTTGGCTGGGACAACATCAAACGTTCGTGGTAGGAACCAGCTGGCCTCGACTTAAGATGTGGAACAAAGTTGAAGAGCTGGCCCAAACTTAAATTTCTCACCGCTTTGAACCGGTCATGCTTGACCCCTCCCAAGGACCGATCGTGTCAACATTTTCAGGACGGTGGAAAGCTGGCCTCAATCATGTCAACATACTCAACCACTTTTGACACGGTTGGTCCCGGCATGTCCCGGCAGGGCGGGGGGAAGGGGAGCCCCCCAGCAATGAAAACTGGTTGCTGGTTTGCCCCGAGCATGCCCAGCAGCGTCAAAAACAGTAGGAGATCTCCCTCTGCATCCACCATGTCCAACTCAACCATCATTGGACCGTCCTCGAAGGTGTTGGAATGGATGGTAGTCGTTGTCGTCGTCGAAGTAGTAGTAGTAGTAGTAGTAGTAGTAGTAGTAGTAGTAGTAGTAGTAGTAGTAGTGGTAGTAGTGGTAGTAGTGGTGGTAGTAGTAGTAGTAGTCGTAGTAGTAGCAGTGTAGTAGTAGTAGTAGTAGTAGTAGTAGTAGTAGTCGTCGTCGTCGTAGTAGTAGTAGTAGTAGTAGTAGTAGTAGTGGTAGTAGTAGTGGTAGTAGTAGTAGTAGTAGTAGTAGTAGTAGCAGGAGTAGTAGCAGTAGTAGTAGTAGTAGTAGTTTTTTGGCTCCCACTTGTCAGCGTAGTGGTAGTTATGGCAGCTGTTGCAAAAAAGAATATTGTTATCCGGACGGGGGTGGGGGGGTAGCATACACATACATACATACATACATACATACATACATACATATATATGTACATACATATGTATATATATATATGTATACACACATAATTATGCAGATACAGGGACTGTAATGGGATACTATTGTTGATGAGTCCGACCCCAGAGCTATGCCATGGGAATCTGCAAGACAGTTTGCCAACAGCAAGCAGCAGGAACGGATGTGCATGGTTGCCAAAATTCTGGTCAATTTTTGGGCCCTTGATATAACACGGCACCTGATAGATATATCAAGGGTACGCAGAAAAGGACCATGACTTTGACAACACCGAGGCTTTCTGCTAAAAACTCATAGCCAGCCTGGCAGGAGACGCAGTCAGCGCCTGAGACGTGGCGGTCTTCGGAGCTTCAGGCTGTATGCTGTTTGGAAGCGCTGGGTAGTAGTAGTAGTAGTAGTAGTAGTAGTAGTAGTAGTAGTAGTAGTAGTAGTAGTAGTAGTAGTAGTCCTAGTAGTAGCGGTAGTAGTGGTAGTAGCTGCTGCAAGAAAAATACAAGAATATCAAGAATCTATTGTCATCCAGAGGGGGGTAGCATATATATATATATGTGTGTGTGTGTGTATATATACATAAATGTATATGTATATAAAGATAAAGCAGCAGGAACGGATGTGCGCGGTTGCCGAAATAACAGTCCATTTCTGGGCCCCTCGTGTAGTACGGCACCTGATATATTACGATCCAAAAAAGGACCATCACTTTGACAACCACCCATGTGACGGCCGCGGGAGAGATGCATGGATTTGCTGCTCTGGTGGGTTCTGGCAGGGTCAGGGCTGAGAAGTTGCAATCAGCTTGAAAGCAGGCCCTTTCGTCGAGCAGTGCGTTCGGAAACAAGCAGCAAAGAGCAGCACCGCATTCTGCAAGATAGCTCTGCGACCATCCTAAACACGAGCGCCTATAGAGCTCAGGATACGCCAAACTGCGACATCAAAGAAGCTCAGAGCGAGCCTGGCAGGAGACGCAGTCAGCGCCTGAGACCTGGCGGTCTTCGGAGCTTCAGGCTGTATGCTGTTTGGAAGCGTTGGGTCCCCTTTGTGTGGTGTCATCCGGCTGCTGGAGGTGTGCGGCTCTCGTATGCAGGCACATGCACAATATCACAGTCCTGAAAAGCGAAGCGACGACACTTTTTCAGCTTCTTGCCAGCAGGCGAGCGTTCTTGAGTTCAACCAGTCAGCCTCACTGAGAACCATTCGCAAGCTTTGAGTTCAGGTACTCCATGCTGGCCCACATCTCGTCTTCGGAAAGCGCCCGATTCCACGTGATGACCTCCATCACACCGAAGTCCGAGGCTTCATTGGCGAAGCCCTCGTTGATGTACAAGTGGAAGTCTTCGCCGTGGAGATGACCGTGGCGGATGGCGATGTTGCGCCGTTCGTTGCCCACGTAGACAACCCCCTTATTGTTGCCACACATCACAAGCCAATCGGTATTGCTTGAACCTTCATGGGGCGTGACCCAAGTGTTGTAGTGAGCCACACCTACGCGGCCACCCCAGTGGCCGTGGAGGAAATTGGGATGATGACCAGTTTGAAGAATGCGGGCAATAACCCCTCCTGCAAGATAGCGGCTGATGGAACAAATCGTGAAGTCCGGCTTCATGATCTTGCCGAAGTCTAGTCCGGCACTGGTGGGGCCGGTGAGGTAATTCACGGGTTTCGTAGCGCCGTTTCCAGCCTCGACCTTCCTGGTGATGCTGCCTTTGGTGACTCGAGCTTGCCAGCTACCCACTGCGCTCTTCCAAGCCGGATCGGCATCCTCGCTCTTGAACCAGGCCACCATAGACGTCTTGTCAGCTGGTTGGTAAGCCTAGGTTTTGGAAAGGTGGGTAGCGGGAGTGAGCCTGTGCTTATATAGACTTTGAGGCCATGATTTGCAAGGCACCCTATGAGGCTGAGTTCTTATAGATTTTGGCTAATGTGCCATGGACAAAATTTTCGTAGTCTTCGTGCCTGGAGCTTCCAGTTCAGGTACTCCATGCTGGCCCACATCTCGTCTTCGGAAAGCGCCCGATTCCACGTGATGACCTCCATCACACCGAAGTCCGAGGCTTCATTGGCGAAGCCCTCGTTGATGTACAAGTGGAAGTCTTCGCCGTGGAGATGACCGTGGCGGATGGCGATGTTGCGCCGTTCGTTGCCCACGTAGACAACCCCCTTATTGTTGCCACACATCACAAGCCAATCGGTATTGCTTGAACCTTCATGGGGCGTGACCCAAGTGTTGTAGTGAGCCACACCTACGCGGCCAACCCAGTGGCCGTGGAGGAAATTGGGATGATGACCAGTTTGGAGAATGCGGCCCATTACGCCTCCTGCAAGATAGCGGGTGATGGAACAAATCGTGAACTCCGGCTTCATGATCTTGCCGAAGTCTAATCCGGCGTTGGTGAGACCGTCGAGGTACCCCACGGGTACTGTTGCCCCATTGCCTGCATTGAACTTTCTGTTGACGCTGCCTTTGGTGACTCGAGCTTGCCAGCTGCCCACTGCGCTCTTCCAAGCTGGATCGGCATCCTCACTCTTGAACCAGGCCACCATGGAAGACTGGGCGGCAGGCTGATGATATAGGTGTGCCTGAGTTCAATCGTCAGGATCTGGCAAGAGTGGCTTGGATAAAAAGGATGTGTCATGGATTAGTCGTCACCGTCGCAGACCCCCACCTGTCATCCGGACGGATATACAGGTTGAACATATCATTTACATACATACACACATACCGCGGTGCTTTTGCTATACTATGCAAACTTGTACACTGTAATGCACATGCTGGTCTTACCTGTGCACGTGCATCTGTATCCTCACCCACACTATGTGTCAAAACTCTAATCTGGTCAGTCTAAGCTAACCCGGTCTACTCTTCGCTAGCCGAGTCTACTCTAATCTCACCCTATCTAACCTAACCTGCTCCAACCTATCAATCAAACCAATCAATAGAACAATCTCTGTCTACACTTGCATCTGTGCATCAATCTACCTATCTTCTTTCTACCTATCTGTCTTTCCATCTGGCTATCCTTCGATATCCACCTAGACAGCCACCCATCTATACACACACATATGCAATTATGTGTGTGTATATATAAATATATGTGTATGCATTATCTCTCTCTCTCTCTCTCTCTCACTCGACCCCTTCGTCGGTGCTGCCACGTGCCGAACCTAAGGACCCTATGGACCCTCGACTCCTTGACAAATTTTACGGAGCCTTTCCAGATTCGAGGCGTAAGCGATTTATGTTGAGCAGTTCGGCGCTAGAAACTGCTGACAAAGGCAGAACGCAAGCCCCAAACAAATGCATTCAAGCAACTGTCTTACAGCGGGAGCCCATCGCCCTCGGCTCGGGCTTCTTGTTGCGGCTTCCAGCAAACTTTTTTGAGCAGGGACTGCAATGCACCAAGCCGTGAAACCGTTATTCTTCGGCTCTGAGCTGGACAGAACATGCAACCTGCCATGACGAACGTCAAGCCAAGCGGCAAGCACCTTCCGTCCGTCCATGTGCACTGAATGGCGCGGAACTCGGTTGAACGGTAGTTTCGCAAAGAGTCCGCGGAAAAGGAAGTCTCTTCGTGATGGGCAAAGGACCCTGTCTTCAACAAAAAAAGAGATGGGTTACAAGCATCCATGTCGATACACAACATGAAGTTGGCGTGAGGAATTCGGAGAAGGGACTGTGAAAATTAAAAATCCTCACCTGGAAGCCCTGCAACCTGGAACTCCCCATGCCGACGACCTGAATACCAAAACATGCAGTACAATGAAGCATCTGGGAGCAGTTTGGAGTTGCGGTCAAGGCCAAGAACCTGCATCTTTGCCCATGAATGCCTATGAACATCTATGAACCTTGCACCGGTCAACCATCAACTGGAAGCGGAAATCCCCCACATCCTCCGACCAAGCCGCTCCGGTCAGCACGAAGTGGCTATTGCAGTCTGCATCCTGCAAAGTGCGCAAAGTGCAGAAAGTGCCGATATCCTACCGCGAGCTTCGAGCAGGAGAAGGGCGCGGACTCGCCTTGCCTCCTCCTCCTTTTGGGTTTATATTATATTATATTATATTATATTATAGTATATTATATTTTATTATATTATATGTTGTCGTTGCTCTTTTGGCAGCTGCTTCAGCTGCTGTTATCACCGGACGGGCTTGGTCCTACGTATGTACAGTACGTCACTTCGATTGTGATGCCCTTCATGTTGCGGAGTCAACAACCCGGGCTGACCTCGCAAGACAAAGAACAAATTGCGTGCTGAAGTAACCTGGCTCCTATCCCTTGAGTTCCATTGTGCTGGCCATGGCGTAGCAGAAGATGCAGAAGGCCCTACCCAGCAAGAAACCACGACCACCAGAACCCGGCACAAGGCCTGCAAATGTGAGCAAGAGCTGCTGCCCTTCACCAGGATGCCCTGGCCACCAAAAGAGAGGCATTAACATCATCATGGAATCTGATGCTTTGGGGCTTCTGCTTCGTAAATAATAGGCGGGCAGACAGTTCGCGACTTTAGAGCTTCAGGTTCGAGGCATGGTCTGAACCCCTTACCCAAACACGCTGGTCATGCGCGCTTGATGTGTGTATATATATATATATATATATATATAATTATATATATATATATATATATATATATATATATATATATATATATATATATATATGCGAGTGTGTGTGTATGTATGTATGTAGGTATGTAGGTATATATGTATGTATATATATATATATATTTATACATAGAGAGAGTAGAGATCGCAGTGAGCGGTATAGGTGCACCCGGCGGTTTCGCGGCTCCCGCGGTGCACGTTTTCGACCAAAATTGCGGCTTTCCACAACGTCCATGGCCGTGGACCCGAGTCCACTGCAAAATCCTGGCATACTCTCGTGCTTCCGAACTTGATGAACATTGAGGAACCGCAATCCCGCCGCAGGGCGTGCACCCTGTTGTGTTGCGACATTTTGGCCTTCAAATCGCTAGTCCTGGCCACATCAAGCTTCTCGGTGTGGTCTCGAAATCCTGCCGTTCTGAACATTAAAAGGGTTGAAACGATCTGGCGAAATTGGGTGTTTTGCTTTCATTGTGCTGATGATTTTCCCGAAGTATTGCTCCGGCGGTGGTGCCGGAAGTGGTTCTTCGGCCTTTCACCCGATGACTGCTCTTAGAAGTGTTCCTTCACTGCCTGTGTTCAATGCTGGAATAACAAAGACCAAAGACCGCGGCTCCTTCTGTTGAGATTTGTACACTGCAATCAAGAGTAACGGTCTCCTCTGCCTCCTGGCTGCACAGTAGATTTTGGAAACATGCCTGTGTCCAGCCTTTAGCTCAGCACAGTATCAATCCTGGCACATATTCGTATACACATGTTCCTCCGTCTTGTTGCATGTCCTACTGGTAGCAGATCATGTGAGAGGGCCTTCTACATGCCTGCCATGGCGAGGCATCTGCAGCCGAGCATAGTGCTCGTTGCAGCTCTGCAGTTTACAGGTGTATGTCGGCGCAAACCGCGCGTTCCGGACGGAATTTGCACAAGAACATCCGGCCTCGCAGTCGCGAAGCACCTCAGCAGGCCTCTCCTGGCGCTTGATGTCCGAGCCGACGGGCGGCGCGTTGACGCTGAAGGACCATTCGTCCTTGCCCTCGGCCCCGCCGTCTGCCATCTTTGCCACTTTGGATTTGCTCTTGACCTCTTGGACATCCGAGGACGAGAAGTCCTTCAAGGCGGCAATAGCCCGTGCCCGGCTCTCCGTGGAAACCAGCGCATCCGGCACTGCTGCCAAGATCAGAGCGAACTGATCTGCAAGGTTCACCAAAGGGATGGTCATCTTAGGGCTCTGGTATTTGTCTCCGAAGCCCATCTGCAAGCCAAGCTGAAGCCAGTTGCCAGACAAGAGCCCGCTGATCTCGAAGTTCACCAAGCCCGGGTTCTTGAAGCCGAACAGCTTGAAGGTGTCGGCTTCCGATTTGTCCTCAGACGTGGACTGAAGGGAGTTGATGAGGTCTCTGGCAGAGGATCCTCGGACTTCGGACGTCTTGTTGATGCCCATGTCCTCTCCGTATTCGACCGAAGCCAAATACAGATCCTCCTCGTCCGTCTCCCAGTGCAGAGACTCCTGCAAACGAGCCTTCGCCTGCGCCTTGGTCTGGTTGCTCTCCAGAAGCGACGACCTCTTCATGGAGGCCATGCCGGTTCCACTCTCGCCATCTGTTGCGGACGCACCGAAGAAGCTTCGCGCTGTCTGATGGCCTCCGTGGACGTTCTCCATCACGAAGTGCGTGTCGTCGCCAAACCTCTTGGACAGGCGAAGTGTCCGGCTGAAAAGCATCACACCGTTCGACTTGATCACGGACCGCAACACGCTGAGGTCCAGCCCACCCGGCTGGTGCCGCGGCCAGCAGACCTCGTGGATGGCGGAGGCAGGTAAGCACAGCAAAGCACTCCGGGCACATGTCCTGGTTACAATATATGAGGGCTGCTTGCTTGTCGGCTGCCCATCAAGCCTGGATTCTTCCTAGATTGCTAAGCCAACACGGGCACTACTGAGGTGATCGCACATGTACAAGGTAAGCTCCTGACTTGTGTGTCGATTTCGGCCAACGGCCCGGGCAGCAAGTCGAACTGGATGCCACCCACGAAGGCCACCACGGGCTGCATGTTCAACTGGAAAGTCACCGTAAGGCATTTCTCAATCGAGAAATCCACCGAGTAAAAGGAATACCCCTGCCACTTGTCCCAATGGTCCTTCATCCACTGGTTGCCGCAAGGCACCGCCCAAGGCTCCAGCTTAATGAAGTCGTCCTTGGTATCCGCCTGCCAATCCTCCTGGGTCGCCTGGTTGTTGCTGCCGGTCTTATTCCTGGGTGCGAATGCCAGGCAGGATCCGGTCGCCGTCTCCCTGCCATTGAACCTTGGATGCTGGACAGAGACGCAGGCTGGAAGACTGACGACGAGGATCCAACATTCAAGGCAAGGCCGCCAGCTACGGCAGACATGGCAGCACTTGCCAGATTTGCACCCTACATACTGGTACAGTGACACCCCGGACGAGGAGCTGGGTGACCAGCGCATGGGTCTCAGGGCCGTAGTCTTCAAAGCTCCACTTGACGGCGGCCGGTGGATCCTTAGAATCCTGGAGCGACCCTGGATTAGGGACAAGAAGGCAAACAAGGGATATCCGATGCCAGCAGCAAGAGGAGACTGAACGTCAGGCATGAACCCCCCAGACAAATATTCTCCACGACAGTTTCGGGCAACACACCTAAGCGAAACGAACCAAAGCCACCAAACTCTATTGATTCGTGGAAAATCCCATCTTTCTCTCCCTCTCTCCTTTTACCATGCGTAGAGGCGAGCCCCCGCGTGGAGGCACGCCCTCTGTTGAGGGCTCGCTTGGGTTCAGGGGGGTTTGCAAATTTGCATGGGTCAGCTGCTCAAGGACAACTGCACCCAGAAACGTTTTCGAGAGTGACGAGCCGTGACGAAACAGGTCCAAAACCTCCGAGGATAAAGGCTGAGCCCTGACACCCCCGCGAACTCATCTGTTTGGAAGCACACGATAATGGTACAGGTAGCCTCGATTTCCTGGCCTCGTCCATCATCACAACAAAGCGTCTCTGCCCCTGCTTGCGTTGAAAGCTGCGGTGGTTATGAGCTGGATGCAGCGGCCCTGCCCGCGGTTGCGTAGGAGCCGTGACAGCCCCTGCTGCTGCTTGCCGGTCGATGGCTCGGTGGTTGGATTCTGTACTCTACTCTCTCTCTCTCTCTCTCTATCCTCTCTCTCTCTCCTCTCTCTCTCTCTCTCTCTCTCTCTCTCTCTCTCTCTCTCTCTTCCGCCGGGCATGAGGGGCTGTTAAGACCCCTCGGCCACTAGGGCCCCCCCTAATTTGTGGGGACTTTGGAGGAGTGTGAGAGTGGTTCTCTCTCTCTCTCTCTGCTTTGCTCGGGGTTTAGGGCAGGAGCAGTCCTCCCTCTCTCTCTCTCTCTCTCTCTCTCTCTCTCTCTCTCTCTCTCTCACAAGGCTTGAGGGCACGCCCCCGCCCGGAGCTCTTCTTCCACTGGGCTTGAAGGGCGTGTTAGGCCCCATGGGCCCCCCATATGTTATGGGGCTTTGTGGAGGGACATGACAAGACAGTGAGTCCCCCTGACAGGCAAGTTTAATATATATTGGACTCTAGAAGCCCGGAGCTCTCTCTGTCTCTCTCTCTCTCGCTCTCTCGTGCGCGCCAGGGTGTTGTCGTGCAAAGTTCACCGTTGACTGAGGAGGGGCGTGGAAGAGGAAACGAGCTACACGGAGAAAAGCCCTTGCAAAGCATCAGGTTGGAGAATGTTAGTATGTTGACTAATTAGTGACTATAGTGGTGACAAATTTTCCATGGTGGGACATACGTTTACCATACCATGTTGGCAGCTTCTCAAATTGTGGGACTTCTGCACTGTCAATGCAACGAGCATTCCTCCAGGTTGGCCATCTCCTGCAGCAACTCGGCCTGTCTGTGCGGCAGCTGCTGCGAGTGCTTCGTAATGACGAGGTTGGGTCCTGCACATTGAAGTGAAAGCATCTCGAGCTGCAAACTCGCACACCCGTTTTGGCACAGCGAGTGCAGCAATTGAAATCGGAAAGTTAGCTAGGTCTTCCGTCGTGATGGGTTGAGGCTGGCAAGGGCTGCAGCAACAGTAACAGAAGGACGCCGACAGTGCCTGCTTAAGAAGCTCTATCACTCTATCTATGCCCTGCTACGTTCCCTTGGAGATGCTGAGTTCCTGGCCTCTGTGATGCACCATCGCCTGAGCACCGGCAGAGGGGAACTCCGTGGTGGCCGCCGTCTGCAGCAGGGATTCCCCTCCCTTCATCGCTTGAGCCGCCAACTTGGTGGCCACCTTGGCGAAGGCCTCGATGAACTCTCTGAAGATGTCGCCCAAACGGTTCAGGAAGTTCAGAGGAGGAACATTTGAGATGATCTTGAATCCGAGGCACTTGACCAGGTCACTTTGCTGGGAGCCGGCGCAATCCATGAGTGCATCGCCCATGGTAAGCATATTTTGGATGGAATTCGTTTGGCCACCTCCAAGAAGTTGCATTGGCCCAGGCATGAGCCCCATGATGTTGCCGTCTGCAATTTTGCTGAATTCCCCCGGCAAGAGACCCATGATGTTGCCGTCTGCAATTTGGCCGAGTTTCCCCGGCAAGAGGCTCATTATCTGGCCGTTTACAAGTGCGTGCACGGGGTGGGGCATCCAATGCAGCGGTGGAGCAAGGTGCTGGATCCAACCGCCAAGGCATCCAATCAAATGATGGTGGTGGCCACGGTGTGGACAATGTGCCAGCTCCCATCCAACACTGAACACTGTCCGGACAGCCTCGTACGCCGACCCTGCAACCAACTGCAATGGAGCAGCCATCCAATGCACAGCTGGAGCCAGGTGCTGGATCCAACCGCCAAGGCATCCAATCAAATGATGGTGGTGGCCACGGTGTGGACAATGCGCCAGCTCCCATCCAACACTGAACACTGTCCGGACGGCCTCGTACGCCGACCCTGCAACCAACTGCAGTGGAGCAGCCATCCAATGCACAGCTGGAGCCAGGTGCTGGATCCAACCGCCAAGGCATCCAATCAAATGATGGTGGTGACCGCGGTGTGGACAATGCGCCAGCTCCCATCCAACACTGAACACTGTCCGAACAGCCTCGTACGCCGACCCTGCAACGAGCTTGACTTGGTCAGGCAGGAAGTCCAATGGGGGACTGTATTTCGCAAGCGATCTGGCAAGGCACTTGGTCACCTCAATGTGGTTGTGGTGTCCTGGGCAATGGTGCACGACTTCCCATCCAATGTGGCCAAGTATCCCAAAGTACGAAGGGAAGAGCTCATGAATCCGGCCATCCGTGACTTTTCTCACTTGCTCTGGCAAGAGATCGAGTACGGGAGTGTGGACGGCAAGGAACCGGGCGAGGCACCTCTGGATTGTGATGTGGTTGTGGTGACCGTGGCAGTGGTGCGCCAGGTCCCATCCGATGTGCCCGATGGCCCGCAGTTCTGCCGGAAAAGGAACGTGATGCGTGCCCAAATCAAACCCGAACAAGCCGGTCGACTGTCCGATCAAGCTGATCTTGCAGTTGAAGGACCCGAACCTGATCCTGAGCAGGGGGACACAACCAAGAACCCACGAATCGCTTGAGGTACCTTGCTTACCGGATTCCTATTACAGGCCTAGCTTGTTCAGCACCCTGTCTAATTCATTCTATTCCCACACAAAGGACAACCAGGAATCCTGACACCATGGTGCATGTCAAAGTTTACGAAGCCAGCAGCTGTTCTGTGGGGGCAGCTGGCGCCGAAATCTGAAAAGCCATTGCTCAGAACCTTGATGGCGACCTCAACGGTGTTGATCGTGTTTTGCGCCAGCCATTGCGCCTGGGTGGCAAGCAACGTGAACGACGCTCGAAAAAATATGTTATCGTTAGGAATTGGGATTCAGGGTGTACGTGCCCAAAGGGTCCGGTGCTTGGGCGGTAGCTTAGGGCTTCGGGTTCTCTGCCTTGTCCTTCGCAGCGTTATAGCCGTCCGACATCGTCTCGCCCAGACTTTTCGCGATATGAACCGGATTCCACCTTCGTCTCCGGTGCTTCCACGGCCAGCTTACCTCGCCGTTCCAACAACTAGGCTGTAGGGTTGAGGATAGCTTGCCTTTAAGGAAGCCCCAATCAAGCCCCCTAACTAACGAGACGGAGTCACCCTCAGCCATTCAGCACCGCAACAGGAATACTGCCAGAGCCGATGCATGCACACATTGAGAGCCAAACCCAAAGCTCTTCAAACCTCGCACCCTCAGGCCCCAAACCCCCGAAAACCCACATGCTGAACCAGTTGCAGACTCGTTGGTGGAAAATGCCTGCTGCGATCTTGCACCTTCACCTGCCAGCTCGACCTCCGGCTCTTCAACCTCCGACTCTGGTTCTTCATGGAACTTGCCTGGGCTTCGAAGGCCTTTATCCTTCACCCCAAACCCAGTAACCCATAACCCCAATACAAACATGGTATAATATCATATAGAGTATAATCTAACTTGAACATAATACAACATAGTCTAAGGGTTCGTCTGAGAGGCTCGAAAGCTTTCAGTTGAGGACTCTACAGTCTCTATGCTTGCAGATGCTCGGGCAAAGATGTTAATTTGGGATTGAGGCTGTCATGGCTTTAGGCTTCTATGTTTTATGAAGCGGCATTAGGATTTTATGGGTTTTGCTTCACACCTTTTTCCTCTCAGCTTCAACGGCTGCAGGCCTTTAGGGTTTTATGGGGGTCGAAGGCAACTAAGTCTCGCGTCTCGCGCTGGCGGGTGTGCTTTTTGATCACACTCGTCAGGATGTTCTGGGCCTCACTCAATCCTGGGCTGTGGACCAATGATCAATGGAGTAACCCAGAGGAAAAATTCCTAGACTCCTATTCCGTGCTGCCTCCCGTAAGCAAACAAGTCCAAAGAAATGATGTAGGTCCGATATTCACCCAAGCAAGTGTTTCAGGCTTAAGGTACGATATTCTCCAAACCCAAAGATCAACCCCTTGACCCGGTTCACCCTTAAGCCCAGAATCGCGTTTGGGCATCCTTGTGCTCAATCTCCAAGAAGACCCCTCCGGCGGGGTCTCCCTCACGGCCTTCGCCCTTCAAAGCCTGGATCTCCTGCTGGAGCTTTGTCAACAGGTTTTGTTTCTCCCTCCATTTTTTCAAAAGGTTTAGGGTCTAGGGTTTCTTTCAGGGTTTAGGGGTTGATTAGAGTTCAGGGTTGAAGGGTTTTGGTTTAGAGCCTAGGGCTTTTAGGGTTTCAGGTTTAGGATTGTCTTTAGGGCCTTGAGAAGTTGCGGTACCCGCCCAAATGGTCTTCATCGAGGATTGGGTCCCAACCATGCCATGTACAACTTCGGTTTAGGCTCCCTTGGGTTTTCTTTGGGTTCAATGTACTTTCTGTGTCCTTGTTTTGTGCTTCGATCACCTTGCGATGCTCATCGATCTGCAGCTGCTGCGTCTCGATCCGTGCTTCATGCATCTCGGCAACCGTCTCAAGCTGCGCGACCTTCAGCAAGAGGAACTCCAAATTCTTGGCCAGGTCGCCGAAACCTTCGTTGGTCTCGTTATTCTCGCTCTCGTTGTCGCCCATGGGATTCGGAATCCCGTTGATGTCCTTCATGTCCGCGTTCAAGTTCTCGGAAACCACTTCCTCAATGATCTTGTTCGAGGTTTCGTTGTGGGAGTCGGAAAACTTGATCGGGGCATTGGATCCGGAGAGTTTGAAGGCCAGCGAAGTGGTCCAACAAACAGCCAGCATCAACATGCTGACGCACATCTTTTGCTTCATTAAAAGCACCGCAAGCTATCAAGCGCCTTTGATAGGCTCTCGGGAAGCTGGGATGCCGACGTACGGAGTTGCTTGAGCTGATAGGCTACCGGGGAAAATCGTCAGCAGAGGGTTCATCAACCAATTGCAGTCAGCAACAAGCCTGCCGAAACAGTATTAAGCACACACCGACACACCTAGCATCTGAGGAACCTGCAAGCTAGCATCGATGGTTGTTAATTGTTAACGCAGCCAAGACCTATACAGGTTTAATGTTGCCACGTTGCTCTGCCGCAAACGTCTAGCTCAACTGTTTCTTTCCCTTTCAAAACCTGCATGCGACGCTTGGGACGCATTTTGCATGCTTCGTCCGCTCGTTTACAGCTCACGTTGAAACGAAAGCTAAACTCGGAATAGGCCCCTAAACTGCTAAATCCGGAATAAATCCTCGCTCTTGCCGGGAGCTGGGAGCTCCTTTGTCCGAGAAGCTCCAGATCTTCCTTCGCTCATCACTTGAAAAGGGGCCCCTTTTAAAAATGGTTAGAATAAGGTTCCTTTAAGAGTTTGTAAGGGTTTTCTCAAGGCCTGTCTAGTATACGCCTCAATCATTAGAATGGGCTTCACTTGAGGGTTTTATGGCGTTTATGAGTGCTGTATGAGAACATTATTCTATAGGAGCCCTTTGAATTAGAATAGGGTTTGTGGGTAGTATAGTTCACCAGATTTATAACAATGGAATATTTGAAAACCCCTACAAATATTCTTGCAACTGCTCCGGCCTCCCTCAAAGCAAAAGCACGACAAGCCTTGATGCCTTTTTGGCGTTTCTTGCCAAGAACAAGCGTTGTGATTCAGTATATGTCCGAGCGTCTTGAGTGTTGGAGTAAGACTGATGCGCCAAGACGCTCGAAATCTCCTCAAAGACAACTTGCAGGACAGCTGCGTAGGTTGCCAGCTGTGGGTCGGTGAAAGCTCCTGCCACTCCGAGCACCGCGTTCTCGTGGGGCTCTGTCGACGGCGAAATCAGGCTCTGCCACGATAGGAAAGATGGAAGGCTGCGGCTAGGGAAGGTTGATGAGCCAAGATGCAACGGCCTCCGAATGGAAGCACCCGGAAGAGCAAATCAGGATTGCTGTCACAGCATAGTTCGGAAAGTCTGCAGCACCGTACCCGCCAAGGCGTCGATGTTAAGGTCCCTGCAGTGGCCCTCCTGCCTCAGACATAAGGGCCTGTGAGCGTTTATAGCCAAGGCGACCCAGCTGCTCTCCGTATCCAGCGAATGAGGGAAAGGAAAGAAATTCAACGTCTTCATCCAGTGCAAAGCACTCGAGACATCATGCAGGGATATGCTGCAAGCTGTTAAAGCCTCAATGCCGGGAATCGCAAATGAGAGATGCTCGTGGTGGCACTAGGGTCCGTGAAATTCGGCACCCCGCCTCCCTTTTTGATGATAGCCGCGGCCATCTCCGCGGTCGAAGTTGCCGGGGAAAGCTTGGCGCCATTCCCCGCCGCCTTGGCGGTCTCGAAGGCAATGGTCAAGGCCCTCCCGGTGAGTCCGGTGCCGTCCAGCCTGCAGGGCACAGGGCTTTCGAAAGGTATAGTGGCAATCATCAGCTGCACACACACACACACACAATGGAATCAACGGGTTCAAGGTTTCGGTTCGGATGTCTCGCTTCTCGATTGCACCCGTTGGTCTTGCCAAGAGAGCTGCCAGCTGCCGGGTTGCACCCGGGCCACGATGACGCAGCTTCTTAGTGGTGCTGCCTGATCCAGCACTCCTCTTTTTTGGGTTGCAGTATTTGTGCTCCCCTCCAGGTCGCAGTAATGGTGTTTGTCACAGATTCGCGATCGGACGACGACTTTTTCGACTCGATCTCCTTTGGCTGCAAGTCGGTCCTCTTCCGCAGCCTCTCATCCGCGGCGTGCTGCATCTTAGCAACCGCCTCGAGCTGTGCGACCTTCACGAGAAGAAACTCCAAGTTCTTGGCGAGCTGGCCGAATCCCTCGCTGGGATCACTGGCGTTCTCCGTCATGGGGTTTGACATGTTGTTGATCTCCTCCTTGTCCTGTCTCAAGTCGTCAGAAACGACCTCCGCCACTATCTCCTGGACGCTGGGATTCTCGGAGTCGGTCACTGGGATCAGAGACCCCGACAGCTTGAAGGACCGCGATGTGGACCAACAAAGAATATAAGCCAAGACCGTAAGGGCTCTGAATGAGCCAAGGGCTCTCGATGAGCCAAGCTTCAATGATGTCAACAGGGTAGCCCCCGGAAGATTCAGCTCATCCAACAGTGGCGCTAAATGAAGTTTCGCCGCGGGCTTTGAGCTGGAAAGCGTCGGGTTCTCAACGAACCAATGTCCCTTGCAACTCTTCAAAGACTGTGTGGAAACTGCAAGCTAAACCTGCTAAGCCATGCAGCCAAAGAAGCTTCTACTAGTTCAGCTGAGCAGGACGTGGGGGTGAGTCATTGCTTGTGCTGAAGGGTTGAGACTGTCACTAGAAATGCATCCTGCTCGTGCGTCTAGACAGGTAAGCTCTCATTGATGCTGCGCACATTTTGGCCGCTATTCCTCGGCAGTGCACCACTTCACTTGGAGCCGGTCACGAGCTTCCAATTCAGATACTCCATGCTGGTCCACATCTCGTCTTCCGAGAGTGCCCGGTTCCACGTGATGACCTCCATGACAGCGAAGTCCGAGGCTTCATTGGCGAAGCCCTCATTAATGTACAAGTGGAAGTCTTCGCTGTGGAGAACACCGTGGTGGATGGCGATGTTGCGCCGCTCGTTGCCCACGTAGACAACCCCCTTATTGTTGCCACACATCACAAGCCAATCGGTACGGCTCGCACCTTCATAAGGCGTGACCCAGGTGCTGTAATGAGCCACGCCTACGCGGCCACCATGGTGGCCGTGGAGGAAATTAGGATGGATGTTTTGGAGAATGCGGCCAAATATGCCTCCTGCATAAAGATAGCGGGTGATGGAACAAATCGTGAAGTCCGGCTTCATGATCTTGCCGAAGTCTAATCCGGCGGTGGTGAGGCCGTCGAGGTACGCCACAGGTACTGCAGCCCCATTGCCTGCATTGTACTTTCTGTGGACGCTGCCTTTGGTGACTCGAGCTTGCCAGCTACCCACTGCGCTCTTCCAAGCCGGACTGGCATCCTCGCTCTTGTACCAAGCCACCATGGACCGCTTGTCAGCTGGCTGGTATGGAATCGTGGCCTTGGTTCGCGAGGGGAGGGTCGGGCTCGTGCTGTAAAATGCTCAGGCCATGCATAATCCAGTGGCTGATTTCCTACTGCATGTGCCATGGACAGGACTGTCGTTCAGGTTTGCATCCTTCCCGCCTCGAGTTTCCAATTCAGGTACTCCATGCTGGTCCACATCTCGTCTTCCGAGAGTGCCCGGTTCCACGTGATGATCTCCATGACAGCGAAGTCAGAGGCTTCATTGGTGAAGCCCTCATTGATGTACAGGTGGAAGTCTGCGTTGTGCAGAACACCGTGGCGGACGGCGATGTTCTTCGCATCCTTGCCAACGTAGGCAACTCCCTTGTTGTTGCCACACATCACGAGCCAGTCGGTACTGCGCGGACTTCTTGCATGGTGCGTGACCCAGGAGTTGTAATGAGCCACACCTGCTTGACCACCCCAGTGGCCGTGAAGGAAATTAGGATGGATGTTTTGGAGAATGCGGCCAAATATGCCTCCTGCATAAAGATAGCGGGTGATGGAACAAATCGTGAAGTCCGGCTTCATGATCGCGCCGAAGTCTAACCCGGCGTTGGTGAGGCCGTCGAGGTACGCTACGGGTACTGCAGCCCCGAAACCTACGTTGAACTTTCTGGTTATGCTGCCCTTGGTGACTCGAGCTTGCCAGCTGCCCACTGCGCTCTTCCAAGCTGGACTGGCATCCTCGCTCTTGTACCAAGCCACCATGGAAGACTCCGCAGATGGCCGATGCGCAAGATGTGCCTGAGTTCAATCTTCCAGCGGGTTTTGTGCTGACATATGCTGACGATCAGAAGGACTTCTCCCGGCGTGAATCGGATGTTTCAGTTGTAAGTCATAAGTTGAAGCTTCTACTGCAGCACTTAGCACTGAACTTCTACATGCATCCTTCCCACCTGGAGTTTCCAGTTCAGGTACTCCATGCTGGTCCACATCTCGTCTTCCGAGAGTGCCCGGTTCCACGTGATGACCTCCATGACAGCGAAGTCCGAGGCTTCCCCGGCGAAGCCCTCATTGATGTGCAAGTGGAAGTCTTCGCCGTGGAGATGACCGTGGCGGATGGCGATGTTGCGCCGCTCGTTGCCCACGTAGACAACCCCCTTATTGTTGCCACACATCACAAGCCAATCGGTATGGCTCGCACCTTCATAAGGGGTGACCCAAGTGTTGTAGTGAGCCACGCCTACGCGGCCACCATGGTGGCCGTGGAGGAAATTGGGATGATGACCAGTTTGAAGAATGCGGCCAAAAATCCCTCCTGCATAGAGATAGCGGGTGATGGAACAAATCGTGAAGTCCGGCTTCATGATCTTGCCGAAGTCATATCCGGCGGTGGTGAGGCCTGCGAGGTACCCCACAGGTCTTGTAGCTCCGTGTCCAGCCTCGACATTTCTGGTGACGCTGCCCTTTGTCACGCGGCCTTGCCAGCTGCCGACCGCGCTCTTCCATGCTGGATTAGCATCTTCGCTCTTGAACCAAGCCACCATAGATGACTGGGCGGCAGGATGCTGTGGAAGAATTTCCTGCCGACTCTGGTGATTATTTCAGACATCCAGCCAGCCACTTTTGAAACAGATTTGCTTCCGGGGACAGCAAGACACACTCGGTCAAACACCATGGTCAATACCTACATGCTCACATTCACAGCATTCACAGACACAGCGCAGGGCTGCACAAAACCCTCACTTATGGCGACGCGCACTTAAAGTCGATTCTGTTGGAGTGCCATTGCGTGAACGACAAATGCACATATATATACATATATATATATATATATTTATATGTAGTATGTATGAGTAGATATTCATAACTATATAACCAAATTGAAAACATCGCTCCCACGCCCGCATTCGTGCTTTTCTGGGGTATCAAGTTTGAGTCTGGAACACCCCCCAAGCCCAAGACCAAAATTAAACGCGCAAAAATTCACGGAATGCCAGAATCGCGTTGGTCTTTGGAGTTTTGGTTTTCGGTTCTGTTGGCTTTACGAAACAACGCCATATACACAACAACAGCAAAAACCAAACACACAAAAAACAAACAAATAACAACAAAACAGCTACGGCATTCTCTCTGGTTCTTTGTGTGGCATATTGCCGTCCGAGCTGCTGTTCTGAAAATGCGTAATATGGCTAGTTATGCCATGCGTGTCTGCCTGCCTTTCCCCCTGCTTAGGCTCGTGGTTTGGGCCTCTCACCCTTTTGGCTCTTTCTAGTACGTAGTCCCGGTGTGCATTCTGATGACCGTCCTCGTCGACTACAAGCATGCGATTTGCACATTTGCTTCATTAATTCCTCGGGGAGCTCTTCCAGATAGCGGGCTTCCTCACAAAGCTCTCACTCTTTTTAGGTCTCGTCCGTCATCTTTAAAGTTGCGCGCCGGCGCCAGTGCGGGAACTACCCAAACCACTTCGCCTGGATAAGCACTAACACTAAACCTTAAACCCTATACCAAAGCACCTAAACAACTCTTGCTATTGGTTGATGTAAGACTTCTCCGCAGGTGTTTCAGAACATTTTGTTTGTCGAATGGTCCGGTTCCCGTAGCGGTTTCATAACAAATTCATCCGGTCTTGTGATTACACAACCCCACATGCGTACCCAGCATTACTAAGCCTCACAGCTGTCGAAGTGAACTGTGGTTGCGTTTCACTGCCTGTCGTTATCGTTTTTTGACCCACACAAACCCAAAGGCAACTTTATGGAGCTTCCACTTGTTCATGCGCAATTCATTTGCAATATTGTTCATCTGCTTTGCATTCCTTTGCATTAACAATGGGTCATTGCTTCATAAAGTCATATATGCAATAACAAGCCGTATTGCCATTAATAATTAGCACCGCCTCATTATATACTTCATATAGTCATGCGTCGACGCCTTTGAAACATGGGGGTTTGAATATGTCTGAACAGATATATGCCAAACTCTTTTACAACTTTCAACCTGTGCATAGATTTTAAACACAACTTTCATGCTACCTCCGTGGCCTTGGCGGTCCGGCCGCCCTCCGCCTATTAAACAAAAAGCTTCACCGCATATGCAGTAACAAGCCCTATTGCCAGAGAAGCGTCGGTATAATTTTCATCTTAACACCACTACGCCTGCAAGCCTATCCAATCTCCATTTGGATTCTCAGCCGTATCTAAACTACTGATATGTTCCCTGTGGTGGTCTGTGGCTGTGGCTGGGGTGGGGGAAGTAACCGGGAAGTATGCTTTGCCTTGGACCTGCACTAATTCACTGATCTTCAACCCACCCGGCATCATAAATCATTCTGCGTGTGCGAATTTGCCCTGCTGTCACGCATGGCAACTATCAACACATGCCCCTGGACCAAAAGGGATGTTGTCCAAAATTTTGAAGGTACTCTTCGTCATGAACCGGCACGCTGAACACCAGCGTGGGTTCAGAAAAAGCAGGGCTTGCTTGTATGTATAGGGATTTTAGAATGAAATCCTTATAAGACGCTAAGGCCGCTAAGATTAAAAAACATGCATGCATTCATCGCTGGAAAAGGGCGACTAACCGCTCCAATCGTATGCAGGCGCGACAACATGTGCACAACGTCACTGGGCATGAGAATGGAGGTTGGTCCTGCCTCGCACATGACATATCTATAACCACGGCTTATAACAGGGTCTCAGTCCATGTCCATGTAATTCCATGTATCAGGCCCTAGGGATCATTCCCACCTGGAGTTTCCAGTTCAGGTACTCCATGCTGGTCCATATCTCGTAATCCGAAAGAGCCCGGTTCCACGTGATGACCTCCATGACAGCGAAGTCCGAGGCTTCATTGGCGAAGCCCTCGTTGATGTACAAGTGGAAGTCTTCGCCGTGGAGATGACCGTGGCGGATGGCGATGTTGCGCCGCTCGTTGCCCACGTAGACAACCCCCTTGTTGTTGCCACACATCACAAGCCAATCGGTATGGCTCGCACCTTCATAAGGGGTGACCCAAGTGTTGTAGTGAGCCACACCTACGCGGCCACCATGGTGGCCGTGGAGGAAATTGGGATGATGACCAGTTTGAAGAATGCGGCCAAAAATCCCTCCTGCATAAAGATAGCGGGTGATGGAACAAATCGTGAAGTCCGGCTTCATGATCTTGCCGAAGTCATATCCGGCGGTGGTGAGGCCTGCGAGGTACCCCACAGGTCTTGTAGCTCCGTGTCCAGCCTCGACATTTCTGGTGACGCTGCCCTTCGTGGCACGACCCTGCCAGCTGCCCACCGCGCTCTTCCAAACTGGATTAGCATCTTCGCTCTTGAACCAAGCCACCATGGATGACGGGGCGGCCGGCTGAAGTTCCCTGTGGAACATTCCCGTGGTCGTTGTGGTGGTCGTGGTTGTCGTCGATGTCGTCGTACTTGTAGTCTCAGCAGTCACGGGCTTGGGGCGAACGCACAGGTTGCTCAACGATCTGGTGTTGATGCTAGCTCAGATACACGGGACCTTCTACGATGCAAATCGTTTTGATGGGCGGCAAAGAATCAAGCCTTTAAGGGAGTTTCATAGCCCAATGGAGGCATCATGTCGGAATGTGGCCACGCCCCAACATGGCCGTCGGCCAAAGTGTTGTTGATCAGTGCGTCTGTATACACTCCGAGGATCTCCGAGGTGTTCCTTCCATAGGACGGACGTATGTGTATTCTACATGCACGCACGTCTACAGCTAGACACATGCAGAAATCATGCGGGTACGTCTCACATGCAGTAGGCCTTACATTTGGGAGACACACAGTCGCATGTTCACATAAGGCAGATTGCTGGCAACAGCAATTAAACCAACCCGCCACCAAGATACGAAAGGACGTAATCCTGCAAGCAGCCTCGCGCTACTGCCATGCCTCTTGAGCAGTCTAGTCATTCAGTCAGGCATCTGGAAAGAAGACGGCTAATGACAACGCAGTACTAATGCGAAGATCACTTCGACCATCTTGCATCCTCATGCTCATCGCCAACATGACCATCAAAACGAGCCTTCCCTGCGGAATCGTTATCGTCGACACATGCCCGCATCATTCTCATCATCCTCATCTGCACGGGCACCATAATGATCATACTTGCCATCGGCATGGGTCATCATCCGGATTTCAATCTGTGGGAGGCATCATCTAACATACTTCGAGCAGTGTGTTGACAGCGCAGCAATATCGACGAACTTCCTCTGGAGGCTTGCGACCCCACCCCACTCTGCAAGTATCAGTCCTATTCTGGAGCCTGGGAGGGCAACATGAAGTACATGCACTGCGAAAGTGCATGCACAAGTGCCTACCGTCTTCTTCTCCGTTGACTGATTTGCATCTAAGTATACAGATCAAGATGACCCCACACACACACACACATGCACATGTGCAAACATGAGCATCGTAATAACCAGGGCAGCACTGCTATCATACTGGATAGAAATACATGCGTACACGGGAAAGGTCTGTCTATGCCTAAATGTTTGTGTCAGCGACATCTTTTCGTGCTTGGCACGACGGTGGAACCTAGGACCTGGGAAACGAACACCGTCGAAAGCTGGACCCCTTCGTTGGTGCTGCTCCGTGTCGAACCTACAGGTCCTCTTCTGTGCGACCAAACAACATCCTCGGCAGCCCTCCAAGGTCTGCTAACTGGCGATTAGCCCTAGGCCATAGAAACTACAGTACCCAAGCCATGCATGCGAGCGACCGTCTCACAGCGGGAGCCCATGGTCCTCGGTTTCTATGCTTGTTACCTGTTGCGACTTCGAGCAAAGCGACTCCTCAAGTCGTTCAGACCTTCTGTGGCACATGGGTTGCCTAGAACATGCAACCTGCAACTCTGAAGGGCTGCAAGCCAAGGGTCAAGCACCTTCCGTCGAGCCAAGTGCACTGCATTGTGCGTTCCTCGGTTGAAAATCTGACTGGCCTTCGGCACTTACTTCAAACACTAAACGACTCGCCCACGAGTCGTGCAACTTGCAACCCCTGAACTCTCTTCGCCGGCGATCTTCATACGCAAGACGCAGTCGGGTCGAGAGTCTACGGCTCGGGACCAGCTGAAAGCTTCAGTCCCAAATATCGTTGGTGCAGATTCTCGGCTCATTCTAATCCCAATATCCACCCGGACCGCCGAGTCATGTAATGCGGAATTCATCAAGCAGAATCCGCCGTACTCTTGCTGTCCGCAGCGAAGGTAGTGTGTGCAACGTTCTCCTGTGCATCTTACACGTGCCAGCTATCAAGCGGAAGCAGAACTCCACATCTGACGACCGAGCCGCTCCCACCGTCACGAAGTGGCTGTTGCAGTCTGGCTCCTCCGCATGAAGCAATTGCCAGGAATTGCAAGTTGTGCCGCAGCAGTTTCGAGAGAGTTACTGCATGGTAGGAAGGGGAGTGAGCGGAGCTCTTGAGGCCTTTGTGGACCAGGTGGCGGAGGTCTTTGCAGGCACTATCCTTGCTCGCTCGTTCGGCTGCCATTGTCGCGTTTGTTCTCACTGTTGTTGCAGCTGTGGTGGTTGTGGTGGTTGTGGCGATTGGTGCGACTGTTGCGACTCTGGCGATTGTTGTGGCTGTGGTTCTGGTTGCTGTTGTTGTTGTTGGTACAGACAGAAACAGCAGCCAGCAATTGTTGTTAATAAGAAGCAATCGGGAATGCTTCCGGCGACTGTATAAGGTGCCTGTAGAGTTTTGGGGAATGCACGCCATGGTTTACACAGCAACTGCTCCATGATAGAAATGCGGTGTAGGCCGGGTGGTTGTTGGAAGAGGGGGGGTCAGAAACAACAGACGGGGCTGCATTTTTTGTCTCTACCACAGGGTAGAGACAAAGTCCTGATTTCAATGGGTACCATGTGGTAGAAACAAAAGCTGGAGCCCCGTCTGTTGTTTTGACCCCCCCCTTTACAACAACTGCCCACATTACACCACATCTCCACCACAGGTATGGGAATCTGCGAAATCCAGAAGGGGCTCTCATGGGTTTTGAAAGGGCCTGTCTGGAATTTTGAAGGGTTTGCATTAGATATCGAGCGGCTCAACAAGGATTTGGCGGGCTTATGTGATGTTGAAGCCCTCTCTGCTGCTTCACTTTGGCCCTCAAATCCAGGTCTGCTGCTGTGGACATACACACACACACACACACACAAAATCTTGTCAAAACCACACAAAAACCATGGACATACATACAAATCCACAAAAATCTTTCACATACACACATAATCTAAGGAGTTTCGGAACAGATCTTTGGAAAACCTACAGACCCATAGAAATAAACACAAAATCCTTGCACATGCGCCCAAAACCCCTGCAAATACACACAAGCACCGTACAAATACACACAAAATCTTTGCAAACACACACCAAGCCCTTGCAAACACACACAAAACCGTTGCGAATACACACAAAGTCCTTGCAAATACACACCAAACCCTTGCAAATAGGCACAAATTCCATAGAAATACACTGAAAGTACTGAACAAACCTCTGCAAGCCATTCAAACCCTATACACCATAGCCACTGTAATGGTGTTGTTGTTGTTGTTGTTGTTGCTGCTGCTGTTGTTGCTGTCGTCGTCGCGGTTGTTGCTGTTGGTGTTGGTGTTGGTGTTGCTGTTGCTGTTGCTGTTGTTGTTGTTGTTGCTGTTGCTTCTGGAGGTTGATGTTGTTGTCGTTGTCGTTCTTATTCCTGTTGTTGTTGGTGTTCGTGTTGCTGTTGTGGTCGATGCTGTTGTTGTTGGTGGTGTCGGTGGTGTTGCTGTTGCTGCTGTTGTTGTTGCTGTGGTTGTTACTGTCTGTTGGTTGTCGGCTCACCTGTATAACCTTTTTGACTGGCTCTTGAAAACATTTGGACACCTGCCTGAGGGCCGAAACATGTGTGGGTCAGTTTTTGTCGTACCCTTGAAACTGCGGGGTCGAGCGCCAAAGTACCGGGCTAGCCTTGCTTTGAGAAATATCTTAGCTGCACACTGCAAAACGTCTACTTGCTACCGCGCGAAAATCCACCGCTGACTCTTCAGCACCGAAGAATCGGCCTGCAAATGTGAGCACGAGGTTCCCTCCACGATAGCGCCCTGGCCACAACAAGAGCGGCATTAAATTCAAAAGATCTTACACTTTGGGGCTTGCGCTTCATCACGTGGGGAGAGTCAAGTCCAGGTTCGAACGTAAATACAGGGAGTTCGTCTTGCTGCACACGGCTTTTCAATGCTGAACACCTGGAACAAACACTCACTGACGTTCTCCCTCCGGAATGCACTTAGATGGACATACCGAGGGCTCCTGCCAATCACTCCCTACTGGTAGCACTCGAGCGGATTAGCAGTGGCTCGGCACGGGATCGTTTAGGCCGACAGTCGGAGACCGCCTGACCTTGTGTCGCAGGAGCTGTATCTCACGTTCACTGGTTATAGTGCCTACACCGAATGCAGTTTACATGCATGCGACGATGCATGTACAGTCGAGCGGTGCTCGTGACGAGCTCGTGGCAGTGCAGCGGGCGCGGTAGTAGTAGAATGGGAACATGACAGCGCACATCCGGCCTGGCACTCGCGCAGGACCTCAGCGGGCCTCTCCTGGGGCTTGATGTCCGAGCCGACGGGCGGCGAGTTGACGCTGAAGGACCATTCGCCTTCTTGGCCCTGCTGGTGGCCAGCGTCTCCCACCTTTGCCATCTTGGATTGGCTCCTGACCTCTCGGATATCTGAAGACGAGAAGTCTTTCAAGGCAGCGATCGCCCGTGCCCTGCTTTCCGTGGAAACCAGCGCATCCGGAACTGCCGCCAAGATCAGTGCGAACTGGTCTGCTAGATTCACCAAAGGGATGGTCATCTTAGGGCTCTGGTATGCTGGTCCGAAGCCCATCTGCAAGCCAAGCTGAAGCCAGTTGCCAGACAAGAGCCCGCTGATCTCGAAGTTCACCAAGCCCGGGTTCTTGAAGCCGAACAGCTTGAAGGTGTCGGCTTTCGATTTGTCCTCAGACGTGGCCTGAAGGGAGTTGATGCGGTCTCTGGCAGAGGATCCTCGGACTTCGGACGTCTTGTTGATGCCCATGTCCTCTCCGTATTCGACCGAAGCCAAATACAGATCCTCCTCGTCCGTCTCCCAGTGCAGGGACTCCTGCAAACGAGCCTTCGCCTGCGCCTTGGTCTGGTTGCTCTCCAGGAGCGACGACCTCTTCATGGAGGCCATGCCGGTTCCACTCTCGCCATCTGTTGCGGACGCACCGAAGAAGCTTCGCGCTGTCTGGTGGCCCCCGTGGACGTTCTCCATCACGAAGTGCGTGTCGTCGCCAAACCTCTTGGACAGGCGAAGTGTCCGGCTGAAAAGCATCACACCGTTCGACTTGATCACGGACCGCAACACGCTGAGGTCCAGCCCACCCGGCTGGTGCCGCGGCCAGCAGACCTCGTGGATGGCAGAGGCAGGTAAGCAAAGCAAAGGAATCTGCAGACATGGTCTGGTAACAGGATATGAAGGTTGCTTGCTGCCGGCTGCCAATCAAACCGCTAAGCGACAACACGGGCACTACCGAGGTGATCGCAAATGTACTAGCTAAGCCCCTGACTTGTGTGTCGATTTCGGCCAACGGCCCGGGCAGCAAGTCGAATTGGACGCCACCCACGAAGGCCACCACGGGCTGCATGTTCAACTGGAAAGTCACCGTAAGGCATTTCTCAATCGAGAAATCCACCGAGTAAAAGGAATACCCCTGCCACTTGTCCCAATGGTCCTTCATCCACTGGTTGCCGCAAGGCACCGCCCAAGGCTCCAGCTTAATGAAGTCGTCCTTGGTATCCGCCTGCCAATCCTCCTGGGTCGCCTGGTTGTTGCTGCCGGTCTTATTCCTGGGTGCGAATGCCAGGCAGGATCCGGTCGCCGTCTCCCTGCCATTGAACCTCGGATGCCGGATACTGGCGCAAGCCCTCCCCACTCTAGTCACACCACCGAGACGTGGGTGGGAATGTCTACATACAATCTGCAACAATCGGGTGCGAGACGGAGGCTGGAAGACTGTCGACGAGGATACATTCAAGGCAAGGCCGCCAGCTACGGCAGGCATGGCGGCTGTTGACGGATTTGCACTCTATATAATGAGTCTTCAAGCCCTTTTCACTGTATGTAGTTGGATTCCAGGCGAGTGGAAATCCCTTCGACTAGAATCTAGAAATGTCCATTGCGTCACTGGTACAGTGACACCCCAGACGAGGAGCTGGGTGACCAGCGCGTGAGTCTCTGGGCCGTAGTCTTCAAAGCTCCACTTGACGGCGGCCGGTGGATCGTCATCATCCTGGAGCGACCCTCGCTCAGTCAGTCCTTCTGAGTCACACTCTGACTCTCACCACCCTCACCCTCACACCCTCACACCTAAGATCCAAGATGTGATGATGGTGATAATGATGGCGTGCGCACATCGTTTGATGAGCCCTGGGGGCGGAAACGGAGGGGAGGCCATCACTGCCGCCACAGGCGAACCCTGAACTGAACCCAATGAAAACAGAAAAAGAGACGTGTGGTTGTGCGTCGACGTATCTATATATGTATGTATGCATGTGCACACATAGAAGTATAAATGTGAATAAGTACACACACATGAACATGCACATATACGTGTATGTATATATATATGCATGTATACATGTACGTATACATATACATATATAAACATATACACATATACATATATATATATATATATATACACAGGTATAAATAAATAATATATATATATATATATATATATATATATTAATATACATTTATATCATAGATATAGCCAGAACCACAGAAACGTAGCCCATGGGTCGGCCGGAGAGAGGGATGCCCAAGACACATACGTGCATGCATACATATATGCATACCAGGACAATAGACTCCACTACATGACGCGACCTTATACACTGTATACCTTACGTACACACACTGTGTACATACACAAATACATGCAAAAAACGTACCAACGCACAGACATGCGTATACATATGCATACATACAAGGGCATACATGAATGTACATAATACAGGTACATACATGCATACATACATATGTACATACAGACAGACAGAAAGACGTGCAGATATACAGAAAAACAGACATACGATCAGCGCATACATTTTCATTTACATACATACATACATGTACATACAGACAGAGCATAATCGTACGCAAATGTGCTGGCATGCATACATACATACACAAATACATACTTGGTGACTTGTTGACTTAGCTGATTTGGTCGCACTTGCATATGGGATCATGACAAGTGCATGTTACGTGGCCTCTCCAGAAGAGGAAGTCATCCATCGGAATAGAGTTATACGACAATTGAATCTTCCGGACGGAGGACTGCCAGAGGAGTCAAAAGGGGAACGGGCGTCGCAAGGTGTTCAAGACCAACATGCGATAGTAAAACGAACTTGCTGCATATTTATGCACGTACGCATGTATGTTTGTATTCACAATGATATGTATAGACATGTTTATGCATATGTCTATGTACAGCTATGTAGGTACATCTGTACATATGTACATAGATTATTCATATTTATATATGTATGCACATATAGGTGTACATGTGTGTGTGTGTGCGCGTGCGCGATAGGTAGATAGAAAGATAGAAAGACAGATCCACGAATAGACAGATGTACAGACAGACAGGCAGACAAATAGATGGACAGACGAACTAGATAGATTAGATAGGTGCATAGACAGACTGATGAACCGATGGACACATCAGTCGAGCATATACATATATGCCGATGCATATGGGAACATACTTGATGTAGATGAGACAACCAGTTGAAGATATTGACATAAAGTATCGGACATGATTTTGGCGACAAATGCTTGATGTCGGGACATGCGTTGGCCCATGGTGACAGCTGCTCTTACTTTGGGACTTGGCAATCGCAATGCAACGGAGCGTGCCTCCAGTTGGGCCATTTCCTGCAACAGCGCTTGTTGTCTCGTTGGCAGCTGCTGCGAGTGCTTGGTAATGACGAGGTTGGGTCCTGCGCATGCAGGTGAAAGCAGGTTGGCACTAGTACGGTCAACAGAAGCTGCAAATTCTGCTCTTGCACAGCGAGTGCGGCGATGAAACAAGGGAGCTCGATTCGTCCATGGCGTTTGGTTGAGGCTGGCAGATGCGCCCTCTCCCATTTACAGCAGCAGGACGACCTACACAGGAAGGCCCGTGTTCCTCATACCTGCTAGTCTCTAAAGCTCCCTGGAGGTGCTGAGTTCCAGGCCTCTGTGATGCACCATCGCCTGAGCGCCTGCAGAAGGGAACTCCGTGGTGGCCGCCGTCTGCAGCAGGGATTCCCCTCCCTTCATCGCTTGAGCCGCCACTGTGGAGGCGACCTTTGCGAAGGCTGCGATGAACTCTCCGAAGATTTCGCCCAAGCGGTTCAAGAAGTTCAAGGGAGGGACGCTCCCAACAATCTGGAAGCCGAGGCATTGGACCAAGTCACTCTGCTGTGACTCGGAACACTTCATGAGCGCGTTGCCCAAGGTGAGCATATTCTGGATGGAATTCGCTTGGCCACCTCCAAGAAGTTGCATTGGCCCAGGCATGAGCCCCATGATGTTGCCACTGGCAATCTGGTTGAGTTGCCCCGGCAAGAGACCCATGATGTCACCACGAGCAATCTGGCTCAACTGTCCCGGCAAGAGACCCATGATGTCACCACGAGCAATCTGGCTCAACTGTCCCGGCAAGAGACCCATGATGTCACCACGAGCAATCTGGCTCAACTGTCCCGGCAAGAGACCCATGATGTTGCCGGTGGCAATTTGGTTCAATTGCCCCGGCAGGAGGCTCATTATCTGGCCATTTACAAGTGCGTGCACGGGGTGGGGCATCCAATGCAGCGGTGGAGCAAGGTGCTGGATCCAACCGCCAAGGCATCCAATCAAATGATGGTGGTGGCCACGGTGTGGACAATGTGCCAGCTCCCACCCAACACTGAACACTGTCCGGACAGCCTCGTATGCAGTCCCTGCCACGAGTTTTACTGGCTCAGGCAGAAAGTCCTGCATTTCTATTGACTTCCTGCCCCAGTTGAAGTCGAAAAGAGTGAGGTGATTGTTCAGGAGATTGATCGAGCATCTTTGGTGCCCGAAATGGATGTCGAACCGGGTGCCGTGCCTACCAAGCCACGGAGCATGGTTGGTGCAACTCGCGCCCCAGGAGCCTAAGTCTCTCGAGGATTTGATTATAGAAGCAGCCACACTCCGAAGCATCCTAAGTCCTCGAGCCACGACACACCCTGCGCCCTAGGCCCGAAGCCCTGACCCTGACCCGGCCTGACGCCGTGATGAGCTGCGCGGCCATCTCCACAGAGGAAATTGCGGTGTTCGCCAAAAACTTGGCGGCATTCCCCGCCTTCGCGGCGGCTTCGTAAGCTTCGGTCAAGGCGCCCCCGGTGAGTCCGGTGCCGTCCAACGTTTTCACGGCATGGCCGACTCCTTCGTGGGCGTACTTGACACCCGTCTCGGCCACTTTTGCAACGGCCTTGACAGCTTTTCCTACCGGACCCCATGCGCTGCGGCGCTCTCGGCGCTTTTGCAGCAGGGCTCTCCTCTCGCTCTTGACGGTCTCCTCCTCCTCCTGCTGGGCCGTCTCCTCGTCCTTCTCGTGAGCTTCGGGATGATACTCCCTGTGCTCCCGCTGGTGCGCATGCTTCTGGAGCACCCTTGTCAAGATGTCATGGGCTTCTTGCACTCTCTCCTCGGAACTCTTCTGCTTCTGCACCATTGAAATCTCCGCGTCATCGGGACCGCATTTCTTCAGCAGCTTCTCAATCAGAGCACGATGCTCGCCGAGCTCCTTCTGCGCCATCCCGAGCTCTGTCTGCTGCAACTCCGCGAAAGTCTCAAGCTGCGCGACCTTGAGCATCAAGAACTCCAAGCTCTTGCCCAGCTCGCCTATGCCCCCACCCTTCTCGCCATTCTCCTTCGGTTCGGGCATGCCGTCGAGGTCCTCAACTTGAAGCATTCAGACCATTAAGACTGGGCGAGTGGTGCAGGGCTGCAGGGGTCAGGGCCTGGAGAGGAAAAGACAGTCCTGCATTTCACCGACGAAAGCCTGAGAAAGAAGTTCGCTGACATTCTGGTCCGATTCCGACACATTGCCAGCATCGGGGTCAGTCGCATTGAGAGGCATGCTGGAAAGCTTGAAAGATCCGACCTGTGAATTCTGGCTTGTCGCAGGTCAGAAATGTCGGACTGGAAGCCGATTAGACGCACTGAAACACCCTTAAGCTTGCAGCCTAGGGACGTTGGTAAAGACAGTAAAGATGCAAAGCATCCAAGCAAGCCATGTCGAAAGCTTGCCAAAGGAACACATGGCTGATGCCATGCTTGCTTCGTTTGATCCAGGAAGGACTTGAGAAGAGTGGCTGCGAATCAAGGGTTCACGTAGTCAAAGCCACCTCACACGCACCTGTGAGCCTACTCTCGGGATCGTTTTCCTCTGAGTAGTCGTGACCTCCCGTGACTGGCAACACTCATACAAATCACCGGCAATTGCTACCAGTATCGCTGCTGTTACTCTCGCCACTAGTTCAAGCAGTCTTTTGTGAAGGATGGCACTAAGCTTGGGTGTGCGTGCGCACGACCACACTCGTCTCAAACATTTTGTCTGCCGCTTGGTATCAGGAACTCAGGAACTACATGTTTCTGAAATTCCTAAATCATCGGCCTATCACTGAGAGCCCGCAAGTTTCTGGTTCAAGTACTCCATGCTGTCCCACATCTCATCTTCAGTAAGCGCCCGGTTCCAAACGATGACCTCCATGACACCAAATTCCGAGACCTCCCCGGTAAAGCCCTCGTTGATGTACACGTGGAAATCGAAATCAGTCTTGTGGGCCGGGTGCTGCCCGACGTTTCTTCTTTCGCGTCCCCTGAAGACAACTCCCTGGGAGTTTCCGCACATGACGAGCCAATCGGTCTGAGAGCCCGAACTATCGCTGACTTGCCACGGAGAGTAGTGAGCAACCCCGACGCTCCCAGCCCAGTGGCCATGCAGCCAATTCGGGTGACTGGTCTGGAGAATCCGATTTCTGTGGTTTCCTGCATAGCGGGTCACTGAGCAAATAGTGTAGTCTGGCTTCATGATCCTGCCGAAATCATATCCTGTGCCGGTGTTGCCATAGAGGTACGCCACAGGGGCTCCGGCTCCATGTCCAGCTTCAAACTTTCTGGTGATGCTTCCCTTGGTGACGCGACCCTTCCAGTCGCCAACCGCACTGTGCCAGTTTGGACTGGCATCTTCGCTCCTGAACCAAGCCACCATGGAAGACTCGGCGGCAGGATATTGGAGCGCAATAAGGTTTGCCTGAGTTCAACCGAGCGGCAGATTTTGTGCTGACGTTCAATGAACCTCCTACAAAATTAGATGTGGTTGACTTCGTGTGCAAGCACTGAACTTCTAGCTGCATCCTTCCCACCTGGAGTTTCCAGTGCAGGTACTCCATGCTGGCCCACATGTCATCTTCAGGGAGCGCCCCGTCCCAAACGATGACTTCCATGACACCAAATTCCGAGACCTCCCCGGTAAAGCCCTCGTTGATGTACACGTGGAAGTCGAAATCCATCTTGTGGGCAGGGTGCTGTCCGACGTTTCTTTTTTCGCGCCCCCTGAAGACAACCCCGTTGGAGTTTCCGCACATGACGAGCCAGTCGGTCTGAGAGCCACCCATATTTTGGCTGATTTGCCACGTTTGGTAGTGAGCAACTCCGACTTGCCCATGCCAGTGGCCATGCAGCCAATTCGGGTGACTGGTCTGGAGAATCCGATTTCTGTGGCGTCCTGCATAGCGGGTCACTGAGCAAATAGTGTAGTCTCGCTTCATGATCCTGCCGAAATCATATCCTGTGCCGGTGTTGCCGTAAAGGTACGCCACAGGGGCTCCGGCTCCATGTCCAGCTTCAAACTGTCTGGTGACGCTTCCCTTGGTGACGCGACCCTTCCAGCCGCCAACCACGCTGTGCCAGTCTGGATTTGCATCTTCGCTCCGGAACCAAGCCACCATGGAAGACTCGGCGGCTGGATGTGGGTGCATTCCCTGCAATCTGGTGTAGGCCGTTCACTCGTTTCGGGATGGAGCAGTGTGGAACAACACACACTTGGAAACTCCCTCGCGAGCATAGCTAGAGATTGGTTACATCCTATGCACTCAGCTCTGTATTCATGCTGCACTCCAGGTTGAGGTTCTTGGCTTAGCCTCATCGCCATGATGCATAAAGAAATGCATACCACTCTAGAGCAGGTACACAGATTGTCGTCCCAATCTGCTCCACGGAGTATCCACAGCCGTCTTCGATGGCAGCAGAACTGTGGACTCCCTGCTGCCCCCTGCATTTTTTGAAGAACAATAGGCTAGTCCCTGTGCTATCAGGGTTTCACACACACACACACACTCGGATTGGCAGTCACGTGCTGCAGCACACAACGCTTTCATCTGTAGCGACTCGCACACAGAATCGATTTAATGCATCACACTGCATGCAAACACAATCGCAGCTGTCAGCGGCTAGCAAACACATACAAACATGGCACTTCTGCGGGCAGCGAATCGCATTGATGTTAGACCCGGAAACGTAGTATACAAAGGTGCTGAATGAAGGACGTCGTCTTCTTGAAACCTACGTGCTGAAATCGGCATCAAGTACTGGACTATCCCTAATGCCTGCGGCTTCAATGACCATGCACAGGAAGACTGAACCTCTGCTACCTCCAACAAAAGCATCCCGCCTTGAGCTTCCAGTTCAGATATTCCATGCTGCTCCACATCTCGTCTTCCGAGAGTGCCCGGTTCCACGTGATGACTTCCATGACACCAAATTCCGAGACCTCCCCGGTAAAGCCCTCGTTGATGTACACGTGGAAATCGAAATCAGTCTTGTGGGCCGGGTGCTGCCCGACGTTTCTTCTTTCGCGTCCCCTGAAGACAACCCCGTTGGAGTTTCCGCACATGACGAGCCAATCGGTCTGAGAGCCCGAACTGTCGCTGACTTGCCACGGAGAGTAGTGAGCAACCCCGACGCGCCCAGCCCAGTGGCCATGCAGCCAATTCGGGTGACTGGTCTGGAGAATCCGATTTCTGTGGTTTCCTGCATAGCGGGTCACTGAGCAAATAGTGTAGTCTGGCTTCATGATCCTGCCGAAGTCATATCCGGCATGGGTATTTCCGGAGAGGTATCTCACGGCTCTGGTCGCCCCATTTCCAACCTCCACCTTTGCAGTGACACTGCCCTTCGTCACTCGACCCTTCCAGCTGCCCGCAGCGCTCTTCCATTCCGGGCTCGCATCTTCGCTCTTGAACCAAGCCACCATCGAAGACGGGTCGGCCGGATGAGGCAGTGCCTGACCACAGCAGTATGGACTGCCCCATGCATTTACCCTGTGCAGAGACGTGCTTACACAAAGTCATGCAACACCGGAACAAGCCTTCGAGTGCTTGAGGGCCCACTTGGGCACCCTGGTCTTGGACTTGCCGGTGTCCGGCCCTTGGTATTGCATCTTGAAGACCTCGCCACCGTCCACGTCGCACATTTCCACCGCCAGCTTGTGGGAACCGGCAGCAAGGAACTTCTGTTCGCTGGGCTTCTCGGTTTCGCCGTGGCATCCGTCGTTGTCCACGACCTTCTCCCCGTCCAGGTACAGCATGGATCCTTTCAACCAAAAGCGGTCTTCTAGCAGTGGCAGACTGTATGAGAATTCTGCTTACTGCAATATACCTTATCTTCTCAGCCCAGGTGCCATCGTCTGAGCTGAGGAAGAACTGGTAGTCGCCAGAGATCTTGGTGACCAGATGCCCCGAGCACCTGCGCATCCCGACGTAATTTTTTGCTATCTGCACATATAGCATACGTAGCTAAGCCGGCACGGAATGCCTCATGCAAAAGTGGTCCCCTTGTCGAACGCCTAGGTTGGAATATTTGCCGTTCTCCTGCAAGCAGTTGCAGATGCAGGATGGGCCAGGATCTGTCACAGGGTTGTCGTTCCCCACGCACACGGAGGGGGACTATCTTAAACTTCGGCAGTCCATGAAGATGTCTGGCACAATCGCGCTGTGGGCGGCTGTCCTTCCGATCACCAGAGGGTCATCAGCAAGACAAACGAAGAACATGTCTTACCTTTCGTTAGTAGCGAATGGAAGAATGGTAGTTACAGTTATTATAGTGGTTACAATTGTACCCCATTCCTCCATTACTTACTAACCAAAGGTAAGATGTTCGTACATGCAGTACCACTGCGGCCAGGCATCAAGGCTGCCAGGTTTGGGACCTGGCACTGCGCCTGGTGGTAGAAGTAGTCGCACTCCAAGCCGTCCGACAGGTGCTGCCAGAACAAAGCCGGTATGACAACTAACAAGCCTATGGGGTTCAGCTCGGGTGTTGTGCGGATGATGACACAGGGATGCTCCGAATTCCTTGCTAGGCCGCTAGGGCCATCGCATGTCGGCCACTAAGACACTAAGACACGGCCTGTCGAATGTTACTGACAGGTGTTAACAAACAACTCTATCAGCACAAACCAATGGACCTTGATGTCATGTTGGAGGGCAGACTCGGGAACAGCAATCTTGGAGTTGCCGGTGTCCGGCCCTTGGTATTGCATCTTGAAGACCTCGCCACCGTCCACGTCGCACATATCCACCACCAGCTTGTGGGAACCGGCAGGAAGGAACTTCTGTTCACTGGACTTCTCGGTTTCGCCGTGGCATCCGTCGTTGTCCACGACCTTCTCCCCGTCCAGGTACAGCATGGATCCTTTCAACCAAAAGCGGTCTTCTAGCAGTGGCAGACTGTATGAGAGTTCTGCTTGCTGCAATATACCTTAGCTTGTCATCCCAGGTGCCATCGTCTGAGCTGAGGAAGAACTGGTAGTCGCCAGCGGCCTGGGTGACCAGATGACCCGAGCACCTGCGGGTCCCACACTGCGAGACTTTGCTGTGTGTTATAAGGGTCCAAAGGACCCAAAAATCGATATTCTGGTTTCGACTCGCACACTCGCTCACGCAGGCACGGCTTCTGAGGTCTCCCTGCTCAAGTAGGTTAAAAATTGGGAGAGTGCATGATAATTGGGGGCTTGTACACTGAGGAATCAGCTAAGCCGGCGCCGAAGGCCTCATGCAAAAGTGGTCTCCCTGTCGTAAGCCCAAGCTGGAAAAATAGCCGTGCTCCTGCAGGCAATTGCAGAGGCAGGATGGGCCAGGCTCTGTCACAAGCTCGTCACCCACCGGCCGAGTTTTCACCCTGTCCATGAAAATCTTTGGCACGATGGCGGTGTGAGCCGGTGTCCTTCCGATCACCAGAGGGCTACAGAAGCAAGACAAGCGCGATGAAACCTGGCAAGCGTGCAAAAGCCTACCAGTTCTGCCATGCATCAGTGCTGCGAGGTCTGGGACATGGCATTCAGACTGGCCGTAGAAGTAGTCGCACTCCAAGCCGTCCGATGTGGGCAGCTGTTGCAAGGCAAGCTTCTTGGAAGAAGTACATACACGTCTACAGAACATGCAGATTGAATCCAGGATCTTGTCGGTATGCTTACCGTCGCGGGTCGTATAATCTTATCACAGCAGGCGACGGTATGCCGGGTGTATGCTGGAACACGTTCAGAATTCAGATGACCAGATCACTGTGTTCTACATCACTAAAACCTCGGTCCATGCTGGGCCTTCGCGGCGTGTTTGAGGGCAAACTTGGGCACAGTGATCTTGGAGTTGCCAGTGTCCGGCCCTTGGTATTGCATCTTGAAGACCTCGCCACCGCCCACCTCGCACATCTCCACCACCAGCTTGTGGACATCCGCCGCAAGGAACTTCTCCTGGCTGGACTTCTCTGTGTCGCCGTGGCATCCGTTGTTGTCCACGATCTTCTGACCGTTCAGGTACAAAAGAGATCCTGGTGACGAGGCTCTAATTATCTGTAGTGAGGCGAGCTATTCTGACTTGCGTATCTTGGCACTCGCTCTCTCAGCACCAATTTTAAGGCGGACAGCTCTGCTTGGGATAGTGCTTCTGAAACCTTGCAAGGCACCATCGTCTGAGCTCAGGTAGAACTTATAATTGCCCGAGTTCTGCAGGTCCACATAACCTGTGCACCTGCAGAGCACTCATCTAAACTTTTACCATTTCACGGTGACAGATGACAAAGCAACAACTGCCTCATGCAAAACTGGTCCCCTTGCCGTGCTCCGAGGACGGAGTATTTGCCGTGCTCCTCCAGGCAGGAACGAGCTCCTGTAAACGTTCTCCTACAACAGATTGCCGATCTTCAACCCCAGTCCATGTAAATTTGCGGCACAAGCCCGCTGTGTAGTGGTGTCCTTGCGACCCAGAAACGGCGAGAAAAGACAATACCCAAGTGGGCAAATACATAAGGACTTGTGATTTATATATGCCATGAGTCATCGCCGCAAGGTCTGGGATGTCGCACTGCGCCTTGTTGTAGAAGTAGTCGCACTCCAAGCCGTCCGCCAGGTGCTGCCAGAACAAAGCTGCATACAATGCTTCAACAGCAGCCAGTCTGCTCACAGTCCTACCAGCTCCAGCAGGCCTGAACCCGATGCTTCAGGGCCCACTTGGGCACCGTGATCTTGGAGTTGTGGGTGTCCGGCCCCTGGTATTGCATCTTGAAGACCTCGTGACCACCCAGCTCGCACATCTCCACCACGAGTCTGTGGATGTTCGTCCCGAGGAACTTCTCCTCGCTTGACTTCTCTATTTCGCCGTGGCAGCCGTTGTTGTCCACGACCTTCTCCCCGTTCAAGTACAGGAGAGATCCTGGAAAGGTCAAACAGTATCTTACAAGCGAATTCGCATGGAGGAGCTTCCCTAGCTCCGCGCTCCGTCGTCTGAGCTCAAGAAGAACTTGTACTTGCCCGGTTGTTTCGCAATCAGATGACCTGTGCACCTGCACTGGCACAGTCTTACAGCAGTGCACGGCGCGAGCAATTGATGAATTGTGAAGCTGCTTCAGTAACGTGCAGGCCAACCTCAAGGGGACGGGGCCCTAACCATTTGTGGGATGTCATCATCACATGAGCCAGGCAGTGCTTGGATGCTGGGCACTCGGCCTGCTAGTCACACAGTATGCTGACAAGGGTGTAATTTTCATGAGTTTGGTCTTTGCGCGCCTTAGGTAAAGACTTCTCTTGCCAGGCAGGGGACAGATCAGTCTTCTTGCGGTTGTGCCGCCGTCAGATCTGGCTCTGCGGCAGCGCAATTGCCGAACGTCCCAACCCAGGAACACCCACACGGGAAACAGAAGCAAACCGACTGGCAAACAGAAAACGGGCAACCGACAACAGCGGCTACGGCACATAGCATGCACCAATAGAACAAGTCCTTGTAATGTAGGAGTGAGATATGTGAGATCACTGCACACGATGCCTGGCCTGATGCAGAAGTTGTCGTGTTGGCGCAGACCTGGGAAGTGCCCGTGCTCCTGATCAGAAAGCCGAAACCTTTAAAGCGACCACTTGCTGCTTCCACAGACCATGACCGTCCATGAAGATCTCCGGCAGAATCCCCTTGTGGGCAGCTGTCCTTGCAGCGACATGCTGGGCATACGCAGTGGCACGTCGCATATCCAACACTGCCATCCTGCTCAGGATTTTCCAGTCCAGAAGTTGCACGAGAACCAGAACTGGAGATGCAGGTAAATTTGATTTCTGCCGGGTATCAGGGCTGCGAGATCCGAGATGAGGCACTGCGACTGGTCGTAGAAGTATTCGCACTCCAAGCCATCCTCGAGTTCGTCCTGCAGATGTATCCCAACAAACTCGGGGTATGGAACTCGCAGATATCATAATGACGTGTGCTCACCGAACAACCGTTGATCTGTCAAGCTTTGCAGGCAAGGCCTGACCCTCGAAAGTGGTGGTTGTGGTGGTGGATGTCGTTGTCGTCGTGGTCGTCCATGTCACCTAAACCACGGTAGAGTTTCTCCACTCGCCAATTCCGTGCAAACCCTGAGGCTCTCGCGGTGGAGGTCGTAGTCGTCGTTTGGGTGCTTGTCGTTGTCGTGGTCGATGTTGTTGTACTTGTCGTTGTCGAAGTCGTCGTTGTCGAGGTCGATGTTGTTGTGCTTGTCGTTGTCGAAGTCGTCGTTGTCGTGGTCGATGTTGTTGTGCTTGTCGTTGTCGAAGTCGTCGTTGTCGTTGTCGTGGTTGATGTTGTCGTGGTTGATGTTGTTGTGCTTGTCGTTGTCGAGGTCGTCGTTGTCGTGGTCGATGTGGTGGTTGTGGTCGTCTCAGCACTGCGAGTTCAAGGCCAACACTTCTGGAATATGCTTGAAAATGAGACGCAGCGCAGCACCCGTCTTTCCACATCCTAGCCCCTAACGCACGCACGCAGTGTTGCAGAGCTTTCAACAAATCGTATCGAGCCCCGCGGCAGTCTGGCATGCGGAGCCCAGGGTCCTTAGGAAAGTTGGGCTATGTCTTCAGACGTTCCATAAGCTGCCGAACCATGAGCCGAAAAAATCCTTGGCATGAAATGCCGGATAATGTGGCACTCTGCTTAGCAAGGTGATCCCATTTACTGTGATTTCTCCAGCGGCTTATTCAGACTTTGGCAAAATCTGGACCGTCCTCTGTAATAGGCTTTGTTCGCCCGGCGGACTTGCTTGATTCGCCTTCTGTTTTCTGCTACTGGTCATCAGTCTAAAGTGAATAAACGACGGCGATGACAAGGAGGCCAAAGGCTTCATTCTGAAGGGGCTCTGCAAAACTCACTTCTTGAAGCCTCCTTCTGTATTCTACTGTTTTACTACTGTATTACTACTGTACCACTCGGCTTCCATTGTGAGGGGGGGAGTGCAGGATGAAGGAGAAAGTCTTCAAAATGAAGGGTGTTTTGTCTTGATGGTTATTTTGGTGTGATCGGGGATTGGTTTCGCTTGTCGATGCAATTACTCTCGTACCAGTGTACGACGACTGTATCTGCTACACGACTACCACTGTATGATCACTGTATATTGTACTCAGCTACTATTCATGTACTACTACTGTACAACTATTGCACTACAACCGTACTTCTGTACTGAGTACTACCGTACGATAGTACTAGGGTGCCAGGAGATGGTCGGGGGGTGGGGGGGGGACTAAACAGAGTGCAACATTGGGGCCTACTTGCCTGAATTATCTGCTGAACTACGTGCTCCGGGTATGACCTGCTTACATAACCAGGAAGTAAGACAGGGGAATCTGTGGGCATGTGTTCCAGGAGGCATCGACAACCCAAGCAGGCTGACAAGCAATGTGAATTACTCTGTGTGTGTGTGTGACTGCATGGAGTCATGGAAAGTGTATGCATAGATCCACACTAAACATAGCAAGGAAATTACATTATACCCAACACAAACATAAACATCTACGTGCATACATACATCCATCCATACATTTCTACACCAATGCAGGCATGCATGCCTTTTGTATCATAGGGGGAGAGGGGAGAGGGGAGCGAGCGAGCGAGAAAGCCAGAAAGCGAGAGAGTGACAGACAGCGAGAGAGTGACAGAGAGACAGAGTGAACTAGGGCCTGCAAAGCGCAGCTTTCTGCATACTACAAACATGTGTATATACATATATATATATATATATATATATATATCAATATATATCATGTCAATAACAGTATAATGTTGCAATATATAAATACATAATGACACAAACATTGGTTCAGTCATTCCTCCGTTCCTTCGTTCGTACGTTCAGTCATTCATTCGTTCATTCATTCCATTTTCATATCGTTCATATCATGCATACATACATACATACACACACAAACATGCGCACATATGCGCATACATGCATGCATCCATGCATGCATTCATACATGCATGTGCACATACACGCACATATACATGCGTACATTCATACGCACATGCATACATCCGTCGCTCCCTCCATCCCATTCCATCCCATCACTCCATCCATGTATCCATCCGTCCATCATATCGACCCATCCATCCGTCCGCCCGCTTATCCATCCTTCCACATACACACCTGCGCGCGCACACACACACACACAGATATGCATGTATCATACTGTGTATATTTCCACACAGCTGCAAAACATGCAAATGCATACATCCAGACATGCAGGCATGGATGCATGCGCGCATGCCTGCACACATTTTCCCGGCCAGCACATACAAGTGCACATACGTATGCATAGTGTCCATACAGACAACCAAACATATATACATACACACATGCACAATCATGTATGTACACATATATGTGCCTACGTACACATACAAATCCATACGTATACCTGGATAGTCTATACACGAATACTATACACCTACATACGACATACATTTATTTCATCCACTCATCCATTCAACCACCCAGCGATCGATCCATCCATCCATCCATCCATCCATCCATGCATCTATCCACCCATCCATCCATCCATCCATCCATCCATCCCACCCTACCTATCCTTGCATGGACAATATACATGCATGGTAATGAATGCACACATGCGAGCACACACACAGAGACATACACATACATAAAGGCATCCAATGCTGACCAGCAGGGTACCTGTCGACTGCGAGCCAGGGGTCGAGCATCGTCCGTCCAGCCAAGTGCACTGCATCGCCTGCTCCTCGGTGGAATTGGGAAGGTTCCATGGGTACATACGGTTGATGATATAAATTCTGCATTACCTTAGGGACCCTAACCTATGGGATGGGAATGCAGGATTTATATCTTCAACGGTAATGGCTGTGATATGCTGTGATATAAGGGGGTTTGCGAAAATCGGGGGCCCTTATATAGTACCCCAAACAGTAGAATCTTGATTATCAAGACCCCAAAATAGGGTACCCATAATTCTCGGAAACTGCCATAAAGCCACAAGGTTGGAGGCTGCGAGTGCTACGCAAAGGGGATCAAGAGCATCGTCGGCAGATAGAAACTTGCAATTGCAACTTCATGTTGAACAAACATGGGTGGGCTACTGACAGCAGAAATTGCAAGTACGATGGGCCTCTTAGTGAAACTCAGAGTGACAAAGCAGGGTGACGACGGCTGTAAAATCGATGACGCAGCAACTCGCCTCCAACTCTTGCGAACAATTCCCTGGTTCTTTTCGACTCTCCGACTGATGCTGCCCGAGACAAAGACCCTTCTGTAGCCGACCCCAAACTCTGAACCACGCAGACCACGCGGCTCCGATTTCCACGAAGTAGCTGCTGCAGTCTGCCTCCTGGCATCATGCCCACGCACTCTGGCGATAGTTTCTCGGAGCAAGTGTGCAGATCGGATGTTGGGTCTTGAACCCGTGCGATTGATAAAGGCTTACCGCGCGGCTTCCTGTCGAGAAGTTGGGATATAGTATGCGGCCACTCAAACTTCTGGAATTCTGGAGACAATCGGATCCATGTCAATAAGGACAAAGCTTACCTGTGTCTAAGACTCCTCGTGGCTGAAATCTCTCGAACTCAAGCACACAGAAAGAGGCAAAATAAGCTGTGGTAACAAGCCAAGACCTGGGCCAGCAACGCCATGCATCTCAATTTTCTGCGCATAAGCTGCCAGTTCTCTGATGCCATAAAATATCCATAAGTTTTTAGTCGTGTCGAAAGAATCGATAAAGGCTAGTGATCTGTGCTCCCGGATTCGTCAAGATGCTCCCTTTCTGTGCGAATGTGTACAGAAAACGGGTCGCAGTGAGGCTAATCTCAGCCAATCTTTCTTGGGTCTTTGTGCGGTTCGCCTTGTAGACATTCTTTTCAAGATTTCGCCGGAATTTAGTCAGTCCACTGAGACACCTCCACCACCTCAGGCACAAGCACCAGCACTTTATAGGAATATCAAGCGGAAGGCTCAGCGATTTAGGAGCGGTAACACACTAGGGTAACAATCTGTATAAATCGAAAGTCGACGCTTCAACACTGCATGTGGCAAAGAGAAATTGGAACAATCAGCAGAGCAAGCACGTTCATACTCAAATATCATATATACTGTATACTAACAGCAGCAAATACAATTACTCTCCAGAGCCATGCTGCTAACCTGACCATCCGACTAACCTGAGTTGTGGTGACGGACAAGCCCGGTCACCACTAACATTGCTGTAGCAGTCGATGTCAAAGATGCTTGCCTGATGTCCTACATGACTTATGATGTGTCGACGGGCATGGGCCGAACAAGTGAGGCCTGCAGGTGAGTGCACGAACTGCTGCCTTCCGCCATGGCGCCCTGCACGTGTCAGGGATCGCCCTAGACCAGAGAGTGACCCAAAGAATTGAACTCCATACAGCCGTGTGTGTGAGAAGGAGTTTGGAATCCCGGCTTGCAAGGTACGATTGAGTTGGCATGGTTCGGAACTCTTAGATTAGATTAGACGCAATCGGTCTGCTCCAAAGTCGATATGTGGCCGTGAAGGGCTGTCCACCCAGGTTTACGGGTCCAGACCTCTGCCAATACGATTTTAGCTCCGTGTTGCCTAAGCTACCAGCAGCATGTTGTCGTGACTCCCCTGGATTAGTGACTCAACTGCCGGAAAAAACTGAAAATGACCGTCTTGCTGTCTCTGCTTAATCTGATGCGAACCGCCCGGTAAGTGGGCGCAGGGAAGAGGCACAGTTGGCGACTCATGGGGCAGCGTTCAGACCCCAACACGAACCCCGCCCCCTGCAAATGCATGGGCCTGGCACTCGGGGAGAACCTCCTCCTTGGCAGGGCGGTCTTGGCGCTTGATGCCGGAGTCGACGGGCGGTGAGTTCACTTCGAAGGACCATTCATCTTCCTTCGCCTTTGCGGCAGGATCTGTCATTCTCACGGCCTTGGACGCTCGCCGCACCTTGTCGACGTCCGCGTAGTTGAAGTCATACAAAGCGGCGATGGCTCGGGCCCTGCTCTCTTCCGAGACGATCTCATCCGGCATGGCTGCCAAAATAGCAGCAAATTGGTTGGCAAAGTTGAACAAGGGGATTTTCATCTGCGGGCTTTGGTAGTAGCCAAAACCCATCTGAATGCCGAGATACATGACATTGCCGGTCAGGAGGCCTTGAATCTCGAAGTTCACCATGCCGGGGTTCTTGAAGCCGAAGAGCTTGAAAGTTTCCTGCTCATCTTCGCCTTGAGAGGTCGAAAGAAGGGAACTCATGCGCTGCCCTGCAGAAGGCCCTCGTACTTCAGAGGTTTTGTTGATGCCCAGGTCCTTCCCAATCTCGATTGAAGCCAAGTAGAGATCCTCGTCCTCCGTTTTCCAATACGAGGATTCCCTGAGCCGAGCCTTTTGGTGTGTCCGGCTGCGGTTGCCCTGCAGAAGTGATGTCCTTGACATGTATTCCATGGCAGTTCCACTTTCTCCCTCTGCTGCTGAAACCCCGAACTCGCTTTCCGAGGTTTGATGGCTTCCGTGGATATTGTTTGCCGTGAAGTGCGTATCGCTTCCAAACCTCTTCACCAGGCGCAGTGTCCGGCTGAACAGCATGATACCATTGGACTGGATCTCGGAGCGCAGCACACTGAGGTCAAGCCCACCCGGCTGGTATCTCGGCCAGCAAACCTGACTGCTGAGACGAATGCCAACATTGACTTGATTCATATTTGGCGCAGAAACAACATCTGAGTTTGTTTTACCCTACGACGGCTCCCTGCGACCGGCCGACATTACATTCCCAGATCTATTGTCGGAGAGGTCGTGCTTTCAATTGTCTCTTCTTCTTGACTTTCGATTCCCCTTGAGCTCCCCTCCGTTGGGATGCGAACTCTTGATCGAATCCAACACTTTGATTGTTTTGTTCCGGTCCCGTTCCTGAGTGTTTTGTGTGTGTGTGCGCGCGTGTGTGTGTGTGTGTGTTTGGGTGCAACCGTGCTCCTACACATTCCTGCGGATGTCATGACTTGCGACTCGTTTTGCTGCCACAGTGCTCTGCGTGTTCCGGCGTGCCAGTCGTACTTCTACCAGAGTGTGGAGCGCATGTTAGATGCATGGGGTAGCTGCTGGTGGGTGTGGACTTTGGCTGGTGCACGGGTGTTTTCGCACGGCCTGCTGTTCGGAAGTCATGCGGGAGGCCGGGAATCATTTTCACAGGGTGGGTTGCATGTCACGTCAAGTCCGAGTCCGGAGTGCATGCTTATAGCAATCGCAAGGCGGCTGTGGAGGAACTAAGCAAATGATCACGGGCGGGCATGACTCTATCGTATAAGGCTCGGGCTGTGGAGTGGATTTCAGCCAGCGGACCGGGAAGTAAATCGAACGAAATCCCGCCCACAAAGGCGGCCACGGGCTGCATGTTCAACTGGAACTTCACCGTCACACACTTCTCAATCGAGGTGCCCACCGAATAGAAAGAATATCCCTGCCACTTGTCCCAATTGTCCTTGATCCACTGGGCTCCACAAGGCACCGCCCAAGGCTCCAGCTTCACGAAGTCGTCCTCTGTCTCCGCCTGCCAATCCTTCTGGGTGGCCTGGTTATTGCTGCCCGTCTTGGTTCTGGGCGCGAATGCCAAGCAGGATCCAGTAACGGTCTCCCTGCCGTTGAACCTCGGAACCCAATGACGAGCCTTTGCTCCAAGCTAGACGTGCTTTAACCGTTGTAAGGGTCTTCCTCCAGTGGATCTGGGCTTCTGAGCCTAAACCGCCCCACGGGATTTCGTGCAAAATGGACTCTGCCTCCCTCGCCGTCGTTTTGCGATTGGGCTGCTGATCCAGGGACGGACCGACCCTGACATGGCAGCTGACACCTTGAGCGGATGCATGCTTTCATGCTCGTGACCTTTTGTTATCATCGAAAGCTGACTGCAAAAGACCCTCATCAAGGATCTCTTGCAAGGGGAGGCGTCTGGTCTGGTCTGTGTCTCTGTCTGTGTCTCTGTGTCTGTCTGTCTGTCTGTCTGTGTCTCTGTGTCTGTGTTGGTGTGGGCGTGGATGCGCGGGTGCGTGCGTGGGGGTGCGGGCGTGTGAGTGAGTGCGGGGGGTTGCGGGTGTCGGTGTGGATGGCACATTATCTGGTAAGTCCTGGGTGCCGAGACAAGCAGCTGTGTCACCAGTTCGTGAGTCTCAGGTCCATAATCGTTGAATTCCCATTTCACGCTTGCTGGTGGGTCATCTTCATCTTCTTCGCGGCCTTGAGCCTGGGCCGAAGCACATCACCAGATCAAACTGCTGCTGAGTTACTCCAAGATGACTGCTCCTCGCTGGGACCTATGCCGAAACATGCCCTACCGGAATAGCAACGGAGCCTCCAGGTTGGCCAACTCCTGCAGCAACTCGGCATGTTTGCCGGGCATCTTCTGCGAGTGTTTCGTGATGACGAGGTTGGCGCCTGCACAGTTCGGCTCGCAAGAGACATGCCGTGCAGGTGGTCTTGCCTGAAAATCTCTGCCATCCCAACTACATCGAACGCTTAGTCCGGCCTCTGTGATGCACCATCGGCTGAGCACCAGCAGAGGGGAACTCCGTGGTGACTGCGGTCTGCAGCAGGGATTTCCCGCCCTTTATCGCTTGAGCCGCCAGCTTGGAGGCCACCTTGGCGAAGGCAGCGATGAACTCTTCGAAGATGTCGCCCAAGCGGTTCAAGAAGTTCAGAGGAGGGACACTGCCGATGATCTTGTAGCCGAGGCACTCGACCAAGTCACCTTTAGCTGCTGCCTCAGGGCACTTCATTAGCTCCGTACCCATTGTGATCATGTTCGCGATAGAGTTCGGATCGCTTCCTCCGAGAAGCTGCATCGGCTCGGGCATGAGCCCCATGATGTTTCCAGCGGCAATCTGGTTGAGTTGCCCCGGCAATAGCCCCATGATGTCACCACGAACAATCTGGCTCAACTGTCCCGGCAAGAGACCCATGATGCCGCCGGTGGCAATTTTGTTCAATTGCCACGGCAAAAGGCTCATTATCTGCCCGTTTGCAAGTGCCTTTACAGGATTTGGCATCCAGTGCAAAGGAGGCGCGAGTTCCTGGACCCAACCGCCAAGACATCGAATCAAATCATGGTGGTGGCCACGCTTTGAGCAATGCATCAGCTCAAATCCAACGCTGAACACCGTCCGGACAGCCTCGTACGCTGTATCTGCGACCAGCTTGACGGGATTTGGCATCCAGTGCAAAGGAGGCGCGAGGTGCTGGACCCAATTGCCAAGACATCGTATCAAATCATGATGGTGGCCACGTTGTGGGCAATGCATCAGCTCCCATCCCACGCTGAACACTGTCCGCACAGCCTCGTAGTGCGAACCTGCGACCAGCTTGACTGGATTTGGCAACCAGCCCAAAGGATTTACGAGGCCATACACCCAATGGGCAAGACATCGAATCAAATCATGGTGGTGGCCACGGTGATGACAATGCATTAGCTCAAATCCAACGCTGAACACTGTCCGGACCGCCTCGTAGTGCGATTGTGCAACCAGCCTCACGGGCGAAGGCATAAGGTCCAGGATTCCTCCACCTGTTACCACTCGCAGATTGTGGGGAAACAATGCGTGTCTGTGGCCAAAGTTGAAATTGAACAAGTCGACCTCCTGCCCCATCAACGAAAGTCTGCACTGCACGTGGCCGAAATAAACGAAGAGGCCGTTGTTGTCTGGGTTCCGACAAATGACGCACGAAAGCGAATTAAGCGTTATAACTTCTAACAGATATAGTCAAAGGCTGATTTGTCGTACTTAATTAACACTTGGTGAATATCATAAACCTGCGGCTGCCTTTGCCGGATATACATCTCAAAAACTGATGCCCAACCTAGAAAGAAAACTCGTTCGAGACTTTCTTCGGGACGCAAACTCTTACAGTGCAAGGTTTGGGCGACTCACGTGTGCTTAATTTGACAGGTAACTTCTGCATCAAAATATCGCCAGGTCATGGACACAACAGTTTTCGTGAGTGCAGGGACGGTTCTCTCATGTTCTCAACTCCCGCAATAACCTCAGAACTATCTATGAGAAGCAAGCCACCGGTCCGCACCGACGGCATGTGTCTCGCAGGGCACCATGCACGCCAGTCTGTGAAGCCTCTTGTGAGGATATCCATTGCCATTTGCACGGTGTCGATTGTTGTCCGGCGGACGAATTCAATCTCGGCGCGACGGGCTTGCCAGGTTTGGAGGATTGGTGACGGTCTGCTTTCTGCTGGACGTGTCTCTAGCTGCGTGGTGTTTTCGCCTATGCATTGCTAAGCGAGTCGCTGAACAGTGTGATTAGGTACATCATGTCGTGTTGGTGGACTTGGTGTGCGCATGTTTTACTAGTTCTAAACAAGTCCTGCACCAAGCTTTGGTCTTGATCTGTCGGTCTTTGACTTGGGATTGGCTGTAGCTTTCGCCTTTCCCGGCCTATTGCTTGCTTTGAGGCTTGGTTTGGTTCCGGCAGACTGACGCATTATTGCTGCTGGTCAGAAGCAACTACCTGGCGTTCTCCAGTCTGACGCTTTGTTCTCGCTCGGGATACTTGCGTGTGCAAAATTAGGTATCGGAGTTGTGGATCGCTGGCACATGTTGCAACTCACATGATTCTTGTGCCGTCCTCACAGAGGCACAAGGAGGATCGTCACGGAGCCATGGTATGATGACGGTTATGGCTTCTAAAAGATAAGCCAAGACCAACCATGCCTGCTGTCTTACCATCTTCAGAATCAAGATTATTTTGCTCATTAAGACTGGTGTGGTTGTCATCTCAACCTCCTCACCTTGTCTGTAGCGCTCTCGTAGGCATCCCCCAGTTTGTCGCCGATAAGTCCAGTCCCGTCCTTCGGAATTTGCTTCCAGCGATGATGTAATCAGTAAACTCCAGCGTAGACTCGCCTTATAGTGTGGGCAAAGTGCTCTGCTTCCCCAAAGCCGAGTAAATCACAAACCTAGACGCGCAGCATGAGGTTTAATTACATACACTCACATACTGACTGCCCTTTAAAAATGTCTACTGTCTGATGACGGTAGTAAAACGTAGCGATCCCAAATCACGATCACAATCTGCAATATGATGCTGATGAAACAAACTCACCGGTCGGTCCTCGACCTTGTCCACAACCCAACCTGCCAGAAGATCCGATGTTCAGGGTTTCAGGCTGCGGGGGCTACAGCTCCCAGGTTTGCTCAAGCTGCCTAGAGGGCCGAAACCCAACCGAGTTGTAATCTCCCCCCGGACATGGACCCTCTCAAAACCAACAAGCCTGGTCTGAAATCCCGCTCGGCCACTCCAAACCTTTGCGCAAAGTCAACACCCAGCTATGCCTGGGAGCCGGAACACATGATAGCCAAACCAACAATAACAAGTTTCTGTGGTTGCCCTATCAGCATTAAAGTCTCTGGCGGAATATCTGAGAGTGAGTGCATGGATGCTCGACAAGATTCCCGACTCTTCGGAGTGTGCCGAACAGCAGAGACCCACAGAAAGGAAGGCCCTCTGCAGCTTCAGGCTCATGCAATCAGGCTGGTTTCAGCTCTCTTCATTGCTTCCTGCACACCATTTCTGAAACTACCTCGCCAAATTGACGAAGGTTGTTGGCCATCTCCACGCAAAACAATATATCGGAGCAGGATTTGATCAGGAAACTGCACAATGCGCCGTACTTAGGGCAGGTCTTGCAGCCAAGGCACCAACAACTTTGGAGGACACCGTGCTGTCCAAGGATTCCTGGTTAAACGGCCAGCATCGCAACAAGTAACCCAAGCAGAGAAATCGCATTGACGACATCGGAGTTGCCGCGAGACCAATGCCACACCCGTTACCGTTGGCCGTTTTAGCATCACTGCTGTCATCGTGCGATCTTCATCTCCATCTTCATCAGAGTTGACTTCGTCAGGAAGACAGAACCAAATGCGGTTGCGACGATAAGCCCAGAGCATGGCGATTGCGGTTTTTCCGTAGTAAGCCGCACAGGAAGAACCGAAAACATACGGCAAGAACCACAAGCAAAATGGACTTGTGAGAGGAGCACGACCAGGAGGAAGCACCGAGTCGGCACGATGACGAAAGCAGAGAATCCGAACTCAAAGCTACGAAGGACTCCATTATAGCCTAGACATGCTTAGAAAAGCTGAACAGCTTCTCGGGAGTGGGGCGGCGATCACGAAGTGGACTACGCACAAAGTGCAAACAAAGCTTGTGCGAGAGCGGGTTGGCGCATCTGGGTCCTCCAACATCACGTGCTCAAAGGGGGCATTTTGACGCACAAGGGAAGGGGTGGGCAAAGCTTGCGGGCGGCTTGAAGTTGGTGAGTGGTAGGGCAGGAAAGCATATGAGAGCCGGTGGGGAAAGGCGAGGGAGCCGGTACGGGCATGGGAGCTTCCAGGCAAAATGGATGAGACGAGACCTTGCTCGACCAAGGGGTTGGATGAAAAGTGCGGGAAAGCATGGGAAGGCCTTTTACAGGGGCTCAGCCCGTTGGCCGGAAGGCTGTGGGCGCCAACGATCGCGGGGCCACGCTATATTAAATCTTATTATCGCGGACGGGACGGGGCTTGGGGTCCGGGACAGGACGGACCGGGGCTGAGGATGGCTGGGAGCGTCTGCAGAGCCGCCAAGCAGGGACAGGCTTTGAATATCGCTAGCGTAGTATAAGTATAGATCCGAAAGAGTGATAGAGCACCACCCACGAAAGCACGAGGAAACCCCCACGAACCAGACTCATGGGACCACGACCAGACCAAGCGCAAATGCTTCTCCCATCCTCTCTTCCTGGACTGTAATGACAACTACAACATTCCGAAGTCAATCAAAACGAAGCCCATGTGCGTTGGAATTTGCATTTCATCTTGCTTTCCGGTGGACGGAGCTTTAAATAGTCGTACATAAGCACAAACCACGCATGCCGCCCACCCTGTTGCGCATCATCAGAGCCTTGCTTTCTCGTTTGCCGCACCTTCCGCCCTTCCAGGCTGTTGTTTGGGCATGTGGGGCCGATCTGGGCGCGCGAGGGTGCTCATCTGGGCGTCGGTACGGCGAGGCATCATGACCATCAGCTGGGGCTCCTTGGGTCCTTGGCGGCCCCGCCGCTTCGGGAAGGGAGCCAGAGGCCGCGTCCTTGACTTTCTCAATTTCTCTTGCGACGCCTGGACCGGACCCCCCGGGCCCCCGGGCTCGGACGGCCAGCATCTAACGGTTCTCCGGCAGGCCCCCGGCTCGGTGAGACACCAAACACCAGACACGAATTTGGCACTGTCACCATCGACCCTTGAGGCTTTGAACCCCTACCAGGGGCCCGATTGCTTGTCAGCCACTTGGTAATTACACTAGAAAGCGGATGAAAGCGGCATTCTCCATGATCACAGCTTCAGATGCTTCCGATTCAAAGAATAGGGTCTGGCACAACCATGAAGGAGAACTGGCCAAGCACTGTAAGGCATCGGCCGCATCGGCTTTGGTCGTTTTCTTGCGTTTCTCAAGCAACTCCGCCTGCAAGCTGCACTTCCAAGTGTCCGAACGGCCCAAAATGCCTAGATGCTATTCCGTTGTCCACTAATTTTGGTGAGCGGAAGAGCAGCGTTCGTACCTGTCCGGTTCTTGTCGGGACATGTCGGGACTGCCATTACGGAAACATGATGGGAATGATGGGACATGATGGGACCCTTGCTACAGCACCGACACTTCCAGTCCGACAGCTGTCCTGGAGGCTTCGAATTGCCGAAGCACCAGTATCTGACACACTCTGACACCATGCCTGACATGCCAAACTACAATCCAATTCCAAGCTCGATGCATTTCTGCGTCGCCTGACTCGCGGCGCGGGCCTTTGGGTGGAACTCTCCTTGGCTGTGGACTCTTCATGAAAGGACAGGGCCCATGGTCCTGTGAGGAGCGATATCCTTGAGGCTCATCGGAGCCTCACTGAAGCAGGCAAGCCTCGGTGCTTTAGTTGGTGGGCGTGCTTCTTGACGACGCGCTTCATTGTGGCTTGGACCTCCTGACAGAGTGGATTGAACTGTGTGCATTGTGCACGCTATGCGGACGCTCATGGGCGATCCATCAGTTCGGCTAGGTGGACTCACGCTTGGCACACTTCGTTGCCCTACCTATTACCACTGGTCATGATGCCCAGATTGCAGATCCAGCATGATCCAGCGCCAATCACTGCTTGTAAGTGCTTTGCATGTCTTTGGCAGATCGCTCTCCTCCAGGTGAGCGTCGGGGTCCTTCTGCACAAGGGTGACCTTGCTGTCCGTATGGTCGGCATTCAGGTGCTCCTTTAGACGAGCTGGGAGCTTGAACTGGCGAATGGGAAGCTGGACCGGTAGACTGCGGACTACGGAACCGGTTACACTGCAGCTGTGCGCCGCGCGGAGTGCCGCTTGCAGACTTCCGGCGAAAGTCGTCTATAGGTACTATATAGGTTACTGACACGATACATTGCGCCACTCAGACATGCATGTCGTGATGTTGCAGCATGGCTTTTGCAACTGCTCCTTGAGGTTGTTCTTGAGGTATGTGATCTCTGCCTGTTGCACTTCGGCAAGAGTCTCGAGCTGTGTGATCTTCAGCATCATAAACTCGAGAGTCCTGTCGAAAGGACTAGGCTTCGGGCAACCGTAGGAAGTGCGAGGCTTCTGCCTCTCGAATGAACCTTTCACGACGTGAGTTTTGTGGAGTTTTAACAAAGTGAACACAGAAGCAGCTCCTTCCAAGGCCAGCTAGCCCTTCCGGCCCTTCGTCTTTGGTTTCGTTCGCATCCTCGCCGGTCTCGTTCTCACCTGTCTGGGTCATTGGGTCCGGGATGGTGTCCATTTGCTCCATGTCCATGGCCAAGTTCTTGGCGATGGCCTCGTTCGCCTGCCGGGCCACGGTCGAGTTGGTCGAGTTGATCAACTGGATCGGGAAGTCGGCAGTCTTAAACGCCAGAGTGGTCGTCAGACTCCCACTCCAAGCGCTCAGGAAGATCAGGAGGCTGAAGCTCCGCGGCCGCGGCTGAAGCATCGCAACCAGCATTGCTTCAACTTCGGATGAGCCCGGGCTGTTTCACAGCGAGGCTCGATTGCTACGTTAAGATCGGTTGCTAACTAAAACTGCTTGACGAATCCACCAGCTTGGTAGATTGTCCACTAAAACGAGCTGCGGTTCGGCCTTCCCCACTCATCACAGAACATGACAGGACTGAAGGCTTCGCATCTGCTTCATTGCAAGGCACGGTGGTCTGACAAAACTGGGCAGGTGTCGGCCTGCCGGTGACATGACGGTGGGTTCGATGATTTGTCGCCTGGCAGCGGGATCGCGCTCCTCAAGGCTCTAGCATTTTGCACCGGTGTCGCCGAATGTACTGCTTGTTGTACAGCTGTGTAGAGTGACGCGTTTGCCGGGACTCTGTGACGATGGCAGGCACGCTTGCGCCAAGTCATATGAAACCTCACACTTGTTAAGGCGGCATCACACGTATAACGGAGCATTTATTCGGTCCCTATATCACGAACAAATAGATCACATGCGCACAGATAGTATTGATGGCAAGTTGCGTTCTTCTCAGCGTTAACCAGCAGTACCAAAACCGTCAGTCATCTCCTAATGCATCATGTTTTGGCCTATGACCGGATTAAATGCAGCTGGTCTTGCATTGTTTGCATGGTGATACCGCGCTATGCTCCATGCGGCTTTTTCGTGTGATCCTGCGCCATGCCGTATCCTCACATGCGCAGGTATAGAGACCGAGCGCAACTTTTAATTAGCATGATGACGATCAATCAAACAGGGTCAGCAAAAACTATCGCAAGTTACATTGTCAAAGCTAGAGACAGTAAATTGTCACCTCAACCTGGCTCTTTCGGGTTTCAGGTCCATGCAGACCTTAGTAAGCCGTGGTATGGCGTAGCCGCACTGCTGCTGCCGGGTGTGTGCCGTTTCAATTCCCTGTGGTCGGACTATAGAAACTTCTGTTTTGGCCTGCAGACACTCTTTCTCGTAAAAAGCGGCAGCTCCGGTTCCCAGACTCTCACGAAGCTTCCAGCTCACGCTCTCAATGCTGGTCCACATCTGGTCTTCCAAGAGCGCGTGATTCCGCGTGGCGAGCTCCATCACACCGAGGCTAGGGACTTCCCCTGTGAAGCCCTCTTTGATGTACAAGTTGCGGCGTGTGTTGTGGAGAACTCCGCCGTGGATCAAAGATGACGAACCAGATCCTAGCCAATCGACATCGCTCGGAAAATCCCAGGTGTGAGCTACTGCAGTGCGTAACACCCGTGCGAGCTTCATGGCGACCATCTCGCAAAAATAGGAGGAACCTTGGTAAGAGTTGGGGACAATCGCGGGTTCCATGTGGACCTGTTTGCAAGACAAAACGTCGCCTTCTTGGTGTGCGAACAAGAGTTCATCGGTCAAATCGGAATGATATCTTGGCTCAGGCCGGAAACCACAGCATCACCAGCGCCGTGAGATGACAAACTCCACGTTCTGTGCGAGGGTGTCGGTGAGGGCTGGAAGCGCCTCCAGAACTTGCGGAACCGATTCTTGCAGCTGCGACGATGCCCAAAGGCAGTTGGACAAGGCCTGCGAATTGAAGTCCTGCACCTTGTAAGGAATCCGCTTAGCCAGGGCAGGAACTGCTCGCAGCACTTCCGGAGATCTGTCTTTCAGAGTTGCTGCTGCCCACAGGCAGTTGGATAAATGCTGCGGAACCATCTTGTCCACCTGGCATGGTATGTGTGTGGCCAAAGCCGGCACTGCTTCGAGAACTTCCGGCGACGAATCTCTCAAGGTCGCTGCGGCCCAAAGGCAGTTTGACAAATCCTGTGGCAGCATGCGATCCACCCGGTCCGCTGCAGAACTTGCAAGGACAGGCACCACGGTCAGCATGCATGGGACCGAGTCCTGGAGGCATGCGGCAGCCCACAGGCAGTTGGACACGGCCTGCACATCAAAGTCTCGTAGCTCGGAGTTGAGGATTCTGTCCACAAGGGCTGGTGCGATGTCGAGTACATCAGGAGCAGGTTCTTGCAAGACCGCAACTGCCCAGCAGACGCTGGAAAGCAACTGATGGTCCAAAAGCGCAAGCTTGCCTGGCAAGAGTCGCACGATGCCGGGAACCGCCGTTAAAATCTCCGGGGGTGCTCGTTCCAGTTTTGCTATGGCCCAAAGACAGTTGCAGAGGTGCTGCGGCAACATCTTGCCGACCTGGAGCTCAATGTGCTTGGCCAAAGGTCGCACGGTGGACAGACCATGAGGCGCGGCATCCTTCAGAACCGCAGCAGCCCAAAGGCAGTTCGATAGTTGTTGCGGTGTCATCTTCGCAACCTGGGCAACTACTAGCTGGGACAAAGCCATCATCAAACTACAGCTGCTATACAGCTTGAGAATCGAGGAGGGGCAAACACCTGCCTACAGTAGCCAAAGCACTTGTCGGGCGATATGCTTAGCCAGTGGTGGCACGGCAACAAGGACCTCCGGCACTAGGTCCTTCAACTTTGCTGAGGCCCAGAAAGAGTTGGACAAAGCTTGGGCATCGAAGGAGACAGCTTGGTCTTTGACGGCCGCGGCCAAGGCCGGCACGGCTTGCCTGAGCTGACTCGGGATGAAGTTTGACCCAGCCACGGTTACAAGGCCGACATACTCATTTGCCCACTACAAGAAGCAGCTTCTACATCCCTGTCGCGGTCAAGCCTCGAAAGCTCCGGCGAGTTATCCCGCACCGTAGCAGCTGCCCACAGGCAAATCGCTAGCTCTTGGGGCTTCATACCTGCGAGTTTTCCCGGAAGATGTCGTGCCATGGCAGGAAGTACCTTCAGCACTTCTGGTGCCAAAGACTGAAGCTTGGCTGATGCCCACAGGCAGTTTGAAAGCCCTTGGGGAATCATGTCGTCCAGCTGGCTCCTTGTAGCTTCCATAAGCCCGGGGAGAAGCTTGAGCAAGAACTGCAAACCAGGCTCGTCTGATAAAACAGCTAGGCCCCAGTATATTGACGCCACGTTGCGAGCAGGTAGGCCCTTTCTTATTACGGCCTTCAGTCGTGATTTCAACATTGGCCATGCAGGGCTTTTGACATTCTCCCTCTTTAGCCGACCTTGCCTCTTGAACCTGGCGAGGCCTGTCAATGCAGCTGATGCATGGACAGCATTAAAGCGAGAGTCCCGTACAGAATCCCTTATGGTGACGATCAAGGCTTCCGGTGACTTCGAAAGGGAGATCTGGGACGTCAAAACCTTGGAGCACGTGCCACGACCATGACGACCCTTGATGGAGGCTCGACCTCTGCACTGGCAATGCCAACTGCCACGCCTCCCACGGAATGGCGATGCCAGTGGTCCAGCTGACTGTGGAATGCGTGGAGCTCGTGCAAGCACCAGGCAGCCAATCGGACATTGACATGCTGCCGTCAGCCATGCAGCAAGTAAAACTAACGACATCATGACACCTTTCGGCACACATGGTGCATCCACTGGGCGGCAATCAGACCACTTGAACATGCTGGCGCGAAGGACACGTGCCAATACTTGTACCAGCACCACTGGTCCAAGCCATTGCCAAACGATGCAGCATCTGTGTCTGTCTGGGAAAGCAGCTCGCTTTGCAAGGATCATAGCATCTAGCTTACATGAAACACAAAACACCTTGCTGAGGGGGGAGCTTGAAGTTGTTCGAGCAGGTACCAATGGTGGCTATCTGATCTATGCTTGCCAGCAACCTGCTAGCGATCTGCCTGATGCCTTCGGCTGCCGTCTTCAGCAACTCAAGAACCCCAGGGAATAAAACTGCGACAGTGCACCTGGACCTGTTGCTTTTGAATAATCCCGACTCCGGGCTTCCCTCCTACAGCTGCTGGTCGGTTCTGTCGCATCTGTCAAACACGTAGAATCTTTGAACTTCCCAACAGCACGGTTCTGCCACGATATTTGCAACTACCAATGACATCCCGGCATTGCGGCGTCTGTGGCGCACTCGGTGTAAGACGGCATCAAACGTATCCGAAAGTCCTGCCGTGAAGACCGGAAAATTATGCAACGAACCGCCAAACGAGTATTTCCCTACAAGGCGGATACTCCATGATACTCCCCCATGACAGGGCAAAGCACCTGCATCCGGCACATGTGCGCCAACTCTAATTCCACAGGGTTTCCCAAGCGTTTGCCCAAGGTGTGATGCCTGCTGGTGCTGTTCATCGTGCAGTTGAAGACGAGGGAAATTTAGTTGGAAGTGGTCCTGTCCAATCTCACAGATATCTTCTAAATGCCGATTATATACAGCTACACATGTAATGCTCGATTTGCACGTTCGCAGTGCCTTCGAACATTGCTTGAACCTGCATTTGGCCATGCCGTGTACATTCTCAGTCAAAGCTGATGCGGACCATCATGTGGTTCATGTCCTGTGGTGGTAGTCGTCGTCGTAAACGTCGCTGAATCGTTGAAGTCGCAGTAGTAGTCGTAGTATCTGTCGTAGTAGTAGCAGCCGCAATAGCAGTATCGGCAGCAGCAGCAGCAGCAGATGTAGCAGTAGGAGTAGTATAGTAGTGGTGGAAAGAGAAGAAGAGGCGGTGGTGGTGGTAGTAGTGGACAGTAGTGGCATTAAGTAGTGGTGGTGGCAGTGGAAGCAGCTGCAGCAGCAGTGGCGGTAGAAGTAGCGGGAGAAAAAGGAGGAGGAGGAGGAGGAGGAGGAGGAGGAGGAGGAGGAGGAGGACTTCGCGATGGTGGCGGCGGTGGTGGTAATCCTCCCAGTTTGCGGTCGCTCCTCTTTTGCTAGCATGCACAATCCAGGTCGTCTCCTTCAGCCAAGTCCTGGCGCAGGGAAGCTCGACCTCACTCTCGTCCAAACTGGGGTTGTATAATAACACCGTATAAAAATCCTTATCCCTGAGTGTTGTTATCGATTTATTTTCTTCTTATCGTTTTACCACAAAAACTGCGTTACCGTTTCGCTATGTTTTGTTATCGTTTTATTTTCTTCTTATCGTTTTTCGACGGAAAACCATCAAACCTAACACGGACATGTCAAGACTAAACTTAACAGCACGGGGTTACTATACAGTCCCAACTGAAATTCCGCAAAGCTCTGAAACATGGCAGCGTCCTCGTCCGCTTCCTTGCGTCGCTTGGCCGCCCTCTCGGCTCGCTTCCGCTCGATCTCCTCCCTCTCGGCCTGGTTTAATGAGGCCTTGGGCCTTGGTGGGTTTTTGGGTTCACCGGGTTGGCTTTTGGGAACTGCACGTACCTAAAACGATAACTGGTCGTCACCGTTTTGGCAGTCGCAGGTACAAGGGCCAGTCATCAGCTCATACCGGCTGGGAGGCCCCCCCCAACAAAAAAAGTATTTTTTGAGTCACGGGCTGGGGCCGGACGTTGGAATCAAGCATCATATTGACGCAGCAGGCGTAAGGAAGCTGAACGGAAATCCGAAAGAATATGCAGCATGACTTATTGGTATTATTATTATTATTGTTTCTACAGCTAGAACTAAAATGGAGTGGCACTTGTCGTGTTCAAGTCGACCACGGCTCGCGTGTCCATGATACGTACAAGGTGACGGTTCATACAGTTCTGATTCTAGCCTGCTGTCGGCTGCTCCTAACGGACCTGCCCAGGATCCCAAACTTTCAACAATGACAGCTACCTCAGCCCAAGCCTGCCTCAATGAAACCAGCATCCCAAAAGCACGTCATGCTCGCCACTCATGCAAGCTCAAGTTGGGTCATGACTCCAGCTTTTTCATGCGCGGATACCTCTATGCCGACACAAACTTCCAACATATGCCTCCGTCGGATTCTGGAACTTCTCCAGCGTGCTTCGCGGGGGCCTGGGCCATGAATGCAAGGCACCGCCACAGCGACCATCAGCTTTCGAACTACTGACTAGCATGACGTCACAGTGCTGCAAAAGCAACGACAGACTGAGATTCCCTCGGGCCCTGGCTCAACGACAAACTTCTCGCCACACCTCTCACACGCAGCTGCTGCCCAACGCCGCCACTACTAACCACTACCCCTGCCGCCATCCCCGCTGTTACCACCGCGACGACGACGACGACTACTACTACATGCTGCTACTATACTACTACTCTGCGACTGTTGCAGCTGCTTCTGGAACAACCGCACTCTTTGAACAGCTGCATACATCGCATCAGCACTTTGCTGAGCAATCGGTTATCGGAAACCATACAATCTATCGCGACTGCCCACCCTTACTACAATGGACGGGACTGTTGTGAGGGCCTCACAACAGTCCTGTCCTGTCCGTCATGTTATCGTAAAGGAGCCATTTACCAGAGTCTACAAGGCTTGATTCTCGAAGGGTGCAATTGCGTGTCCAGCGAGCTCCGCGAACCTCTGACTCTGGTGTTAGATCTGCTGTTTGTGTGGGCTGCAGCCACCACCTTTATGCAGAAACTCAACCTATCGGCGGATTGGCATAAGTCTGGCTAGATATGCAAGCCCACCTAGCGTGCTCCGGCATGCCAGCCCAGGTTGCGAAGTGGTGCAAGACCTGTCGACTTGGTGGCAGGACGAAACGAGACACAGCACGACGGAGTTTATGAGGCAGAGGTGGCTTTGACTTCTCAGCATCTGGCGATGGAGCCGGCTATGGCGACGTTCAGAGAGGCCGTCGCGCCTGGATGTATGCAGAGAAGATGCAATGCTAGTGTTGCTAGTGATATAGTTTTTGTTTCTCTCCCTCTCCCTCTCCCTGTTTGCGCGTGCTTTTCACCGGGCACGTTCTTGAGAATCGCTCTACGGCAGTTTCTCTTTCCGCAGTCAGAAGTACTGGGGTCTTCTCCTGGCAACCCTGGAACTCTTGTCGTACCCCGCCTATTCCCTCGATTTTTGACTTCGAGAAGGTGCAGCCAGCGGCCTGTAAATTGCGGAATATACACGAAGGAGTCGCAGACCTCCTTCTGGACGGCAGACATGCCTTCCCCTGCCAACGAGTCGCCGCAACACACTGCACAAAACCTGTCGCACGTGGGGATCAACTTCGGCGACATGGTGCCATAAACCCAGAATTTACGACCCTATCCTTAAGATGTCAACTTGCCTGCATGCGCAGGGCATGTCTCGCCAATCTTGACGGATGCTCACAAATCCCCAGCAAACTTCTCATGACATACCGGCCTTCGTTGCCAAGCATGAATGCCGTAGAGCCTACAAACGGATGGCTCGTGACCTTAGAAAGCCACAGGTCTCCCGACATCTCCCGACTATCCGTAACAGGAGACGTCGCTCTTGCCACCAGCTAATGCTAGCAGCTAATGGCGTTCACAACCTGGGAGTTTCCGAAAGTAGGGGACCCTAATATAGTACACTAAATAGTAGGATCCCTATAATAAAGACCCCAAAATAAGGTACCCCTTATTGTCGGAAACTCCCACATATAGGTCGGTCGCTTCCTTGTTGAGAGTGGGGGAGCAAGGTCCGGGACGTCCGGCTCTGGACGCAAAGCAGAGCCCAAGCTCCGGACAGGCTGCGCTGTGTCATCGATTTCAATGCCACATATTATCGCGCCTCCCGCAAAAGAAGAAAAGATCAGCAGCCAGAAGAGTTGTAGCGACTTCTGGCCTGTAAAGACCGTACAATAGTGCATGATATGCTTGTACCGTCAGCGAAGTCCCATAATTTCAAACCATCAGTCAGAAACCAGCTGCTTTTGTCGTGGAATGCGATGGTGCACAGTATCATCTTACTTTGGTTCAAGTCGGAAATATTCTGAATACCCAGGAAATTACGAAATGCTGTTGGGAAACGTGCCGAATAAGGGAAAGCTCCACATATCGTGGACTCTTCGTGCAGATGCTAGCAGATCTAGCTGCGACCCGAACCGAAATACCCCACCCCTCCTTCATGTTTGGCTCACATTCGAAACGACTGATCCCTCATCGATACTCATAGCGAGGAAGCTCTGGGTTCCACACCCCTTGATCGCAGGTCGTCTTTGGCTGCCTGTCGGCATCGGATGACATCTTCAGACGCCAGATGCTGTCTGTTGAGCTACTATCAATTACTTCAACTATTAGGGCCAGCAGCAGCAATGCCAAGACTCGATGGGGGTCCACTTGGATTCCTGGGGTACGACGACAGACAATCGGCCTTGAAGGCTGAAGGCCTTTCACACTACAGCGTACTTCAAGGCAATGTTTTACAGTTTAACTGAATCAACGCTTGCCGCATTTTTTTGTTGGCCTGCAGAGTGTCGAAATGCCGCACGTTGGCCTGCAGTCAACAAAACGCCAACATCAAAGGTCTGCAATGGTCCCGTGCATAGTAGGATGCCGACCTGACAAACGTACCAGTTACACCTGGCCGGCCCACCTCACCAAATACCCGGCTGAATGCAGTCTCGGGCGCGTGTGCAGAAGTTCCTTGATTGCCAAAAGTCCTGAGCAGAGAACGTGCTCGTTACGCACAGCCGTTCTCTTTCATGCTCAGAAGGAATTGTTTCGAACGGTCGAACGAAGGAACCCAACATCTTGCACCATTCGCGCTGCCACCTCTGCTGCAGCAATTTGTCAGACCCAAGGAAACTTTTGTGGAAGAACAATAAGAAGATCACAGCCTGGCCCAGGAATTCATCTGGTGCTGCTAGGACTCGACAATTTCTTGGCTCCGACGACAAGCACCTGGAAGATCACGAGAGCAGAGCAGGTCAGGCCAGGTTGATACATACTGAGGTAGATAATTACATGGATAAGCACTTAAGAAGACTAGGAAGACACAAAGAGAGCGACCACGCAGGCAGAAAGCTGTCAAATGCGAAAGCCCGCATCGCGGAATCAGAGTTGTGCAGCCTACCTATACACGGAGTGCATGCCGCCACACTAGCAAGTTATGCATTGGCCTGCTGCCTTACCCAGCTATGGTTGCTACACTCACCGACATCAGCTGCAGTATAGTCAGGCCTCTATCGCAGCTTTCCATACTGAACCGCAGCGTCGTTGTATCGGTATGGGCTACAAACCCCAGATCCCCAACATCTTGTAAACGCTTCCCGAACCCTTCGGTCTGCCTCTGAGACTCCGAATGCACACGCGGATCTCAGCAATGTGCCTGAAACCAGACGTGAAAAATTCACTGGATTAAGGCTTCAAACGTGATATCTTACGAACAGTACAATCTCCAGCCACGGTTCTTCCCGTCAGCCCAAACGTCTGGTTCACCAGACAGGACTGAGCCCAAAGCCGAAATTCTGCTTCTTGCTGACCTCGGCCAGATTATGTTTAATGATGCTGATTCCTTGTAAAATGCCTTGCCTCAGGAACCAGCGCATCACCCGCCAACTCCAAAGCCCAAGACTCTCTCCAAGGTGACGGCATTGTAAACCAGCAGGAAGGATTCGGGGCGCTTGGAGTCCTGTGTCCTGTTGCTCAAGACAATCTGCGATGCAATTGAACCTTACCAACATCATAAATGCAGCAACAACACAAACGACGACCACGACTTCTGCGGCTGCGGCGGGGACGACCACGATGACTAGCACTACCGCCATGCAGGCCACTGCCACTACCTCACTACCGGACTACAACACCAGCAGCAAAAAGAGGCAGCACAAAAGTACCCGCTCCAGCGACAGCCGACAGCAGGAGCAGCAGCAGCAGCAAATACTACAACCACGACCATCACTGCAGGCATCGTTCTTGCAAGAATCACCACAGGTCACCGGCATCGTCACCAGCATCAAAGGCTGGGCTACAGCCTTGCGAAGAACGACCGAAAAGTAAGGACACTGGGCGACTGCAAGACCGCAAGTAGAGCAACAAAATAGCCCGAGACAGCTTCATCCCTGAGCCTACCCACTCTCCGAATCAATACATTGGAAGAGACCGAAACAAACAGACAATACCGCAACCGTCCAGTGCGAGCAACACACGGTTCCAAAACGAAACTAGATAGCCTTCGAAAGACACTCGTTTTAAGTCGTTTTAAGCTTTGCTAAGCCTCGAGCCCTAGTCATCGCGGAAACTCCTCAAGGCCCTCACTACTCGGCACATGCGTCTGCCTCAGGTCTGCCGGTCTCGGCGCAGACTGGGATGCCTCGAGGCATGGATGCCAGTTTATCAGGGGCTTCTTGATTCCGGAAAGTTAAAGCATGGGTGCTCGGCATAAAAAAAGCAAGAATGAGAAAGGCCTCAGGAAACAACTGGCACAAAACAAGGAACCAAGCAAACCAAGCGATGCTTGTGCTGATAGAAGGCATTTGATGGGTGCACTCGAGAGTGCAACTGTTGTGTACAAGATCATAGACGTACCCACTGTCAGACATCGTGCCCGAACCGGGCATCAGTTACCACTTGCAAGACTCGCATGCAGGCTTCAAGTCGACTAGGCCCCCTGTCCCGGCGCAATGAACGAGCCTTGCTAAGTCCTGACAGACGCCTGCCCACATCAAGAAACATCGCGGCTGGGCCTGAACGCCCTCCATGGCTGCTGGTGTGCCATCGGGTGCCAGCATATCCCAGCAATAACGCTTGAAGTTTTCTCGGATGCTCTCAAGGGAATTCTCGAGTCGCTCTCTCGACTTAATGGTGAAGAGGTCTGCCGATGGATGCGAGATCGAAGCTGCGCTGCTTGGTGACCGGTTTCAACATGAGATGATTCAAGAAGTCAAAAATGGAAACGGTTGGTCTCCGGTGCTTGCCGGTGTGCATTGCGCGAAAAACCTACAAGCTGCAGGTCCTGTGAAGCTTCGGGGCGCGTTGGGCTCGGAAGAGGGCCCTGGGAATTGTCATCAAGCCTCTGAGGAAAAAACTACGAGATGTTACGGGTGCAGCTCTGCCACGTATGCCGTTGCGGGTTCTGCAGCCCAGCAGATTTTTTGGTGCACGGGTCGACACAGCATCATCTGCTCCAGATGCCCATCTCGGCTCCTTGCAAGAGATGATGGGCGAAGATGTTTGACAGGCTGGAGCCATGGTGGCATGCAACGGCCGCAGCAGCAACAGCTGCGCAGGAAAATGGAAACCGTGCATGTCAAAGTGGCGACACGGAGCATAGCAATACCACGAAATGCAGGATCGCCGAACATCCCGCACACCAGGGATGGAAACGGACATCATGATACATGGCAGCATTCTATTGCAAGTGCACAGAAGTGCGTGCATCAGTAGCATGAAGACCAGCAACAAAGGATCACCTTGATCATCGTCGCCACCGAAAACATCACATTGCATATACGGCCCCTCACTAGCCAACCAGTGCCAGCAAGACTCGTCCGAGGCCCGCCAAGGCGTAGAGTCCCGCGCCTATGAGCCCCGAACCATGGGGAGCCGGCGGCAGTACCTGAAGTGCTTTGGGGGGGTCTTCACTTGATCGTAGCTAGTGTGCTCTGCCTCACACGAGCTCACTTCATGGGAAGGGTTCGGAACCAAGCAACTACTGCAGGCTCTTGAGGATGTAGACAATTTCGTTCTGCAGTCGGAGTTCTCGAGTAGTGAGCGTTGATCCGTCTCCGAGGCCGACGACCGACGACTCTCGACTCATCAAGCCTCGAGATCTCAGGCTCCAAACCCTCACAACCAATGACGTGTTAATTTGGCATCACGTGGAGATCCTGCGAAGGTCTAACTTGCAACGTGACTTTTTTTGCACCAATTGGCATTGAGCCAGCTATCTAGGCCATCTATCTCCCCACACATTTGTACCGTAACATGGCCGTAGCCGCCAAACCCTTAGAATCGGCCAAGCAGGGTCACCCGCACGGCTTGCGATTTTGCTGCAGCCTGATCATGAACAGTCGTGGGGAGACTTCAGACGAAAACAGACCTCGCATGCAAACGGAACTAGAAGCCTGTACAACGAAAGCCTCCAAGTCACAGATACACATCTCAATGAACACAGCACCCAGAGTCTGTTGCCCTAAAACCAAAATTCCGGCACTGAGTCTCAAACTGCGGTCTTGGAGGTCCTGCCACGCCTAATTCCGGAACACGATTTGTGCTCTTGATTCCGTGCTACTTAGAACATGCAGAGAGACTCTCTGTCCCACCATCCGCCACGTTCCGCATCTTTACAGACCACAGGCCGTTTGCATCACCGGTACAGGAGCTGCGTGCACGACGTGGGGCTTCGGGCCGCGTCTTAGAAAAACCCGAGACGCGCCTGCACTCCTCAATAATTACCAGCATTATTCCATCCAACACCAAACATACAGTCTGTGCTCCATCTTCCAATTCTATGAGATAGCATGCAGCTGAGCATTCAGCTTGGCGTTTCCGGCAGGCACCTCCGTTGCACCTCATGCAGGCAATCTTGCACAGTAGCACCTGCCAAAGCTAAGACGGCATGCCAAACTCGAACCTAAACTAGTGCAATTCATAACGTAAGTTCACACACACACACGACCAACAAGTCATATGCGTGTTATACGTGTGTGTGTAGATATATACTCAGACATACCTACCGTATCTTAAGTAATGGGAGGGGGTGCTAACTTCGGATATGTCATCGATCTTCCAGGTCCACTTAGCACCACGCACCTTCGCTTTTAGCGAGTTTGGGGTTCCCACGCAAGCAGGCCCCGTGTGAGACCTTTGTCTTTCAGAGCCAGCCATAGCGAGTGTGATTTGTTTTCATATGGCAAACCCTCAGAAGTCAGACTTAGAAGCAGCATCAACGGCTGCAAGCCGAGGTCGATACCCGGCAAAGGTAGAACCTGCAGGCGGGATTTGGGAAGCCCCGGCAGAGTTGAAGAGTTGATGATGACAGTGCAGAAATCGGCTTCTCCAGCTGAGAGAGCTTGCTGACAGCTTCAGGGCAACGCTTGACGGCATCTGAGCAAACAGCAGAAGTATGAGCTGAGCCAGCTGCACAGGAGTCTGGGCCAACGATCACCTGCCGCATTCGGGTGACCACTCGGGATCTGAGCTCCTGTAATGATGCCGGCCTGATGTTTGCGGGGTCTAGATCATGAAATAAGGCGGATCTACAAAAGCAAATTTCTCGCGGATAGTGCCTCAAAAGTAACGCCAGGAGCGCGCCTCTTGCAATGATGCCCAATTCGTCTCTGCCACAAGCCCGCCGAAGCAAATATGATCAGCCTCGCAGTCGAAACTTCGAAGGTTTCTGGGCGGCGGGACTCAAATTCAGCTGCTCATCTTGGGGGCGGCATTCAGGCTTTTGGAAGATAGATTGCCTCTGTGACAGGGTTCAATGATAGGCATTCTGGCGGATCGAGCAAGTCTGCCGAACGTGCACCAAACAAGTGCCAAGCAAGGAAATCATAACGAAGTTTTCGAATCATACCACAGCATGAAGATTTCTGGTGCTGCAGCTGCAGTATGGTACTTATGGTGCTCGTATAGCAGCCACCACAAGCCGAAGTCGTCAGGCAGACAAAGCCCCAAGCTCGATGTCTCCGCGATCCACTGCAGCATTGCGGGAGGAACCTGAACACCACATGGCTCGGACTCTTGGGGAAACGGAAGGTCGCCTTCCTGCCGGAACACTGGGGGTTGAAACACTTTCGTTCAAGTCTAGCTCCGGCTCAAGATTTGTGAGCACGTTTTTGCTTTGCTGGACCTTGGTATGTGTTTGGTTTGAAAATGAGGCCTGAACTCTATGATGACATCCCTAACATTACGCACGGCGCACGAAAGCAACACACACAATCCCATAAGGCGACGAATTCCTTTGATGCACTTGCAGTGAGTATAAGAAAGAAACCTCAACATATATAGCAACCATAAGAAATTTCTTACATAGTGTTAGTATCTTTTGAACCCAGGCTCTGATCCTGTTCAGCTGGGAGAGTCTGAGTGTTGCTATGGTATAGCAAACAACAAAGCTAAGAGCAGAAGGTCAGAGGCAAGCTCTGGTGTAGCCACGACCCAGGCAGTTACGTGGGTGGTTGTCAAAATTAGGGTCCCTTTTGGGGGTCGCTACTGTAAAACGGCACGTATTATTCAGGGTACCCAAAAAGGGGCCCTAATCTTGACAACCACCCACGTCTGAGACGGCAACTGAGTGTTCAGGAAGTGCAGCCACCTCGACATTGACAGAAATCTCTGGATTCGACGGGCACGTGGCACGTGAACACTTCTGCAATTCAATTTGTGAAGAGAAGGGGGAACATTGTAAATCTGCTACCTGGTTTCGTTGGACGGGTTACGTGTATTTCCCAGACAGATGGTAGCACGCCGATGCCATGTATCTGTGCTATAATAAAACACAGAAAGCTCCCGTTAACTTCACCGGGACCCATTCTCGACTATTTTCTCCACGAGCTGAGAAGCCGTTGTGAATACCCTACTCAATACCTAGGTGCAGCCGCAGGGCTGGTTGGCGTAGGCAGTGCTTGCCGGCTTGCGCCTGCGAAACAATGCTGGGAACACGCTTTGGTTCTTTGCGCCTGTCTGCAATGGGCATACTAAGCTGGCAGCGAAAGCGATGTACAGCACTGCGTGCCAAACTCCAAAACCATACACTGTACACAGGTCCACCCTCGAAGCATCCAAGAGTCCTCTGGCTTGGGCCCAAACGCAGCATCGTTGGCTGGCGCGGCTTGTCGGCCTGTGAAGTCCGTCTGAAAGACTCCACCAGCTCTACCCTGTTGTAACATACCTAGCAACAGCACCGCTTGGCAATGCCTTCTCAGCCGATTGGAAAATTCTTGCCAGAGTGATTGGTCTGCTTTGTGAACCCTGTGTTTGGGCCTTCGTCAGTCTCCTCTTCAAAAGGTTGAGGAGGCTGGCAACCTGTCGTTCAGCGCTGGAGGCTTCAACTATAGAGTGACCGGCTGTATCTTGCTTAATAAGAGCAGGTCCACTACTGGGTGCAATAGATACGTGGTTCTTGCTTCGAAGTGCATGCTGGGAATACTGCTGGACATTGCGAACAAACCCCCAACCTGGGCCTCAACCCAAACCAACAAGATCCTGCGAAGCCCAAGACCGAGACCCGCCAAGACTTGTCAGGTCTGCCAAAGGCTGCTTCTGCGAGCTCCATGCCCCGTCGACCCAACACCAGGCTCACCTGGTGAAGGGTTTGGTGTTTAGAGGGTCCGCCATCTGCTGTAATTATACTAATTAACCGTAATCCACGTCAGGTTCCAGCAACCACTCCTCAATGCACCCTCATTCGCGTACCTCTACCATCCTCTACCTACACTCATTTGTTACGCATGGGATTCAGACAACTGCGCTGTACCCGGGGTTACACCCTGAGATCAGGGCAAGCCCCTCAGCCAAGACTGGGCTTGGAAAGTCTCAGCTAAGTCAGGGAGAGTAGCATTCTCGTGGAGTTCCAGGGGAGAAGGACCCCGGATTCTGGTGCAACTCCACGTATACATCGATTCACATTCAGCAGAAGAACAAGCTGTCGCCTTCTGTCTACCACATTTCTTAGACGAGAAATTGCTGCCGGTCCAACCACAACCCTCAAAGGTTCAGCCAACATGGTTCCTTTTCGTCACGGCCCTGCCCCTTCACCCTTAGATGCATGAATACAAAGTCTTGCACGCAGTCCTCTTCCTCGCGAGTAGGTTAAATGTCGTTGATCTTTGCTTTCTCGCACGTTTCTTGTGACGCAGGGCGACGACAAAATACGACAAGCCTTGAAGCCCACAATGACAAGGCGGGCTACGATGGGTCCCCAGCCCAGGGCATGTTCCATGGCCGCCCCATGCCCGCGAACTCACGGACCATGACCTGAACATGGCTCTGTCAAACTTTGACTATCTGATACGTAGCTTCAAAGTCACACGCGATGCCAGGACTCTCGCCAGCTAGCTATCGGTCCGGCACGCCGCCGATTGAACGAGCAGCGGGCACCATGCATCTGAGGGTTGGGCCTTCTCGACATCGTCAACGTGATCTGTTTGTTCCACCCAGCTTCGCCAAACGCCCCGATACCTTCCAAGACATACAAGCCTCTTCGAGCAGTACAAAAACTTCCCGAGGACCGCGAGCTGCTAGATTCCCTACATGCCCTGCACAGATGTAAAATCGGAGTGCCATCATGCAGCTATCCATCATGTTGCAAATGCACAGCCCCGCAGACTGGGGCTCCCGCGGTGCACCTGAGAGTGGGACACCATTCAGCAAGTGACTTCGCGATCCTGGTGCACACGAGCACTATACATGAAGACTGATGACAAATCGTCTCTTTCGATAGCCAGAGGTTCTGTCCAACAAAATTCTGATTGGCTTTGCCATGGTTTCTTCGTCTTGCTGCTGCTGTGACTGATCGATTCCCGTCCTGCCGGGGAGAACGGATCCAGAACTGCGCCGTCCTCACAAATCCGTGTTCCATGGAAGGAGACCTACAGGTAATGCATATACACGGAGCAGCCTCCGACAATTCTGCCTTCTCCTTTGTGCTTTCATGGTTTCTCTTCCTCGCCGTAGCATGCCCTAACTCCCGAGAGCAAGGCAAAAGACTCTGCAAGCAGCATGAGTCGAGCAGCTGTCGAGCATTACGAAGTTGCAACTCAGCACGCAAGCATCCGTCGGCCTCGTCGGAGATGCCGAAGCCAACACCGGTTCCAACCTTGTTGAAGTCCACACTTGCTCGGGCTGCTCTGGGCAAAGCGCTGTCTGAAAACTATCACCCACCGCTGGTCAAGCCACTATCGTCCTCAACCTTGAAAAAAGCACAAGACTTCATGCCGAAGCTGCTTCAGACTTGATCTCTCGCGAACATGCAACCTATAGCATCGTCCACATGTTCGGGGCTGGATTCTTTCATCTGGAAAGCTCTTCAAAACTTCATGGCGCAAAGAGCGCGTGCGAATCTCTGAGGTTTGCAGCGCCGTGCACTGTTGAAGCTCTTCCAGGCATGCTGCGAGCCTCCACCCTGAAATTTGTCAGCTCAAGAATTAAGTAATGAAAGAACGCTTGTGAGTATTCAAACTGGTAAGCATGCTAGCTGCTAGCTTCTATCTGGATTTGCCTTTCGCTCTTAAACTAAAACATACATATGCTTTAAATCAATGCACAAAATGCCGACAATATGCAAACGAGAGTGCAAGAGTAGGCTTACAGCACATGTGCCCACTTGGCTCTTCTGAGCCCATGCCATGCTGGGAAGACTTTGAACTTGTCCGACATTCCCCCCGAACCCATCCATAATCGGGCAGCCGACAGAAAGGCAAGCCAGCCGAGGTATGGGCACAATCTGCCGGCTGCAGCCCAGCCTGGGCCAGCATGCAAATCGTCGCACCATGCTTCAGCCCAATGATGTACTCATGAGTGGCTCGACGAACTGCACTATCACTCGGTCTGTTAAATGTCTCTTCACTTGATGTGCTGTGCCCCTGTCTATCCCCTCTCTTAAAACATTTTAGAGCCCGCCACAGATCAAAACTCACGTCTCCAGCCGCTCGGTGAAATTCATGGCTTCACTACGACGACTGGCGCTGAAACACGTTGTTCTGGCGGTGTGTGTCTGTCAGGGCCTGGTGTCCCCCCTGTCTGCAATCTAAACCACGAAGCTCCGAAGCCTAGCTCAGTCTGCAAGCAAAGCGGCAAGTGGGCTGCGCCGTCGTGGAGAATGAATGTCCGGTCTCCTTCGTTTCAGATACCGGGCACGCGAAGCAGAAACATCATCAATATAGTCGAGCTGAATACCTACTTGGATATTCGGCTCATAGGTTGTGAGAAAGAACTCAGGGCTTGTGGGAAGACTCCTCCCCAGGCTCCCTGGTATAATCCCAAAAATTCCTACGCGATTCCAGCTGGAAAAAGCAGATGTCCGGAAAGATCTTCAACAAACCCACTGCGTTCCCAGTGGCTACAGCACCAATGCAGATTCCCTTTGCTGGGCTTGCGGCTGGGAAGACCCATGAGGTCCGCCACATGGGGGTCAGGCCTGAAATCGATTTGGGTTCGTGGCTTTCTGACCTTTGTCGGCTTCTGAACCCCTCGTAACACACTGTATTGTATGGGGTTCGGGAGGATTGCTTTGGGCGGTTCACAGTCTTTGCGCTACACCAAGGGCTTTAAGTAACCACGCAGCTGGGCTTTCATGGACTGCAAAGTCCCTTGTGGAACCCGGGTCAAGAACTTGTCCAAGCACACCTGCTCCGACAAAGTGAAGTTGGTACAACTATGCTGCAAACTTACAAAAAGCAACGTCGGGAAAGCACGCAACAAGCCTACTCTGAGAGTGTCGGCCCAGACACTCTCCCCCAACAAGTGGCCTCGAGTCGTCCCACTGCCGTGGATGGCCGCCAGCAGACCACCAGTCCTAGGTGAGGCAGAGCTGGGTCTGTGCCTACCGCAAGCAGGTGAGTTTGCTAACCCGCCTGTAAGACCACAGCTGGAAACCCCAAAGCCCTTCCGGAACGCTGGCTGTTGCACATATGCGGCATATACAAGGCTAAGCCCTCAGATGCCTCAGCCAAAGATTAGTGACGAGTGCCAGGGTTGGGAGAGTGAGGCTCTCCGGCAAACCGGATCGGAGAGCTCGCAGGCTTGGCTGCAAAGAACTGAGTTGGAATGTGTTGGACTCTGAGTAGACTTCATTGTTTTGTCCCCCCAAGCATGACAAGGCCCCTGCGTGGAGTATGCCGGTGCGATGTTCCACATCCCCGGCAGTGGAGACGCCAAACACAACATTGGCATTTGCCTGCAACGAGGCCGGGCTCCGCTGCGACCACACATGTGCAGCGTTCTCTACCCCAGGCTGATCTGACCTGCACTAGCCCCGCTCTTGCAGTGTGCCGCATGAAACGCGAAACTCTCAATCTCTGCTGGGCGTCTCGACTCATTCAGGGTCAGATCTTGTCAGCGGGCCCACCTTCTCCTGCCTTAATCGAGGAAGCGCTTCCTGACGCATAGGTATCACGAGGGGTCAATGCTGGTTAATACGAGAATCACGAGAAGAATGAATTCTGGATCGGCGTTTTGAGCTCGTGAGCGCTTCATGCCCAATCAGACACCGAACCCTGCCGAAGGCCTCCAACCAGGCATCAAAGCCATCCTCTCCCGGTGCCTAGCAGGGACGGCTGAACCCGGGTTAAAGCTTTCGGGAACAGAACTGCCAGTGAGGTCTTCGAGTCCGTGGGCTTGGGTGATCCACATTCTTCAACTCCAGCCAGCCCTATGACCCATTTACCAGGGCTCTTTCTCCGGCCTAGAATCTAGTTGAAGTGCCTCAGCCCTCGACGAGACACATGTCATAACACGTGGCATCAAGCGGCAACCTGAAAAGCTCCTCTATGATCCGATGCTGTTCTGAAAGTGTTCTAAACCTCGCTTTTTGTTTCAGCAACCGACAAATGGCCCACAAATCTCATAGAACCGACCAACACAAGGCGAGCATTGCAATCCTGTCCAAGCTGTGTGGGCCGCTCCACCCACTCGAGCTCCACATACTGCGCTGGGCCCTGGCGTCTGTTTGTGAAAGCTTAGAAAAAAGCTTTTGAGAGCTCTCTACAAGTGCTACGTGAATGTTGAACGTGACGGCCAGAGTTGCCTATTGCACATGTGCCTCCGGCCTCTGCGTACCTACAGTAACTTTTTTCTGTTAATATGGACGAGGACCTCCAACTCCGAACCTATAGGATGAAGTCTCAGCCGCAGCGAGTTCTTTGCCCAAGCCAAAGAAGACGCGCACACACACAGACGCACACACACACACACACCCACACACACACACACACACACACACACACCTGGGCGCGCGCACGCGGACAGACACAGGCACAGGGATGCTCAGAAGAGGAATGCGCCTGCTCTGCAGCTTCTTCAGGCACGGCGTTCTGAGGGCCTGGACATGTGTCCTATACTCCGGCACATCGTTCTCAGGCACAACTGGGTCGACTTCTACACTACACTACATGCAAGACAATGTCCTGCGGACCTGCCCCGGAGCTGGTGGTCTTCGCAGCTCCTCTAAAGACTGTGGGGTGTCTTAATACTGAAGCAACCCCAGCTTCAAATGAGAGCAACTCAAGCTCAACCAAGCCAAACGGATTCCCAGGTGCCCTCCTCGCCTCCAGCAGAGCTCTCGAAGAAAGCTTGCAAAGCTGTCGCAGTGAAAAGGCCCTTGGCCATGCAGGGCTGGAGGCTTCGAGGTAGCTTTCTGGACTTCCCTCCTTACAATCTGCATGTCGCTGTCCGAGCAGTCCTTACCAACAAGGCCAAGTAAGTCTGACGATGCTCTGAAACAAGCTCCACAGCATTTGCACTCGACGAAGTGAAGATCTCCAAATTGAAATGCCCACTTGAAATGCGGAATTTCAGGTGTCTAAGTACCCCTTTCTGTGGTAACCGCCTGAGTTAGCCTGACGGCCGACTGATTGACGGACCTAGTCATGCGCTATGGCCTGCCTGGCGCGGTATCTGCAATGTCATCTGATAGACGTGATCGACGGTAGCGTGAAGCGCAAGGGGCATGCATTTTCTTGAGGCCGACACCGTCTTCACGCCTGTGCCGCCAACGTCGAAGGTGCGAATCAAGCGCTGCTTCTCTCGGAGCTGCCTCCTGAGCCCGGCTGCGTGAATGTCCATGTCTTCTGCTCCCTCCTTCGCAGACGACTTCAAGCATCGCAACATATTTTGAAGGCTAAAACCGCTTAGAGAACACCCATCAAACATGCTGCAACCTGTTCCGGGCCCAGGGCTGTACGGCTGCAGCGAAATCCTGTAGGCCGGCCTCTGCAATGAATGCTCAGGAATAGGTTGCGAAGTCAAAAGCAGAAAAGCAGTACCGTAAAAGGCAGGCCGCTTTATCCAGCACTAATGCAACACCATGAAGCTTTGCCAAATCTCTCAACTTGCAACATATACCCATCACGGGAGAGTAAAGCACTCAGACTGTTCGCTCCATGTATGCCAGTCTGTCCAACTGACAAAATCAAAATCTGCTACGTGCTGCAGTTGAGCGATGCCAGATGCCGCTAAAATGAACAATACACAACGCCGAAAGAGCACGCCTGTGCCACGCTGGCGTCGGCTTTGGACCTGAAACTAGAAACTTTGCATGTCAACTCCGAAATACAGGCTGTTCTTGCTGCTGCACATGTACAGCATGCAGACGGCGAAGTGAGATAACAGCAAGGGCCCTTGATCCGTCCGCATGCTCGACATTGGCTGTGATACTCACATACTCTGACGGACCGTTGTAATACAGTGGCACCGCTGGCTTTACAAGTACTACAAAGCTCTGGCCAGACATATGCCGTACATTCCATGCACATCCTCTGAGAGTTAGCCTGCCAACGACAGGTTCAGCAATGGCACGCAAAAAGACGGACGAGGAACATGCATGTTGGAAACAAGCACATAAAGCTGAGGCAACCACGCTCGCTTGCCCATGGCTAACCTCCGACAAGCCGACACAAGAATCAGAAGCCTACCGGCCCATCATCCTCGTTTGTTTGAATGGGTGTCACGAACTGTTGTCGTCCCCACAGGATACTTCGCAGATCTGTCTGGTCCGAACTTTGAACTTTTGCCGTAATTAGTCTCTAAAGTCTGGCAAAAGATGCGTCTGTCGCCTGGTTCCGCTCCCTTGCCCTACGCGGGAAACATGATACGACAAATTGGGTGACGGTACGATGCTAGCTGTACGAATCGGGCTGACATGCTATGGAGACTGTCATCCAGTCAGAGATTGGGAGAAAGAAAATATGCTGCGAGGTTCTCTGCGAGCTACCCGGTCACTGTACCATTCAGCGCACACAAGAGAGCAAGCCAAGCCCACTCCACTGTGGCCTTCGGCTAGCGATGCCGGATGTGCGATGCACAAGTCGACGGCAACTCAGGCCATGCCGCATTCAACACATGATCGAGGTGGGTCTGGCTCCCTAAAGTCGTCGCACTTGTTGATGCAGAAAACATGGGCTTTTGCCAGCTGTGACTGCTGGAATGCAAAGCTCTCGTATCGTGTCTAAGTACGCTGCTGGGCGAAGACAGCACTCGGACTGAGTTGGCTTGCCACCAGCAAGAAGCCCTCGGGAAGCGCTTATTCTTCGAGCAAGCGTATACAGAGCGTGTTAGAAAGCAGCTGCGAAACATTGCCAAGCATTGCATGACTTCGTGGACTGGTGTTGTCGGCTGCTGTGACTTTTAAGACAACAGAAATTTCTGATCAGCGTCACCAAACCATCCACATCAGCGCTACGACGATGAGTGATCACCACTACCTGCTACTGCGACGAAGAGGACAGCGACGACTGCGACCATTGTAGCTTCTATAGTGCTCCAATTACTGATCGACTGTCCGAGTCCTTCCGATGCTCTGACAATGCCCTGATAGTAGCGTGGCTCTGCCTCTGACTGGCTTCAGTTCTTTGCAGCAAGCCGGCTAGAGCAGACACCAATACTTCGTGTTGAACACGAAGTTGATAGAAGCCCATCTTTCATTTGCGAGCCCCAGGCTGCCAGCAGCCAAGAACCTCTGACTCTCCGAACTTGTTGTTGCTGCGATCGCGCCATAGCTCGACTTCGGACTTCAATCGGCCATCCCTCGTGATTTGAACTGTAGGTGTCATGACATGTTGAGCAAACTAAACCAAAGCCAAGTCGTTCATGGCATGCCTGCACCCAGTGAGTGTCGCGACTTCTGCTCACCTTCGCTTTCGCAGCTTTAGCAAGCTGCCTGCCTAAGCCCTGGGCCAAAGACCTCGGAGAGCACTCTGCTCTGGAGTGTTGAGGGATGGAATCACGAATACTCATCCATAGCTTTCATCCCCAACATCCTATAGTGTTGCCAAAGCACACGATAGTCCAGAGTATGGGCAATGTGCTCGGTAAAGGCCTACAGCATGTAAAGCGCAACTTATCTCACAGCATTCAGCATCGAAGGCGAGAAGGCCAAGCTGAAATTTATCTCTTGCAATCCCGGTGGCACTGGAAACATATTGATCCGCTTCTTTTCAATTCGAAGCATTGCCACAGCTCGCGTCGGCACGCCAAGTCGACATCCTGAAAACTTGCTCCGCTCAAAGTTCTCTGCATCTGCGTCTGTAACCATAGTCGGCGCAAGCCGGTATCTTAGAGGCATCTCCAAGACACACGAGCACGCACACACACACACACACAAACACACGCACACACACACTGAAGCAAGCACGCAAAACATGCACAAGAACACTCTGAAACTTCTGAAGCTTCCCGTGCCTCTCCTACGGTACTCTCTGCGTGTGTGTGTGTACATACAAATGTACACATGCAAATACATGGACCCTACATATAAGTATACATATACATACACAGACACACATATAGATGCACCGTTCTGTGTAAAAGTATAAACATATACAAATATAATCATATATATATATATACAGATATGTACATGTGTGGCTACATATATGTATATGCATATACACATGCCCTAACTTTTTGGTAACATACAATCCCAGTCCTCCAGTAGTCTGCGCCCCACAGGCGCTCGGACCACCGTCGATGGACAGGCTCCAAAGGCCTGGGAGAGGATGGGCTGGAAACGAATCCAGCCAAGGTAGAAAGCACCCAGCGAATCAAACCGCCTTTGCTAGAAACCGACACGGGAACCCGATGTGTCTGGAGAACCAGGGCCGAAACGAAGCCTTGCATCCGCTGAGACGAAGCTACCAACCCATGTCATCAAGCATAGCAGCATTAAAAAAATGCTTCAACCCCCAGAAGTGCAACAGACCCTCAGACTGCCCAGGAAGTGTGCTGAAGCCTAGGTCGGCCTCCCGCAATGAACGCAGCACGAAAAACCGGGACTCCCGGCGGCGCAAGGTGCCGCGGCTTCCCCACCACCGGGGCACGGCTCCAGGTTGCACCTCGGCCAGAAGCTCCAAGGGTTTGGATTCGCAGAAACTGCAGATTACATCGCTTTCACAGACACCTAGTTTTTGTATGCTCTTGTAGACTCCCCGGGAAGCTCTTCCTTAAGGTCTTGAATAAGCCCCTACCGCGCCTAAGTTCTTAAGGTGTGTAACATATGTATACAGATACATACTCAAATGAAGAGGTACTGTGTAAGAAGATGATGGCAATGGCGGTCATCAGGACTAAGGGCGTAAATACAGAGAGACACCTGGATACTGCCCATTAGCACAAAGCCTAGATGCTCTGTCTAGACTGGTCGATTTGTCCCCCTAAACCCTAAAGTCAGGAACCCAGGCTGGGAGCGGCACGCCTGTTGGGCCAAGCGCAAAGCCCATGGCCAAGTAGTCCATGACCCGTTCCTGCTCCTGCCGTGGCACGCTGTCTTTGGAGGTGTCAGCATGCAGGCAAAGTAGGCCTGATCCTCTAAGGGGTTTTCTCCGGGTCTGGAGTTTGAGTCTGGTTGCCTTGTTGCCGACTGCATCGCAATTGCCCAGGCTCCAATCGGCCACGCTTAGCGGCATACCAAGACAAGTCTAAAGCACAGAACAGCATGTCCACATATGCCAAGACAAGTCTAGAGCACAGAACAGCATGTCCACATATAACCGATGTATAAGTTTCAGGTTTAGTGTTTAGCCTCTTCTCCAGTCGTAAGTCGTTCCACGGGAGTGGTTTATGCAAGCATCCTGCTTCGACCTCCTCTTCCTGTAGCACCAATCGAACCCCGGTTTGCCTACCCGTCCTCGGAGCTGCTGTCCGGAATCCACTCTGAGTGAGCGTCTTGGAGTATTTTATTCGCACGAAATTCTCACCACATTACGGATGCAAGGTCTGCTGAAGCGTTAGCACATTTGAATCCACGGTCCTGGAGCGATCTTTGCACTCGTCGGACCACAAGTTGACAGGGCCTGGGGGCTGTGTTGCTTCAAACGAATCTCCAAGTGAAGCCTGGAGTGTTCACCAGCAGCGCAACCCGGAGTCTGACACTTCCGTCCCCCTTATATAAAATGGGTTGGAGCTCCAGTTCGGCCCACATCAGCTTCTTAACTGAGGCCCGAGCCAAAAGACTCCATCGCAGCCAAGTAGGTCCTGAGCAGGGGCTGCTTAGCAGCAAGGTGCTTCCTGCCGGCCGTCAGCACACAAACTGCCGACTGCTCGGCTGCAACTGAAATCCCCAGCTTCCCTTGACATAGACCTGAATTCCTCTTCCCCCGGTTATCTCCTCTCAGCACAGGGTCGCTGAGTCAGCCGATGTCTAGAATCTAGAATCCGTCAGAGGCAAACGCCGCCGAGACACAACCGCGATGCTCGGATGCCTTGAAGGCGCAGCTCCTCAGCCAAGGCCAAGGCCTGGGAAGCTTGAGAGTTTGACGAAGTCTCTCACAGCAGATCTGCCTATCATATCTTGCCTTGCGACTTTTATGTGTAGTATATAGTGACATCTGAAAACCGTAAATTAGGTACAGTACATCTATAAATTAATGGACAAACCAAATGGATAAATCAACGAATATAGTCGAAACAAATAGGAACACATGTGTACATATCTACATGTACATGGTTGCGCCGCTTAATCTCTTGTCTATACACCTGAGGGCGCACAGGCTCCTGAGCAAGAGCCTTTGGCAACTCGGCTGTGCCAGCAGAGGCCTTCTGGTTCGACGAGTCTGCAGAAAATCGCGGAGAGAGTCCTACGACCACTTCTGTACGGTGGGTTTGGCAGTGCAGTGCCGGCAACTGGAGTTGTCACCACCTGGGGCAATGTACTACGGGCCGCAGAGCTGACACTGAATTGAATGAGATGCCGTCTGGTCGGATCCTGAAGTTTGTGTTCCTCGCGTCTCAGTGAGAAAACCCTGTGCTTCTGGTTGGACATCCAGATCACATCGCAGCACTTCACAACATGCCAACTGGTTTGTCCTGCCGATTCCAGGACCCTCACCCGTCCATTTTCTCTTTCTCGATGTTAGCTGGCTCCCCTCTCGTACGAAGGATGGCAGGGGTTCAAGACCAAAAACTCCAAGCACTCGCTCTAGGACTTTTGATTTTGACTGCTCTTCCTTTTCTTTTGCAAAGCCTGTGGAGCTGTAGCAGCCCGAGACTCATGGAGCTCGAACCTGCGCAGCTTCTGGGGCTGCAGCCGGCCGCCAGTGCCGCCCAGCGCAGGCTGCAATGGCAGAGGTGCAGGTGATGACCTGACTTGGACACTTCTGAGCCGGGGCAGTCGTCGAATCTCGTCGTATGCGAGACAGGCTGGACCAAGATAGGAAGTCGCTGCATGGTCCCAGTCACATCCAAGCACCGGCGATGCACATCCAGATGCCTGGGCGACTGCTGTGGCGGGATATTCAAGTCTGGCCGAAATGATGCTCACACTGGGGCTTGGGAGTTTTCGGGTACGAGGTATACTGCACTCGCGGAGGCTTCAAGGCTTCTAGGGTCAGTCAATACAGTATGCTGACTGACCATCGGTGCAAAAATCACGCTTACAAATGGACAGCCAGCAGGAGCAAAGGTCGAACACTGCAAGCTTGCCGCCTCCCGCGGCCTGGTGCTGATTTGACATGGATTTGGACCCGACAGCAAGATTGAATTTGCTCAGCTGAAAAGTGGACTACAGAGGCCCTATAACTAGGAAAGGACCCGAGGTGCTTCAGCGCAGGCAGCCAGTGCCGCCATCTTGTGCAGGTCCCCAGGGCCGCGTTTATGGCCACGGTATCCTGCCAAACTTTCCGCCAAAGATTCCCCAAATGCCCTTGGCTTCGCAACCTGCATCTATACTCACACCGTACCGGGTGCGACAGTATGCGACAGTGATTGAGCTCTGCAGCCTCAGATTACAGCTCCCTCGACATGCTTATCCTCAACATCACAACCACTTGAACTAGTGAGGGGGTGTAGTTGCTTCGGGAGAGACACAAACAGCGACAAAGAGACTCGCGAGAAGATCACACGGGATAAAACCAAGAGCCCTCACTCCTCAAATGCACTCCACACCCCAAACCCCGTAGTCGAGCACAGTCCTAAAAGCGCAAAGCAGTCAGAGGTCCCGCAACGCGCCTCCCTCCGTCCCCGCCCACCCTCACCCCTGCCGCCGACACTCGTCCCGCGGCCACATGCCGGGGCGGACAGTGCAAAGCGTTTACAATTACACTGCAGCAGTGTCAAAAAGTCAGGCCCGTCACTTTAACATGAACCCCTAAGCCAACACGAGCTTTCTCAAGAAATGCCCCACCACCTAAAGTAACATCAAGTCGCTGGCAGCCGCCCCATCGCTCCCCATCGGCTCAGCAACGATCCGGTTACTTGCCAGGCGCAAGAGTCGTCCAAGCAGTCCTCGACAGGCTTTCGGATGCCTTCGGAGTTCTAACTCCAGAATGAACGGTTGGAGTCGCAAAAGGCTCAGCAGCTCGGTTGATCGCTTCACACGGCTTTACCCAAACATGAAGCTCCTGTTTCCAGCATCAGAGCGTCATAAGCCCAAATGCAAAGCCGCGTGAAGCTTGGGCAAAGCCTTCTCAAGCAAACACCCGCTTTTGCACCCCTCTCGATTCCTCCTCCTCGTACTACTACACTACTAATGCTGACAGACAACTACTGCAAACAGGCTGGTGTTCCGTATACTCCCGCTTACGCAACCGTCCCACTGACTGAACGAGACACGAGGAAGCTGCTGAGGCTGGCTTCTTCCTCCGGCACAGAGAAGCTAGCCTCAAGCTCGTTTGTAGGGTTTTTTGATCTCGTCGTGGGAAGGGTGTTGTAATCTTGAATGGTGTATAAAATCTCTACATGGGTGTTGTGAAGCTTTTGCCGCCCGTTGTCAAAGGTTTTATGGTGTTTGCAGGGGTTCTAGACAAAGGATCCTCGACACTCATTGGACTAGTGTGCATCCTCGTTGTGCAAGCTTCCTGGGTTTTGAAGAGCCAACATCTGCGAAAGCAGGCTGTCCTTGAGGTTCTAAGGGCCCTTCACTCCACACCCTTCCTCTCAATGAGAAACCCTAGACATGCCAGGCAGTGTATGAGGACAATCTTTTCGATGTTGCCCGTTCGCTTGCAGTTTAGGGGTGGCCAGACACATCGGGTCTTGCAAAACCAAACCACAACGAAGGCGAGGAAGGCTTGGCCGCATGAACTCCGATTACCACCCGTTCAAGGTGTTTGACTTGGACTCTCGCAGAGCAGAGATTCCAAGCGATCCCAACTGTCCGGCTGCTTTATGGTCCACGATACAGGACTTAGTTGTAGGCTCAGTAAGTAGCCCTGCATTTTTCATCATGTAGATGACAGCAGTCCAAGAAGAAAGAGACAGGCCATCGCATGCAAGTGGTAGCTGTGATTAATGCATAATGTATACTATCTATAGTATAGATCTATACAGTCATATACAGCCATCTGAAAGGACCAGAAACGCACAATCTCCACGACAGGGTGAATTGCGGCAAGAAGTGTCGCGAGATGCTGCAACCACGCCCCGTAGATCGGGAAACATAAAGCTGCTGCTGCCCATAACATTGCTATTTTGCTTCCCGCTCCTCGCCAACGTTGCTTTAGCAGCTTGTATGCTGCAGCACGATTCCTCTTCGACACCTGTGCTAGCACTTTGCTTGTGTCGGCACCAGCGTTCACTAAGAGTGAAACGCGCTTCCACACACGGTTCCTTCGCTTCGGTGAAGGGGGCTGAGGAGCAGCACCATTTTGCAAGAGCCTTGCCGCAGCTTTCAAGCTGACCCTATCGCATAACAGCATCAAAGCCGTTCTACCTTTCCAGACTGCATCTTTGTCCGCACCGTGTGCGAGCAACGATTTGATGATTCTCGGGGCCTTCTTGAAGTTGGACATGCATGCTGCCATGAGGGGCGTTCTCCCCTCGGCATCGGGAATATCTGGTGAGCACCCAAGCTGAAGCAGGCATGCCACCATGTCTCCGCCCCCGTTTCGGACAGCAGCCATCAAAGCGGTGTCACCATGCCAGACTGCATCTTTGTCCGCACCGTGTGCGAGCAACGATTGGATGATTTTTGGCGCCTCCTTTCTGTTGGACAAGCATGCTGCCATCAGGGGCGTTCGCCCCTTGGCATCGGCACTATCTGGTGAGAACCCAAGCTGAAGTAGGCATGCCACCATGTCTGCGCGCCCGTTTCGGACAGCAGCCATCAAAGCGGCTTTATCCTTCCGGACTGCATTTTTGTCCGCACCGTGTGCGAGTAACGATTCGATGATTCTCGGTGCCTTCTTGAAGTTCGACATGCATGCTGCCATGAGGGGCGTTCTCGCCTCGGCATCGGGAATATCTGGTGAGCACCCAAGCTGAAGCAGGCATGCCACCATGTCTGCGCCCCCGTTTCGGACAGCAGCCATCAAAGCGGTGTCACCGTTCCAGACTGCATCTTTGTCCGCACCATGTGCGAGTAACGATTGGATGATTCTTGGCGCCTCCTTTCTGTTGGACAAGCATGCTGCCATCAGGGGCGTTCGCCCCTTGGCATCCGTACTATCTGGTGAGCACCCAAGCTGAAGTAGGCATGCCACCATGTCTGCACGCCCGTTTCGGACAGCAACCGTCAAAGCGGCTTTATCTTTCCGGACTGCATTTTCGTCCGCACCGTGTGCGAGTAACGATTGGATGATTCTTGGAGTCCCCTCGCTCTGGTACCTGCAGGCTGCCATGAGGGGCATTGTCCCCGGTGAGCACCCAAGCTGAAGAAGGAATGCCACCATGTCTGCGTGCCCGTTCCGGACAGCAGCCATCAAAGCCGATCTGCCACCGTCGCCCATTTCGGCCAGAATGGAATTTTCCCTGCCCTCCAGCCCAAGGCGTGAGGCGAGTTCCTGTATGTCAACAACGGAGCCATGTTCAGCCAGTGCGTCGAAAACCGGCAGGTCCCGACCACGGAGCAGGGTCAGAAGGTTTATCTGCCCATCCTCCGCGGCCAGCTTCGCAAGAGAGGAGCCACGCGAGTCCTTGACGTTGGGATTGGCGCCGGCCTCAATAAGGCGACTAACGACCTCCCACCTTTTCAACCTCGCGGCCACCATCACAGACGTGCCTTCAACAACCACCCCTCCTCTGCTTCGCATGGATATTGTAGAATTCGGATCGGCACCCAGCTCGAGGAAGTGCTCCATAAGCTTACGGCTGCCAGCTGCTGCACAGAAGGGCAACAAGAATGTAGCTGCAAGGGATCCTACATCCCGATAAAACAGGTGGGAATCGCCAAAATCATCCTCCGACATGACGACGTCGCACTGACTCGAGCTTTTCGAGTCAAACAAACGGACAAAATCGACGAGAACATTCTTGAGGCAATCAGACAAGCCCTGGTCATAGACTTCGCCATACACGTCTACCCCGTCTTGAACCTTTGTTCGTAAAGACAGTTTGCATCTCATGCCCTCCCTGATGAAGATAGGACCGTGCTGGCGAATCTGGGCTGCCAACTCCTCAGGCAATGGCTGGTTTGCAGCAGCGGATGCCTGCTTCAATCCCCACTTGCCCTCGTGCTCGGCAGTATATTCTGCCATGCCTGTCAGCTTTCCGCTTTCCTTCGCACGGATCCCACAGAGGATGGCGGCATTGCAGCTCACTTTTGATATCTTTATGGCGGCACAGTTGTGCAGCTTCAGCCCGGCCTTTGCTATTTGCTGTGGCGACTTCAAGACTTCCAGCAGGTATTCCTGCTCGCCGCCCAATGTCAGCTGCGAGGAGAACTGCCTGAGATGGAGAAACTCAGTCTCGGGATAGTTGCGAGCCAGCTGCTTCTGCAGGTCTCTGTCAAGTTGATTGAGAATTACACCGGGCCCCCTCTTCTTCACTGCATTCCAGTCCACCTCTTCTCCTCGTCTAGACGAGCGATGCTCTAGGTCCCTGAAATCAGCTTCGAGCTCGTCCAGCCGGTTCCACCTGCACTTAGACCACATCTCTCTTTGGCGTGCCCAAATGTAATCGGCTAGCTTCGAGCGAGCGAGAAATATCTTGAAAATCTCCTGCCGAACTTCGGCAGTCATGATGGCATCAATATCCGCTGTGATCTTGACCCTGGCTTCCTCGTCGTCCGTCCTTAGCATTGGGGACGTTAAGGCCACTATACTCATGTCCGACCCGGACTCAGTCAGTCAACGACATCCAATTCCGAGCTTCACCTTCATTCTGCTTCACGGTTTCACGGCCTGCAGTGCAAAAACAATTCTTGAGATAACTCGCGGTGAGGTTAGTCCTGGTTGACAGATTCCGTTCCCGGAACACCCATGTTCAGATCCTACAAGTGCCACCAGGAACAAGTCTGCAAGAACATGCCAATCTCGTGATCCTCCACTCCTAAATTACAACATGCGAGTGGCCCAAGCGAGTGGTACTATTCCTGCGGCCCGCCGCGGATCATCGCTACTGCCGCTGGGCCCTCATTATGCCATGAGGTTGATCTTGTCAAATGCCAGCTCGCTGAGAGCCAGGCCATCTTCTGGATCACCATCTGACTACAGTAGAAGCCCAAAAGTTGGAAACCCCATAGCCTCAATCCTTAAGAGTAATGTATCGGGAATCCCAGCACTATTTGGCCTTAATCCGGTTTCCAACTTTCTGGAGTTTACTGTAATGACTAATGAAGCATGCGACTTGATGGGGGGGCCCTCATCCCGTGTTTTCTCGGCTGGAGTGTCTTCCAGTCTTTCTGTTCCCAAGGGCTGACAGATGACCTGCGTGTACTCTGGCAGTGACACCAGACGAAGCTCTGGGTACCTGTCTGTTGAAAATGTTCGCGAATTTCCGTGCAAATGGTCTGGGACGCTGATGAAATGCCGGCATGCGTCTACTCCGGCACAAGAGGACTTACGCTCGCAATTATAGATGATGAGGGTCGTTAAAAATCTCGGCCTGCCGAGCTGGGAAGGTTCGGCTGACAGGTCCCAGACGTGAAGCGGCTGCTTGCTTCAAAGCTTGGTGCTCTGTTTCATGCAGCAGAGCCGCAAGTTTACGACCATGTTGTAATGCATGGTGGAACATCAAAAAGAGTCTTTGGAGCCGATTGAATGGTGAGCGGCGACAGCTCATGACTCTCACTGCGAAAGTGCAGCGAAGTGCTTTTGGAAACGCAGAACAAAATCAACAACCTTTGAAGACAGTGTCAAACGAATCGACGAACCATGTCAGCGATGGAGGCATGCCAAGACGTGTACTTTATGTGCTTCCAAGGCACCCTGCTTGGAAGAGCCTCCTTTCAATCTCTATCTGCACAAGCTTGTCAAGATAGCCGAAGGCTGTCATTTCAGCTGCACTTGGGATGCCCGCCTTACAGAGCTTCGAGAGTAAAAGGCCCGCATACAAGTCAGGGATGGATCTGAGAAAGGGACCCCAGCCAGGAATCAGAAGGATGCTCCCCTTCGGCCGAAGGTGGGGTTTCTTATCGTTCACCGGCAGCCTGGCCCAGTCCTCGGGTACTTGCTCTTCGATGGAGCCGGCACAGGCTGGAGCCAAGCTTGACGCATCCGCCATGACAGGGCCAGCGCTAAGGCTTAGCAAGTCATAGCTCCTCTTCACCTCTTCAAAGACCTCCTTCCGGAAGGCTGCCGTTCCCAAAATAGCCACGGCGTGGAGTTTCGCTCGTACCTCAGAGGTCAGCCTCCGGCGTCCAGAGGCGCTGCACCTGGCAAGCTCCCAAGCCCTGAGCAGGCCGAGCATGGCTCGCACGCAAGATTCTGCTGGCAAGCCACATTCTCGCTGAAGGCTAAAGCTTGAGCAGCTACACATCCGGGAATTCTTGTGCCATGCTGCCATTCTGACTTCCCACACGGCAAACCTCTGAAAAAGACCCGGGCGCAATGCTGACCGGACGCCAAAGCAGCCATCAGAGACAACGCCGCCGGCCAAGATTGTCGTACCTAGCATCCGCAATTTTGGGAGCAGCTCTATCCTCTTGACCCTCGGAGAAAGGAGGTCATTGCTAGCATTTGCTGCAAATGTCGACCCTGGCACAACTTTGGGCTACCAAACCCGTATCTGCAGAAAGAACCGACCTATACAATGAAGCAGAGCACCACATATGGAGGCGTGGTTTCCAAAGCCCGACCCGCCAAGCAGCAATGAGATTGGAAGCGGCATGAACAGAACCCAGATATATGATTTGTGGCAAGCATTGTCAAAAACTGACGCCCTCAACACCCCAAGTTAATGTTGTGGAGGCCTTGCAGCTGCTCAGACTGGCGCGGCAAGCGATGGCATCAGGCTTGAGCCCACCTGCGTCAGGCTGTGGACTCCAGCCATGGCCAGAAAACCATGCCATTGACGGTTGCCGCATCGTGCATCGGATGTAGTGAAGGTGAAGGCCGTGGTGAGATGATGACACTGGACGGCACAAGCCGCAGGGGAGAGTATTGCTGCTGTTGCAGCTTGAAAGGTGTAAGGGCCTCGGAAACCATCTCAAAACACGTTGGAGGCCCACTTTCAAAGCCAGAGTCGGATGACAACTAGGACTCCCCTCTCCCAGGAGCAAACGCACCGGTCGCCTTCTCGTAGCTGGGACAGCAACACCAAGGCCCGAGCCCACTCCTGACGGGCGGGTGTTTGAAGCTTGGAGTTCTTTCTGCCACGCAGGGAAGTCAAAGACCAAACTCAGGCCCGAGCCTTCCGGCGCGTGGCCGAGGTGATCAAGGTATTGTACCAAAAGTTGTCCTTGCACTGCAACTTTTGTATGGAGATCAATCCCAAGACAATGCCAACATGCTCAAGCACCCTGTAAGATCAGGCCGGCCATCATGGGACGACGCAGCCGATGGGCTACTCGGGTCCCTTCAGTTTTGTTGTTAATCGCCCCTTTTCGTTCTGCCAGTTACCTTTTGGTCTGAATGCCATGGTGGCCGGGGCATCGGGACAGCACGACACCTTGTTCAGAAAACTGAAGCTTTCAGGAATTTTCCAGCACTGAGTCATGAAAGACCTGGTTCATGGTTGAAGTGAACCCGTAAAAGTGAAGACTGATAGGTCGGGTTGCCGAATTCTCGCAGAACTCGTTCATAGACAGAGAAGGTCCTACAGGTCCTACTGTAATTGATCTTAGCCTTAGACCTCTGTCAGTTTTTTAACTTATAGAAACGAATCTGGACCCTGTCATCGCGTCGTCTGTAAGTGAAGATGCTCTTCCCGCCGGGAGGCCGCCCGAAGATGATCTTCTGAGAGGCGAGCCATCAAGGAAACGGCCCGTGCCTCAGGGCGAAGCTGTCGAGGAGTGTACGAGTGCAAACATTCACAAGAGTATTATACACGGCCAGTACACTTCTGAATGGTTGCCACATGGTGCGTTCGAAAGCCGAGTATGCTGCGTCGTGTGTGAGTTGGGTCTCTGCATTTCAACATCACCAGCTCGACACAGGCATTGTGGATGGCAGGCTGAGTTCTGCTGATGCCAATTGCACTCTGCCACATGATGCTCGGCAGCATGCAGGAAGTGGCATGGGGTCGTTGAAATCTGCGCACCTCCCCTTCCACACTGGATGCGCAAGCAGCAGCGAGGGAGTTGAGAGTGATGGCACCTGGACAGCACTTGGCCATTGCAAGGAATCGCCCGCCTGTTCAAAGGCGCAGGATGTCATATCCACAGAAACAGAATCGATGCAGAAGATGTCCCTGCTTAGAGACTGTGTTGAGAAACATATGGCGACGTCGCCATCGTCTGCAGCCAAGAATCTCGGTGTCAGGCGCCTGGGCTCGAAGCCGGCGTCTTGAGTGTCTTGACGCATCCCGAATTGTTGGTTCTCTCTGTATCTCTCCCTCTCTCTCTCTCTCTCTCTCTCTCTCTCTATATATATATATATATATCCTCACATATATATATATATAATGTAATTAATTACATGTATAAGGTGTATAGATGTAGACGTACATGTATGCATTAGCTCTTCCACAGCGCCTTGCTCAGCACACAAACCTATGCTTTGAGTATGCGCTATTCGTATCACTCACATATTATAAGCATATGTACACCAAAAAAACATGCGCACACACACACACACAGACAGAGAGGAAGCACCTCTCCAGGAGCCCCGCAGCGAGGCCCAGGGAGGCCGCCCAACGTCGTGCGCGGCCGGCAGCGCTCAGAGCAGCATTGTAGCAAGCCTCGATCCCATGTGGACTCGTGCATGTGGAGGAGACGGAATCTAGCAGAGTGGGATAGAGTTTAACCTCCAAAGCTCAACGAGGCACTTGACTGCATTCCTTACTGCCATGACTGCCGTGAAAGCTTGGCTGCTTGGTAGCCCTACATATCGTGGTATACTGCACGAGCCGGTGTACGTGCAACGCATGTGCGTGTGCTCCATTGTCGGTTGTTTCGGGATAAGGTTCAACAGCACAACTTTTCTCAACAAGCGCAGATCGCATGCCACGGCGAACTGGGCAGGGACACCTCGTTAATGAGTGCTGACATGACTACTCTGTTTATTCTGTTTACTAATTCAATACCCTCCCCCGAGCTCCAGTCAACTCGCAGATTGGACCTCTCCGAGAGACACCACACCATTCTGTAAGTTAGAGGCGCTTGGAATTGGGATTATATGCGAGTCAGAATCTAAGACTCTGAAAGCGTAAAAGCAATATTACAGAGCGTTGAGCACTACGTCAACGGGCTCTCTTCCCAAAGCTGCTTCTCGGAGATTCCTGACGAGGAGCCGTTGCAGCCGAACGGAAGAGAGAGCCTTCAGCTCCTCGGTCAAGCAGTCGGCAATGTAAGGGTCGAGAAAGGCCGAAATCATGAATGTTAGACTGGGAATGTCGGCTGAAGCCTGTCGCAAGCCACACACAAGGTTGCAGAATACCGAAGTAACGTCGACATTGCCCAGGGCACCCTGGAGAGAGCGACACAAGCTCAAAAAGCCCGTGAAGTTTGTGAGCATCACAAGAAGTGGAAGCAGACATCATATTTGCACGATCGAAGATGTATCATGTTATCTCGATGAGAGTTATTAATGATTAGTTACGTTACTGTCCATGGCGGCGGGGCAATAAGAAGAGGATAAACGGGGAAGGATCAGACTTGGCCTCCCCCAGGTGGATCCACACTGCAGCACGTGTTGCAGCAGCAGTTGGGGTGGAGCTGCCAGGAATTCACTAGATGTGACGTTTCGATGTATTTCGTGTGAGCGCACGTGCAAATGTCAAGCCGCGAAACCTGGAAGCATCACTCGCGGTCCTCAAGCCAAAATCCCTGTACCCCAGATTACCAACTCCTGAGCTCGTCCTGATTCTTGTCCAGGTTTCCGAGATGCTCGCCAAGCATGGAGTGCACAATGGCAGTGGAACTCTGCCACACATCGGCCTGCCCGAAAGCGGCTAGTGCATACGAGTTTGAGATGTGGGGTGCGTTGCCTCCCGGGGCGACGAAATCAAGATTGACAGTTGATTCCTGAACCCAGCCTCTCCATGAAGTGTCCAAGCAATAAGCAAGTTGCAGCTGTGGCTGTGATACGCATGGCCTTGCCATGTGTGCTGCTCAGGGCCGCCAGGGTGATGAGGCTGGGCCGGCACAGCCTGTGCTCGTCACAGGGATGTAGCAGATTTTGCAAAGCAATCCGCTGAGCAGGTTTCATATCACGCCGCACTGTCGAGTTCAGGGCTCCTGAACCAAAAAGGCAATAATTTACTGTAGAGGGCGCGCTTTAGCCCCGACACGTTTTAAACATTTGGGTGGTTCTCTTTACTGTAGGCCCGATTGATCTGCCTGATTTCGCTTCGTTAGGGCCCTGAACTCAGGGCCTCTATTCTGCATGTGATCAAGAAAGCATCAAACTTACAGTTTGCAGCTCGAAAGGCATGTGCTTCGAGAATCAGCAATCGAGTGCACAAAGCCAAGTCCAGGTTTCAGTAGCACAGGTTCACACGACAACGCACCAATCGTATGTAATTACCGTGGAAAACAACACTGGTCAGAGTGATTAGTTGGCCAGGCCCGCCGAGGGTGCCCTCATACATGCAAGCATGCATGTGTGCATGCCTGCGTAACGCTACGAAAGCATGTGCTGACGCTTGACACATCCACACGGCTGGCGGCCAGGATGCGCGACTCCTTGTTTGCTGGCTAAGTTTATCCGTCTGCACATATGCGTGAATACTGGCAGTGGCTCAAGCTAATGGCTGATCAAAGGTACGTTTAGAGATTCCCCACAGAGTCCAGCACATGTGTTCCCAGAACTTCCCACCTCCTTACTTGCACCCCGGATGAACAACCAAGGCGCAGCGCAAACGACGAGAGCAAGCTGGTGGAGCGAGCCCAGAGGCTTCCTTTCTCATGGCTCTTCGCTGAGCTCTGAAACTGAGCTAAACCGGATCGAAGTCCTCGAGGTCTACTCCAAGCTGGCTCGCGACCCTGCAAAGCCACGGTGTAGAGTTTAGAGCGAATCCTTACCATTCGCAGCCAAAGCGAGTGAGCTGGTGATGCCCGGCTTTCGACACTAGCAGAATGTGTTGGCGTTTCCGACTATGTTGAGATGGGATCCCCTTACTTATTGCGAGGCTAGATTTGGCACGATGTAAAAACCATGGATAACTACGATAAGGTCTATGTGTGGGTTACTACTACCAATTGTGTGCTCCGCTGGCTAGCTGTCCTTCCTCACAGGCGCTGATCACCGCATTGCAGATGGTCGTGGTGATCTCAGGGCCGTCAAGACCGAGGTCTATAGTCTACGGATCTAGGGCCTATTGTTTGAGATCTTGGGCTAAGTCGACTAAGTGGGACTGCACCAGGCACTAAGAGATGAAAGAAGCCGGGCGAGACGCAAACACAAAGGAGGAAGCCATGCTGGGTAAGCTGGCGCTTCTGCTCCGAACGAAAAATTATGGGGCCTTTCTGCTCCGAACAAACGCAAAAGCGCAACACAACCCAGAAAGCAGCACTGACTGGAGATGCAGGTGGCGATCACCCGTCATGTGTGCCCAATGAACAGAATCTTACATGGAACACGCGTCAGCGATGCCTGTAAAGCTTGTTCCCTGAGCTGCCCTGCCAGGACAAGGGCAGCTGGCCAGCGCGATGAATCGCCATGGACAGTAACCAGCGTACCAAGGCTGACCACCTCAAGCATCAGTGTGCTCCTCATTACAAAAGCATACTACATGTTCTGATGCGAAGGGAAGTCGATAGTCACGTCTTATAAAGCTAAATCAGCTAAATCGCCGATTTCTGGAGCAAAGCACGAGCCATGCGCCGCAGCAGGCTCCCTGCTTGTTGCCACCTTCCAACCAGGCCAGCCAGTGCCGCATTGTGCGTCACCTGAGGCCATCTTCGACAGATGGGTCAAACCTGCACTCCGGATGCACCGCACGACGTATCTGAGCGAACATCTCAATGAAGAACAGAAGGCTAGTCGCAAACCCAGAACTCCCGTCCGTATCGAGTTTACTAAGCAACTAAGCCCAGCCACCGTATCAGGGAAAATTGAAAGGGCTGGCAGCAGCGAGAGCACGCCACAGGATGAATGCCACCGGCTTGCACGCTGGTCTTGGATAGTACATGCAAGGCTCTGAAATACAGCTTGACGGAAATTCAACAACTGGATCGGCATGACTGCGAAGCAGAAGACGGTTGGTTAAGCAGTAGCTCGGCGAGGCTGCTTCGGCTCACCTGCTAAGTACAGCCCTCCCAATGCAATCTGATCTGGGCAGTTCGAGCGGAGCCAGCCTTCCCTGTATGCAGATACATTTTGAAGTTAAGGCTAGTAACGGCTAGTAGTTAAGGGGTATGTGGGAGTCCCAACTCTTGCTCCGGAGCGGGAGACTGAGTGCACAGAGATGTCACACGTGCGGAGATTAGACACCCTAGCCTCGGAATGGATACCTCTAACGTCGGAGAAGTGTGGTGGCAATCCAGGAGTCGCTGGGCTTGTACGTGTAGCTCCAAGTTATTTTGGAGAGGCCGCACCGGCGGCATGTGGGACGGTAACCAGAGGGGCTTGGCTCAAGCTCAAGAAAGGACCAGCAAATGGTCCCCTTTCCAGACCAAGCTGCAAGCAGTCGCCAGCGCATTACCTGAAACCAGATCCTGCAGAATGAGTCGAACTCTCGTTGTGATCGACGACGCAGGCCCGAAGGCCAGACACAAACATAAAAATGATCTCAATGCAAACAGCTGCAGAGGGACATACCTTTGCAACCGACCAACCAACCAACACACCAGACGCAATACGATCCATCAATGCAATGAAAGGCAGAAACATGCCCACCTGCAAGTCTGGCACTCGAGAGGTACAGTATGCGAGGACAGTAACATGTGATGTAAACATGCCATATGCGTCTGGCAGCATCGGGTGTAGAATGGCTTGGATAGATATGTCAGTCCCGCTTCAACTGCGGAATGCCGCCGTCGAAAATTGCAGCTGCCACTTGCCATCTGGAGCTTTGCCCACCTAAGCAGGCCGGGCACACAGATTGAATTCATATGGGTGGTTGTCAAGATTAGGGTCCTTTTCTGGGTACCCTAAATTCTTGGTGCCGTGTTGTACTAAGGACCCAAAATGGGATCCTAATTTTGACAACCAGCCATATGGAAGCTTCGGAGAACAAGGAACTTGACACGTCATAGTGCCGACCCGGCCACAGCAAGTGATGGCGGTATTCGCCTCGGCTACGGCATCCACCCTGTGGCTACGCTAAGGAACTCTCGCAGCCGAAAGTTAGACAATTCTCCCTCGTTTCGGAACCAGGAACCATTTCTCTAGCGTGACAGCTCATGAAAAACATTAACTTTCCAAATGTATCTCCATGTCAAACGCTCCGGAGGGACATGGGTTCGGGTGTCATAGATCTCAAACTTCGCCTCGTATGATAGAAATCTGACCAGAAACTCCGTTCACACCGAAAGAGATCAAAGCCATGTGAGCTCCAAGCGGCCACGATGGTGTTGGGAAGCAGGGCTTCAGAGCTCGCCTCTCTCCTCAATTTTTTGGTGGCTGTAGATTTGGGCTTCCGCGACACTGTTTCGGGGCTGAAACTCTTCACACGAGCGGACTTAGGAGCTTGTTGGCCGAATGAAACTTGGAGTGTCGAGGCTCAGCTGTGACAGGCAGAGATGCCAGCGGAGGGCGCGCCCCAGCGCATGGACCACCTTAAGCTGGAGAGGCATCATGTCACGTCTGGTATCGTAGCTCTAGAACAGGAGTGGAGCGAGACAATCCGGAAAAGACAGAAGGAGGGCGAGAGAGAGCGAGCCAAAGAGAAAGAGAGAGAGAGAGAGACTGCTTCGGATCTTTCCATGTGTAGCCGTGGGACACCTTTGCTGTGGTTTGTGTTGAGACCTGTATCCTGGTGTCAAACTTGGTTTTCCAGGCCGGTGTCAACTCCGGGTGACATCGTGCAATTCTCATCTCAACCTCAAGTACAAACCAACCAAGCAAGACTCATTGACGCACCAACATGCATGGAGTGCATCCTCCTTGCGACCCTACCGCAATGTTCCAATCCTTGCCCACTCCAATACTGCAGCGAGTTTCGACACTATGTCGACAAGCGAATCTTCCACAATGCGCCGAAGGGCAGCTCCAATCGAGATGATGTCAGGCTGGACATTAGAAGACCTCAACAACCGTGCTCGTGCAAGCTGCATCTTGATGTGTGTGAGGAGCGCCAAGAGCTCATTGCTGGACCCACGCCCGCGACATAGCCCTAGTTGGCCTCCAAGAATATCACACCTTGGGTTGTGGCCTGGAAAAGTTTGCGCGTCTTGCTCCCTCTTATACAACTTCGAGGTCTTGCAGGCTCAAGATCATACCATTACTAGAAAGACAGGAACAGGAATGTCGGAACAGCGGCAGATACTAGCAGATGTCAATCATCTTTCGAATGTCAAAGCCCCTAAGACCCAGACCGCTCCCGGAGAAGCCGCAAAGCATCGACCCAGCGTGACGTGCGAGAGTGCCTTGGGCTTGTATGCTGGAAGTCTTCTGTCTGGTGCTTATAGTAGGGAATGGATCCCTATAGTAGTCCAATCATAGTCTGAATCACCCATTCCCCCATTCCCAACTAAGAACCAGACAGTCTTCTTGAGATTTCGCAGGCAGAAACGGCTTCGCAGTGATGTGACAATTCTGGTGTCGGGGTCTCGAGGCTGAGATGCGGCAGGCGGTGAGTGCATTCAGCCGGCGAGTCTAGTGCAAAGAGGCCCAACACGGAGCGTTACAGCTTTCATGAGGTGCGAAAATACTCAAGTTAAAAGGTCTACGGGCAGAGCCAGGAGAGCTGTGTGTGGTTGTCGCTCCGTTGTATGTGCGGTTGCTTCCCCTCATCTTCTTTGGCCAAAATGTAGTGGTAGCTTAGGACTCTCCCATCTCTTGACTTCTCCCATGTGACCCTAGTGCACCTTGACAAGGAGTTCTTTCAGCATCTCTCATCTCAGTTTCTCCACCCTTTTGTGCTCCTCAATCTGGTCATGTTTGCATCAAGACGTGTGCAATCTCTTGAAAGCTGGAGCAACACGGAGGTTCAGCTCTCATGACTGATCAATCTGGTCTCACCAGGAAATCCTCCACACCTGCTTTGATGCCTCTGGTTAGCAACTTAGTCGGGCGTGCGATCTGCATTCCGAATACGAGAATGACCTTTCCGTTTTGCTGCCGGATGTCTCTGCCAACTCGGTATTGAGCGTCAGCACACTAATCTTGACAGGCCTCCCAAGGGCCGCATCTGAAGGTGTTGCATGCTGACATGCTCACTAGACAGCTGTGGCCTGTACTTCCTTCCAATACAGCGCTGCCGCAGTCATCAGCAGGCAGTCTTGCTGAGCAGAGTCACAAGTACTCTTGACTTGCCACGCCACACCCAACCTAAGAAAACAACAGCGACATCCCATTGAAACTCCGAAGCCGTAGCAGCGCTTTTGACTTGCGGCCTTTGTCTACGAGAAGGCTTGGCTGTCGACTTCGACTACGAGAGAAGTCTGGTCCTCTTCGAGGTGACGTGTCTAGGGCTTCAGGAGAGTTCCTGGCAACCTTATATCAACAAGCAGAGTGTCACTTTGATAATTCATCCGTCGCTCTTCTACGGCATGGTGCCATGCCGTGGTGCGAAAGGCACTGATGTTGCGAGCACTGAAGCTAGAGCAAAGCAAAGGTCGGAATGAGAATGCGACGGGACTAAAATGACTGCCAGCCTCTTTTGCGCCGCGACAGTGTGACCGTCTGCATGCATGGCGCTACCAGGCCCTAGCAACAGTGAAATGCCGTCTTGCTATGTTTTACTTGTCATGTTGAGACCGTTTCCTTTCCACATCCTTGTTTTGCTCTTTCTGTTCTCACTGGCCCTCTTCTCCTCCCCCTTTTCTTTCTCTCTCATCCGGTTGCTTCCCTGTTTGCAAATTGTGCCCTGTTAGCAAATGCCCGTGAGTTGGCATTCGAATCGCACTCGCTCTCTGCCACTCGAAGAGTGGACTGCATGCAACTTTTCAAACTAAGTGTAACATGAACTGAGCCGAGCACGGTCGAGAAACACTTTAAGTGTGCTGGCTGAGCTGGTATGTACCAGCCTGCATACCAAGAAACCATCTCAAGATTCTGTCGAGTCTACCACCCGCAGCCCAAAAAACAACACTTCCAAGCTTCAGTCTTTTTCCGCTGGAGCGCGCTGCTTGACAGGGCCGCTGTGCAAGCACCGGGCCCCGGGCTGGGACTCATGCAGTAAACCCGTCTTGGCCGTCTTGGCCGTCTTGGTGTGGATCATCTGGGGCACATGCAGCGATTGCAAAACTACATAACTACCCAGAGGTTCCTTTGTCAAGGCCAAACTGTCCGCCAGCCGTAAAATGCGAGGCGCAGGTGAAGCCGCAGGGGCCCTGTCAAGAGGGAGGTGGAAACCCGGAAAACAGGCTCCTGTGATTTCATAAGTCGGCTGATCTGCCTCTACCATTTGCCGCAGAAAGCCTGCTTTCGAAGCCCACTGCCTCTCCCAGGTCGGAAGTCTTTGGGTACAGGAAACGTACAGCACTGAAGTCCTCGCAGTGGTGCGCGGCAAAGGCATCCTCAGACATGTGAGTATGTGTGCATATATACAAATGTATGTATGTATATGTATTGGTCGCCTGTATCTAGATGGATAATGATATCTTTGTTTCCATTTATACTTATACGTATACTTTTGCTGATAGACAACAAAGGTGTATCTATATATCTATATCTATATATATATATATGCGCAGATATGTGCTTATGTAAATGTATGTACATATCTGTAAATATATGTATGTATATATAATATATATGTATATATGTATATGTCCATGTATACACACAGAAACACACTACGTGCATATGTGTGTATATACCTCTTGATGTGTGTCTACATGGGACATGCGCCGTGTCACTCAACCTCTTCCACAACCTCCGCGAAATTTTCAACCAGAGGCGGGTCTTGTAAACTGAGGACACCAAAGCCGGAGCTTCGAAGTTCCAGGCTGTTGGATGCTGTTGGTTAAATACAAAAAACACACCCTCGCGTAATTCTCCAAAGCAGCTTAGTTAGTTGGATTTCTGTTGAATGGTGTACTCTTTAGTGGCTCTATAGAATCCACAGATCCTTCAGGCCCAGGCTGTATGTAGCCCGAACAAACATTAACAAAGCCTTATAAGTAAAATCAAACAGAAGCTGCTTTTGGAGAAACTCTGGTGCAACGGGAAGAAGAGTCTTAGGAGACTCGACCGCACTGCCTGACATGGGTCGGCTTACTTGTCACAAGAACCCAACTCTTCCACTCTCTTCCTCGCTCTATTCCTGGCCCTCTCTCACGCACATGAACATGTCCAAATAGGGATGACAAAGCAAAAGTGCGTGGACGCGCAAAATCATAGAACCGCCTGTTTGTCTGGGCTTGGGCCATGCCCTATTGCCTTGACATCACGGAGTGTGCATCTGAAGCCCCAAACCTTCCGACTCATGCAATCGTTTATCCCCATGAAAGGCAGTGTCGGCAAACAGCACCAGGAATCTCCTAGTTCGGTATTCTCAAGGAATGCCATCCTGGATCCGTAAGGCCGACAGTGTGCAGGGCCCATGTGATCAGGGCTTTAATCCCCGATGCTGGGGTCTCTCTGTTGGCATGGTCCAGGGTCAACCTACCTTGAGTCTGGTACACAGAGCTAGAAAGATGAGGTGCCCTGGGCTGTCTTCATGGCTCTGATTGATTCTGCTCAAGTGACTGGGTGATGCAGCCAACCCGGGCACTCTCACCTGACTTGCCTCTGGAAGCGATTTGCGCGCAGCTGATGGTTCCGAGTGCGGCTCCACACGCATCATGCCTGGCACCTCCGCAAATACCGTGCCGTTCTTTTCCGTTCCAGGCTATAAGAACAATGAGTTCCAGGCATGGCGCAAAATTGCTATCAACTTGTGCAAGGCTAACGTGAGTCTGGCATACACCGGAGCTTGGGTTCACAGGGCTGCTGAGAGCTCTTGAATGGGTTTCTGCCTTTCTGCCTTGCTGAACTGAAGGCAATGATAGGTATTTTTCTAGTTGTCTGGTATCTGCTTCCCGGCTTTCTCCTACAAGCCACTCCAGGCAGCAGAAGCTCACATCAGGCGTTTAAATGTGTGTGCCCCGGAAGGGAAGATGCACACAATTGGTATCACAATTGGTATTGGGTCGCGGCCGGCGGCGGCCGGGGCAAAACAAACCCACTTACAGTGCACATCTGCACCCCTACGTGGCCGTGTTGCTCAACAACTTCGATGGTGCAAAGCCCCAAGGCCTAAGCCCCCTAAATCGGGACATAGATCGTCGACAGCTTGCTAAGCCCCTCCGTCGGATCCTCACGGCCCATGGCCAAGTCGCCAATGATTGACACAGCGCCTCCCAAAGCGAAGACAGGCGAACTGCAAGAATCCGAATCAATGCAAAACCGAGCCTTCACTTCGAGATCGGCCCAACAGGCCTACCCCAAACCTCAAGCTCATCATCCCGGCAAATCCCTCAGCAAAAAATGTTTCGATGGCGGAAACCTCCCCTTCCTGGCCTTGTAGCACAGGTAGCTTCACAGCCTCTTCTGTTCAGGACAGTATCTGTCTTAGAATTCAGCATAATGTAGACTGATATCGTCGCTACGACGACTACTACAACTATGTACTACCACTGCCACTGCTACAACTACGTACTACGACGACGACTACTAAGTCATATAGTACATATCTTCCATCGACTACATATACCTACTTCATGTACTACGCTACAACATGTAACATAAGATATACTACTCCCCCTACCACTACCACTGCCACTACGACGACGTTCGACAATATAGACTTGCATAGAAACACGCGGTGACTGCGATGATAAAATTAACATGCAAATCACAACATCGGCCAAGATGCAAGGTCAACCGGGCTGACCTTGTGCATATGCACCTGTCAGCAAGGGCGTAGACGGTACGATCTGCCCAATGCGTCGGTTCTGGTTGATGTGTCTGTTGCTGTTATTCTCGTTGCTGCTACCTCCCGTGGCCGTGAACCGGGGGCATACAGGAATACGCGCTGTAAGGATACCGCTTGCACCTCGACAGCCTAGGCCCCATGGGAACCCATCTTCGGGTCAACGACTTTTGCACCTCAGCTTGGAGCCCGTCACCAATCCCAGAAGTTGCCTGTGGGTGCGCTGAGCAGGCACATGGGTATCCAATCCTTGGCTGATGCGACTCTTCCTCGGTCCCTCTGCAGAAATTCAAAAAAAGAAGAATCAGCTTTGTACGATCTCATAGCAGGTAGCAATAAGAGGCAGTGTAACTGCAACGATAATCATAATGAAAATCATGCTCTTTCCTGAACCCTTGCAAGTCTTCCAAGCTGCTCCCGAGTCGACAAGGTTGGCAAGGCCCCCTTGTCCTTCTCCTCTGAAGGATAAGACTTTCCACGACGATGCTGAGTGCAGTTAAGATGATCTGACATGACATCATCATACTATACAAGGAAGGGACTGCACAGCCGTCCCACGAAGTTCCCCCTGTATGCGACAACATAATATAGTACATAGTACATCATAGCATTCAATCCCTGACGCGGTGTGTAGGCAAGCTCTTGAAGCCAACCTGTAGTGCATGAATCTCGTCGAGGCTGAAGGAAGGGTTGCAGTTGACCTGCACAACCGGGACATGTGAAGGAGGAGCTCTTGTTGAGCTGGCACGAAGCTGCAGAGTGGATCTGTGTACTGTAAGATGCACGGCTTAGCGTTCCAGTCAGAATCTTTGATCGAAGTTGCTTGGGGAACCGCTTGCGCTAGCCACGTGTCAATTTCGGCGGCACCAAGAACTTTATGTCGGCTCGTAATAACAAATTGAAAAGCTGAGGCAAGTGGGAGACAAATAGTATACAAGACAAGACTTGACTTTAATCATATTAATCTGAGGCATTCTTCTCTTGCAGACCACCCCATGCAGGAAAACACCTAAATGGGCACATTCACCAAACCAGGTTTGCCAGCCTACATCTGCTCCATCGTCCTTGACAAATGACCCGGCTTTGTTCAGCAACACTGCTCGCACTTTGGTGCCGGAATCCACCTCATACGGCGTCTACAACCAAGTAAGAAACATCATCTTTTCCTTGTCAATACAAGACCTCAAGCTCATATACTGCTCATACCATTTTTGAAGCAATGGACTTGCCAGATGCCAGCACACACGACGCCAGTAATGCCTTTATTCCGCCCTTTTCTGCCAGCTCCTGTGGCAGATGATCTTCGCTGGAGCCTGGCCTCCAGGAGCCAAGGCTTGCACGAGCTGTCCAGAAGCACGTCCAAGCCTGCAACAGAAACCTACTGGTGCCTGTCCGACAAGGTACATAAACAGGGCGTCTCAATGTCGGCGTGGTCTGTGCATTCTGCCGTTCAGGATTGCTTCAGTCGGAGCTTACCTTGGTCATATTGGATGGCAGTGTTTCTTTGACAAAGTCAACCGACCCCCCCTTTCGCCAGTCCAACAACAGCAGCGACGTCTTCAGTGTCCAGAATCCAAAGCACACCATGCGCCAAGTCTAACCCGGCTACGGCATTCGATTCGATTTGGAGAAGGAATGTCAGGAAGCATCAGGCACAGACAGTTTGCGAGCCTGGATGTTAACAAGAAGCGGTCGGCTTGCATGCTCCTACCTGTACCATACACCCCCGAAATGGAACCAATGCCTCTGTTGTTCCCTTCCCTCAGTCACACTTAGTTTTTACTACACTTCCTTGTGGGACTGGCCCGTACGGCTATTGGAAAACAGTAGGACAGCTTTAACAAAGCACACAAGTTTGTGGAGGTGAGGCCACTCCAAGCAATTTCCACCTTGCCCCATCAGAACACAGGAAGCGCGAAATGCCTGAGTTTCTCCGATGCCCCGCCTCCCTTTTGCCCGATCCCCGTCCAAGGCCCGAGCCCAGGATGTGAAAGCACTGGTCGAACTTCTGAGACGCGGCCCTGGTGACCTGGCACCAGCCGGGCTTAGCATAATACGATTTACACTCATAAGTCTCTATATTAGTATGTACATACTGCAGTGGCAGTACTTTCGTCGTACGTGGGACATAACAGCGGCAGCACCAGGAGTAGCAGCAGTCGTCGTCGTAGTAGTAAGATAACCACTAGAAGTAGTTGTAGCAGTAGCAGTAGCAGTAGCAGTAGCAGTCGCAGTCGCAGTCGCAGTAGCAGTAGCAGTAGCAGTAGTAGTAGTAGCAGTAGTAGTAGTAGTAGTAGTAGTTGTTGTTGTTGTAGTTGTAGTAGCAGTAGCAGTAGCAGTAATAGCAGTAGCAGTAGCAGTAGTAGTAGTAGTAGTAGTCGTCGTCGTAGTAGTAGTAGTAGTAGTAGGAGTAGTTTTTTGTCACCCAGTAGTAGTAGTAGTAGTAGTAGTAGTAGTAGTAGTAGTAGTAGTAGTAGTAGTAGTAGTAGTAGTTGTTGTTGTTGTAGTAGTAGCAGTAGTAGTAGTAGTTGTTGTAGTTGTAGTAGCAGTAGCAGTAGCAGTAGGAGTAGCAGTAGGAGTAGCAGTAGCAGCAGGAGTAGCAGCAGTAGGAGTAGCAGCAGCAGCAGCCGCAGCAGCAGCAGCAGCAGGAGGAGTAGTAGTAGTAGTAGTAGTAGTAGTAGTAATAGTAAGAGTAGCTGTTGATATTGTCTTGGTCTTAACATGTTTTAATTTCTTGTGGCCACGCGTGGTGGCGCAGACGACTCTGCCAAACAAAACCTGCCGACGCCGCAGCTTTCAGGTACATGTGTGGAAGTGGTTGTCACTTTTGACCTCTGAACTCTTCCAGTTCTAGACGATTATCAATGGCGGATGCCGTTTCTTGGGCGCCGTGTCCACGAAACCAACACAACCCAAATCCCGGCACATCCCTGCACAAATACACACACGATCCAAGCGCGAAGCAAGGCGCCTCCTGGGATCCCTCCCAGGTCGCTGGGTCTTGCGCGAGGCGGCGAAGTGGCGAAGCCATGGCACCTGGGACTGTCTTACAAGGCTTGCCGTATAGGGGGCTTGCATGTGCGTGTATATTTTTCTGTATATATATATATATGCATATATATATATATATATATACACACACACACATTTTTACATGGAGAGAGAGAGAGAGAGAGAGAGACAGAGAAAGAGAGAGAGAGAGCGAGATATAGAAAAACGGAGAGACAGAGAGAGAGCGAGAGAGAGAGAGAGAGAGAGAGAGAGAGAGAGAGAGAGAGAGAGAGAGAGAGAGAGAGAGAGAGAGAGAGAGAGAGCGAGAGGGAGAGGAGAGAGGAGAGAGAGAGAGAGAGAGAGAGATGGAAAGATAGTATGCGAGTGAATGATTGAGAGAGAGAGAGAGAGAGAGAGAGAGAGAGAGAGAGAGAGAGAGAGAGAGAGAGAGAGAGCGAGCTATAGAGAGAGAGAGAGAGAAAGAAAGAGAGATGGAAGGATAGTATGCGAGTGAAAGATTGTACGAGTATAGGCATTTATGCATGCATTGTATGTATGCATGTATGTGTGCAGACACGTCTGTCTGTCTGCCTGCCTGCCTGCTCTCTGTCACTGTCTCTCTGTTTGTCTCTGTCCATGATCCCGACTTGCACACTGATCTCAACAACGGGGTTTAGCACGTGCGCGCTTTTTCCCACCGACCGGGCGTTTAAGGTAACGGGGGTTTGGTACAGTATAAGACGGGCTTACAAACAAGCGAAGTGTCTGGAGGATTCTGCACTTGCCACTTAAGTTGGCATGCCTGCAGCACAATTGTCTACATGAGGCGTGTGATTGCATCTCTATCAACCCTTTCAGATGCATAGATTAGACCTCTCCTCCTGTTTGTGGTTTCCGCCCGTTATAGGAGTGCGGGGTCATTGCCTGTAATCAGAAATGTCAGAAAAAACAAGACAGAGTTACAAACAGCTCCAAGAAGCGCAACCTCTAACACATCCAAGAGGCGTATAGTCTCTGAAGCAAGCTCTTCCAGCGAGCTCCAAATTTCTGCCGTCGAAACTTCGAGCCTCCGGACATGAAGAAGGATCCAAAGGCCGGAAGTAGAGTTCCAAAATCAGATGTGCCGGGAGAACTCCTCACATGCGACTCGGAATGACGTGGGATGCGCCGGCCTCTTAAAAATGAGCCTGGTGCAAGTTGAGCCGGTTGAATCCCACAGCACCGACCACCGAAGTTCACTCCTTCCGAGTCCCTGGCGCGCCATCTGCCTGGAGCCCAGCCAAAACAGCTGAGAATGTCCGCTTGCAGCCGTGGCGGCCATTTCCGGGGTCCTGCTCTAAGATTGCGTTTGGTTCTGTGCGGGGGCCTCGGCGCAATATGATTTAAGAGAGTTCACCTCAGACAACTCGGAGGACGACGCTTTTAGCCGGGCAGGTTGGAAGAGCAGCGAGTTCACAGGGTTTCAGTTTGAAGCCTGGGCGTTTGTAGGTCTAGGCCGACGGCCGCCTGGCAAGGCAACGAGTGTTCATAACCTCGGGCAACCTTGACATGCAAGAAAGCTCAGGCTGCAACCAAACTCCACATCATATCAGTCATTACAGCAAGACCCTGGAAATTCTGAACGGTTGGACATCAGATGGGCATGCAGTTTTCCAAGATCCACGGCTGTACAAACAGATGGGAGTAGACTTATCGCATGCAGCTCAAAGCCCGATGAGTTCTGCTCGAATAACCTATGCCAATTTCTGATCTGAAGACGGCATAAGATGAGTTCCCGAGCTAGTGGGGCCTGTGACTCAGAGATCACTCCATCACTTCCCTCGAGCTATCGCATGCCTCCCCAATGCAGAGGTGGCCTCATTGCGGACAAACTTCTCCGAGCGCTTGTTCCTTGAGTACTTGTGTACAGTTCATGCTGGAACATGCAGGCCAGTGCCTGGTAACACTGGTATAGGAAAAACACTCCCCTTTCGCGACTACCACAGAAACAAGTCTGCCCTCGTATCGGAGTCAGTCAGATGAAGAAGCTGACGGCCACTGCTGCTGAAGGATGTTGCGCAGGAGTACTCCAGACTTGGCTGGTTTCACACTTTCCCCACCGCACTGTTTCACTCTACTGTCAGTTCCGGATCATCCTCCCTTGCCACGCAGACAGCTTCGTCAGACAAGGGCGCCTTGACTGGGGAGTGGGGAATGCAAACTGTCTCTGAGCTCTGCCGGAGTTCAGGGAGTAGTTGGTCAAGTGAGCCGTCTGGCAGCGCAGGTTCGTAGCATCGGGCTCACGGTATGGATCTGTACAAACCTTGGTTCGTTCAGGCACTGAACCATGAGGCACAATCACAAGTTTTGAGAGGCACAGGCAAAGAACAGCACGTTAGATGGCTTCGTTTCTTCATACCTAGCGTATGTAATACACTGTGAACTGACTGTGAATGTCGCACTTTGTAACTGCTGTACTGAAGCCTATACCGAGGCCGTTTTCACAAGACTTCGCGGCAGAGTGAGGCTGCTTTGTACTGCTTGAATTGACTTCCAGGTTTCACCAAAACCACACCATCTTCTCCCAGTGAGTCATGCTTGTCCCGTCTGCTTGGAGAGATCTCGAGACCTCGCACACACTCTAACCGTAGCAGATGTTTGCGCTGCACCTTCATGCCACGGAGCTCGAACCAGGCCGTCACGGGCCAACCAACAGCGGAGGCCACCATCGTAACCGGGCACCACCAACGCATACAGGCGCCTTAATGGGACGATTTTTTGTGAGGCTTCTCAGTCGTCGCTCCTTGCGAAGTCAAAGGAGATGAGGGTGAGCCAATGCGCACAGTGTAAAGCTAGAGTCAGCTAGAGCACCCCTCTGACAAGCGCGGCAGCATCTTTTCGAACCCTGGTGTCGAACTGATAAGAAGCGAACCTGGCTGCTACTGTATGTCTCTCAACCCGCAAGCTGCCACGAAGAGTAGCATGTTAGCCATGCGGCAGGTCCCACTTGCGACCGTCCAACAAGAGGGGACGGCTGATGTATTCCTGTACAACCTGAGCAGGAAATTAGATTTGACGGAGCCCATCGAACACGGGTAGCAAGCTGTAGCAGCAGGTAGCGTGTTGCCAAGGACGCGAAGCCCCAGCTTCCGCACTTGCGAAATCTTTGAGAGGCTCTTTGCAAACGGCACACTCCGGTGCCTTTTCAGGCAGACCTCGTAACAAGGAAAACCTCAACCTCTGTTGCGCTCATGATTTAGCCCGGGAGAAACAGAGATTTGGCAATCCACACGAGGATCACAGCATAAATGTATGATTCCCGCGTAAGATCTAACCGAAGCAGCCGATGATGCCCTTTCTCTCGGGCGGGACCGTTCAATGAGGTGGCTTTGCTCTCGCATTGTGAATGAGAGCTTTCTTGCTTTCTGTACCAAGCCGCCACATCAGCATCGGCCGTCAAAATCTCACGAAGCTCGTCAGGCGAGCCTGCCTGTGTTTCGAGATCAGAGACGTATGTACTTATGTGCTTCAGGGAGGCATACTGTTGTCCTTGGCCTAAAACTCAAGCGATTGGAGAATCCGCTGAGGTGGCGGCTGCGTGTGATACACATAGCCTTTAATTTACCTCACGCAATATTTAGTGTCTAAAGTCTAAACCCGCATCTCTACGTGAAAGCCTTAATTAGGTGTCCCCATATTCCAGACACTTTACAGACCCTGAGCCTCATACGTCGATTCTAGAGGTCTGTGAAATGTGGCCTCCAGGCATTCACATGCACAAACAGACACGGGGAGAAGGGACACGTAGCGAGACGTAGGGGAAGCCAAGAACATGCGACAACAATATGCAGTCTTTGTCACGCACCACGAGCAGGCAAATACCAAGGAATTCGGTACACGTCTCGATTGGGTGTGAGAGTGCGGGGATGGAGAGAGTTCACAAGCAAGGATCCATGGAGATACATGGAAATGAATCAACGAGAGCATAAATATGAATATGCATCTATATATGTATTTGTATGTACATACATACATACATACATACATACATACATGAATATTTATATATATATATATATATTCTAGAGGACATGAAACCTTGAATTGATGCTGCACCCGGGCGGCTAGGTGAATGCCACGTCCTTGGAGGCCTTTGGAAGGCTTGACGATAACCTGTTCGAGCACATGGACATTCTTGTTGAAAGTAGAGGACCCCATGGCATGCTCTGGTTGACATTTCCGTTGAAGTGGATGAGCATGTGCAACGGGCTCATGAATCTTGCATCTGCTTTTTATGCGAAGAAGAATGAAAGCATCGTCAATGAATTCTTGTCCTGAAGCTCGAAAGTCATGCGAAAAGTCGTATAAGCCCATGATGCACAGTCTCCAGGGTGCGCAATGAAAATAGCCAAGTGACGACGCTCTCCTTCGCAACCGAGAAGTCAAGGTCCTGTGACATTCTGCTCTCATCACAGCCGAACGTTCGTCGAGGCAACATCGACGTGCCGACAAAGAACAGCCTTCCTAAATGCATGATGCCAAAGGAAACAGGAAATCTCAATATGCAGATGCAGTTGTAGCAGCCTTGAGGCCAGAGCGCAACATTGACATGAACTGACTGCGGACGACTGCGAAGTCGCTGGATGTTGTGTTCCTTCGTCCCTTGAGCCGTGAGCCCCACGGCCGGCTAAGCAAGTTCCCGCACCAGCACCCAAGCACTGCAGTGTCCTGTGGGCGCCAGGATCTTGGCCAAAAGGGCGCCGCGACGGCCTGTTGGCTTCAACTGCGCCCGGGGCCGTCAGCTTGCAAAGACCCTAAGCCAGTCAATGCTCACTCAACAGACGTGAAACTTGAGAAACTACGGTTCGAAGGTCACTCGCGCTACATCTGAAAGGCTTTTTTGTAAATACCCGCCCCCCAAGCTGGAGCCCCGGACGCTGGCTTGTCCTACCTCCAGCGCAGAGGCAAGCGCGGCCTTCTCACAGACCTCTGAAAAGGCATCGTAATATTGTTGATAATAAACATAGTTTAAAAGGCAAAGTTAAAATAGATATAGTATACAAAAATGAGAGAGGAAACGGTAGCTGGTTAGTCTCGCCTCTTTGCTCGTACTTTGAACTTGGCTTTGGTCACCGTTGTTGCCACTCTCATACGCAATCCAGTCCTTGACCGATGCACTGAAGACCAGGATTTGAAGGATAACAAGCTTCCAATTATGTTGAGGTTGGTGCTGTCTCATTCTTGCCAGAAAAGCTTGCCGAGACGGGGCACTTCCCCTATCGTAAGTTATAGGTGTTCTCACAGTTTGACAGACTTGGGTTTGGTTACACACACTCTCCGGGTGAAGCACGTGCTGTCCGGTTGGTTCTCTTTTGGCATGGATACTTTTTAAATTTGGCTCCTAATACAAAGAGGTGAGGCGTTAAAAGGACCCGCTCGAACAGATCCAGTCACCAGTCAGGGCTGTGATGCCTACGCTGTCGCACGACAACTTGTGCACTGTGGCTTTGAAGTCAAGGCCACCTTAAAGAAATGACTGCAAGTGGCCCCACCGGCCTCATGCATCCCTGGGATGTGGCTGAGCCGGGCTTTCTGGTTCAAGTTGAGCAGGCACGTCCCAAGATCCTGCTCTCCACCCTCCCTCGAGAGGATTTGCAGAGCTCGTGCCCTTGACAGTGCCAGTACATACTGTCGCTGGCTCATTGGCCGCGGCCGAAGCCATCTGACTGTTGTGCATACATGTGACCAGGCGAAAATCAATGGCCACCCTTGAGCACCCAGTGTCCTCCTTTCGCCTGGACAGACAGTGGCCAGGGAGGGGTTCAAAATATCAAAGCAGTTGCCGGAAAAGCAATCACACAGAACTCACGACACGTTGCCTAGGACATGATGTGCACCCATCGCACCATGGTAAGCTCATGTAAGCTACCAAGCTTGGCTCCGACAAGTGCTGGGTAAGACTTTGAATCTCACGCTTTGTTGGCTGTCGGTCCGACAGCTGAGCGCTTAGTCCCATGAACAAATCATTCTGCATGACTTTGCCTGGAATGTGTGCAGGGAAATCTCCTGTCGGCTGGTGACGCAGGGTGCATTCTCACAATCTCATTGCTCCCTCGTCTCGCAAATACGATCACATAGACTTCTAGTTCGGGCTGAAACCACTCCACCAAGGAAGCAGAGCTCATGAGGAGCAGTTGCAGGGAAAAAGCCCTATTTTATTTCTGTGGCATCGCCATGCATCCGCAGGCCCCAAACCCTCTAAGCCCTTTGCACGACCCACACGATGTGGCCAGCACTGTGCGCGGTCCTCGGCTGCGAAACTACTAGTTACTAGGTAACTGACTAGGCATGTCCAAACAGCGTTCGTCTTTGTAATGTATTGTAACAGTCCCGGGATTTACGCACCCTGAAGCTATAACAACATGTGCCTGTTCTAGGGAAGTGTGTGACTGATGGCAGGCACGAAGGTTGTACAAACCAGCAGCCAAACGCTGCAAAAAAAACATGCCCGCAAAAGGCCATTTGAGTCAAAACTCGCAGGTGGATGATAGATGCAAGGGACAAACGTAACACAAATAAAAGAGTTTGGCGGGCCACATGCAGCAGCGTCTTGCTTTGGTAAGGCTTGTGCTGTCCCCAACCTTCTCTATCCGGCCTGAAGGAGCATGAAGAACGTCTGTGACGCCAACGACAGTCACCACGAGAGTGGTGAGTTTTGCTCATCGCCACTATCACTGCCATCACCAATGCTACCACAATTACTACTACCAGCACCACCACCGCCACCCAGCACCCACCACTCACCACCCACCACCCACCACCACAATCACCACCATCACTGCAATCACCACCAGCACCACCACAACCACTACTGCTGCTTGCACTTCTACTCCTCCTGCTCCTACTGAAACTGCTCGCACTACTACTACTACTACTACTACTACTACTAACAACAACAACAACTACTACTACTACTACTACTACTACAACTACTACTACTATTACCACTACTACTACTACTACTACTACTGCTACTACTACTACCACTACGACGAAGACGACTACTGCTAGTACTACTACTCCTACTACTCCTAGTGCTTCTGCTACTGCTACTGTTACTGCTACTGCTACTACTACTACTACTACTACTACTACTGCTACTACAACTAAAATTACTACCACTAACACTACTACTGCTACTACTACTACTACTACTACTACTTTTTTGGCTTCCAGTTGTCGGACTCGCTCGCATTCCGCGCTGCAGGTGACGCGTCGACTTCGAAAGACCAGAGCACATGGATCCCTTGCACCCATAAAAGAGAAACGCTGCAGGACGAGTACTCCTATATTCGAAACAAGAACATCAGTACATCAGTACAGGGGCGCCAATCCCTCCGGTTTTGTTTGGAGCAGGTCTCAGCTACCTAGACTTCGGTTGAAAGGAAAGACAGTACTACAGTGCAGGACAAAAACAAGGACAGTACTCTACAGGTGTCACATCCAGGCCGTAACTCACCAACCAGCACACCTAGCATAGAGGATCTAAGTTCCAAAGGTTCTAAATCAGCAAGACATGCGGGGAATTACACTACTACTACTACTACTACTACTACTACTACTACTACTACTACTACTACTACTACTACGACTAAGACGACTACTGCTAGCACTACGACTACTGCTGGTTTCCCTGCCTTACAGAATAAGCGAAAGGCCAAACTTCTAAACCTGAAAACCTCCGGTGGAACGCCTGGGCCAACCAAAGCTGTGCTGGAAGGGCAAAGGGTCTCCCAGCCCTGCTGCTTGGACACCAGCTCCAGTGCCTACCAAGCCGGGTTGGGATGGGAGCCTGGTCGTCCGTGTGGCTGAGTACGTAGCAGCAGTAACTGGTACGCCTTGGGTAGTAGCAAGAGTAGTAGTAGTAGTAGTAGTCGTCGTCGTCGTCGTCGTCGTCGTCGTCAGTAGTAGCAGCAGTAGTAGTAGTAGTAGTAGTAGTAGTAGTAGTAGTAGTAGTAGTATTAGTAGTAGTAGTAGTAGTAGTAGTAGTAGTAGCAGTAGTACATAGTAGTAGTAGTAGTAGTAGTAGCAGTAGTACATAGTAGTAGTAGTAGTAGTAGTAGTAGTAGTAGTAGTAGTAGTAGTAGTAGTAGGAGTAGTAGCAGCAAGTAGTAGCCGCAATAGCAGTAGTAGTAGTAGTAGTAGTAGTAGTAGTAGTAGTAGTAGTAGTAGTAGTAGTAGTAGTAGTAGTAATAGTACTAGTAGTAGCAGTAGTAGCAGTAGCAGCAGCAGCAGCAGGAGTAGCAGCACTGCACTAGTAGTAGCAGTTAGTGGCAGTAGTGGTAGTTAGAGTCGGAGTGGGAGGAGTATGACGAGGAGAAGCAGGAAGTACAGGAGGAGCAGCAGAAGCCATGCGCAGCAACACGGTACGTACCAAAAGCACATTCTTTCACTTCGAACCCAGCATATCCATGCCACTAAGATATGAAAGGTCCCAGTGCATAGGGCCAGGTTCCTCGGCAGTTCCATTCAGTCTCAAACCGAGCTGAGGCGAGGATGAGGCGTTTCGCAGCAACCTAGAACCCCAATTCAACTCGATTCACAAGAACCATGACACACACACACACACACACACCTGCCCACGGGAATGGCCAATTTGAGGACGAATCCCGTTGTGACAGCTTGTCGCTTGATCGAGCGCAAAAACCCCTCGGTAATCCTCTGGGCACTGAGTGCCGGCACACCTTTTTCGAGCCTCGCCAGCTGCACATTTGTGGCAGTGCTTGTTGCACATGTTGTGGACATAGGACTTGAGAACACGACAATGTCCCTGAACAAACATATAACTAGTCGACTACCCCTGCTGTAGGTCGTGCCAACAATCCGATGACTTGATCCCCACGCTGTTTTTCCGCATCCATGCACCTGATTCGTCCGAAACCCTCACCCTTTTTGCATCAGGACTTAAGGAATGACGAAGTCCTGTAATGTTCTGGATGCCCCAGCTGAGCGTAGGTAGCTCGCTTAGGGCTTCCAGCAACTGCACAAGAGCCCTCTCCGGGCTCACTCGTGCTCTTCTAGGACATTTTAAGCCGTTTCATGACGCTGAAGCCCACCTTGGTACACAGCTACTACACCGTCGATGTTCTGATGCTTCTGAAAGGCGTCGTTGAGAGTTGAAAGCGACCCAAACGAAGTTTGGAAGTTTGCCCTGTGGGGGGGCGTTGATGCCCCTCAAAGCGAAACTGACTGCATTGAGTCAGCAAAGGCCTATCACTACTACGGATCTCGTAATGGCAGGCTTCCCGAATAGTTGAAGCAGTATCCTGAGAATCAAGGCTCCCAAACCTTGCAACCCACACCTCGCAAGGCACTCGATTTGCCGTCGTTTATTCGCAGTAGAAACCTCCTCCAGTCTTCGTAGCTCACGATACGCATGCAGGTTTCGATGGCGAACAAATGCGACGAGGGCACCAAACCTAGAATGCGACAACCGTCAAACCAACACATAATGTAAGCACGACACTACAGAAAGGCAAGCGTGGAATCGGCAGGCCACAGAAGCAATAGCCCATCAACCAAAGACTGACAAATGTAAAGAAGCAGCACCAGCACGCAGGATAGCTACATCAAGGATCGGCATCGATGTAGGCACGGAAAGGTCGTGTCCGCAAACCTGCTTTGCTAGTGGTACTTCTGGATGTGCTGTTCGAGAGACTGCCAAACCTGGCCATTGACTCCATTCTAGCAGAAGTTCGAGGACGAAAGCCGCCGTGCAATCCATCAAAGTGACAGCCTGGATTGTTGACCAAGCACACGCTGAAGCAAAAGCTTTGATGCCACGGCTGATGTTGTAGGCTGTCCCGGTTTGGGACCGTTCGGCTCTATGCATTCAATCTCTGCATCACGAAGATCTAACCTCCCAGGCTGCTTGCTGTCCTGTCTTGAACCCTCTAGTACGCCGCGGCTCGCGTCCTCCAACTGCTGTGATTGAAACTCTGCGGCGCTATAAGCCATCATCTCCCCAGCCCTCAAGACTAATACTATGCGCATTGCTAAGTTCCTTGTCGGGAACCAAACTACTTCGTTGGCAGTCGTGGTCAAGGGCGCATGCCACGCTCGCTTGCAACTGGACCTCTGATGATGACTCGTGGGCTCGGAGGCCACGGCTTTCTGCGGTGAAACGGGCGCACGCGCACCCTCGGGCTCCGCATTCAGAGCAGACCGACAAATCTGAGGAGGACCAGGCACAGCAGAGTGAAGAGAATCAGTGGGATCACCTCAGCAGTGCAACTTGTTTTGCATTGTTCGAAGAAGTGGTCTTTGGGATGGTGAGGAATCAGGGCACCAAGAGTAGCCAATTAGCCTCGAACCATCATACATCTGGCACGGTGCCAATGCAAGGCAAGTCGCCTTCTTCATGAGGCCAAGGTCAGGCAAAGACAAAGAGAAGCCGCCAAGGACATCACCCCAACCTCAGTTCGCTTCTGTGCTTGTCAACACGGCTCCGCCCCGGTCGTTCAGACTAAGGACCGGTGAAACATCAACCGGGAAACGAGCAAGCTGGCTGGATAGTCGTAATAGTAGTAATAATAGTAGTATTAGTAATAGTTAATAGTAATAATAGTAGTAATAGTAGTGTAGTAATAGTGCACGGCGTGCTTGCGAAGCACTCTTAGTTAGCGGTTAGACGAATGGCCAAAACTGGTGCTGGAAACATGTTTCCCACAGCCCCAGAAATCCTTCAAGTGAGAGCTCACAACAGAAACCTCTGCCTAAAGACCAAACAGTGCCAAGCCACCGCGACCCTCTGCCGGTGTGACAAGCTGAGGGAAGTCGTTGGGGTCCTCGCGACCTTTGCCTGCCAATCATTCATGTCGGGACCGTGGGGTTCTTGAAGGAACCTTGTGTCACTGTGACTTCGGATCTTTTTGATGGCAAATTTGAACTGCGCGCGGCTGAACGATGTTCAGAGAAGTCGTCGAGAAGGGTCAGCGGCATGATAAGTATGATAGCGAAGTCCGACACATACGAGAGGTTTTGTGGAATTCCCTTGAAGCGACGACACTTTTGACGGGTCGAGGTGCCATTCCGCTTCTGGTTGGCCTCGCTCTGTGTCATGAACCACCTCGGATGACGCGAAAGGCCTAGCATAGACGTAGAGTGAGTCTCGGAAAATGTGTGATGTCATCCTCAAGTTGAATGAGACGTCACATGTTAAGAATGCCTGCAGTGGTACAGTGGGCGTGTGTAAGAAACAGCGCGCTGACTCTGACTTCCGGCCATTCGTATGGAAACCGTCGGAAGCATTTACTGGAAAAGAAAGCTGTGGACCCGGAGCTGTCAACTTGAACCCTACGCCAGCAGTGCGGGACGCGTAAGCCCGGCACTTGCCAATAAGAGGATCTTAGTCTGCTCTGCTACACTTCGATCCCGCACGGCCGGTAAGGTCCGAGATGCATCTCGAACTGCACTGAGCCAACCGTCTCCTCGTTTTGGGTGCGATGGTCCCATTCATGTGAAACAGGCGGCTCATCTTCCAGTTCAACCCTCACTGCAACAGTCCCTTCCCACCGCCAGCCTCTACTCCTTGGGGTAGCAAGGAAATTATATAGATACCTCGCAGCAAATGAAACAGTTGGCATTTTCGCGGTTCCTTGGGCCGGCTCTGCCCTTCCAAGCGTTGACAGCCCGTCGCAAGCCTCTGAAAAGTCTTCAAAATCCGTCGCAAGTCTCTTGACTGAAGTGTAGACGGTGTATAGACCCCTACGATAGACCCCTTTGAAGGGAACCCCTGAAAGCCCAACTCTCCTCCTCTGCAGCATCGGCCCCATCGCCACCTTCCTCGCCCTCGCCGGCGGCGCCTGCCGTGAACTGGAGATCGGCCTTTTCCTCGGCGAAAAGCCGCAGATTGGGACCCCGGGCTTATGTACTGATGATGGCGGTCGGGAGAGGGAGCATGCTGTTGGCCATCATCATAATGTGGTCGTGGCTCGACTCCCTGCAGTCGTCATCGTCTCAGCAGTTTCAACTTCGATACGTTTGATCTGACACTCTTAACAGCAGACTGAGATGTCCGGGACGTCAGCGCTGTTGCGTCGCGAGGACAGCATCGGAGATGATGCAGAATTTTCTGCAGGGGCTACGGTGGTAGTGTTTCGCTTATATACTGGCACTTCTCCTACTTGGTTTAGAGTCGGGTAAGGCCTTTCACTACTTTTGGAGACTCATGCGGGCAGTGAACTTGCGGCTGTTTCGAGGACCATGTCATCATTCACTGCAGTCATGTATCGATGTAGATCATGTCCATGTCCCGAGCAACTCTCTCCACATATCTTCGCAAGTCCACACTCACGGCACCGATGAATTCGTCGGCAGAGACGAAGTTTGCCTAGCCGGACTCTTGCTTCGCATTTCTGCAGTATGATAGGGCAGGCCACAGAACAACTGGGTTGTCTGCCTTGCATCGCCATATCACCATCTCAAGCAGTTCTGCCAACCAGTACATACAACACATAGTGCAACAGGCCAGCATTGCGCCTTTTACTTTGTTTGGGTTTGTGCACCCTCCGTTGCAGTGGCATGCAACAGTGTGAGCTAGCACCGTGAGTCCAGGGCAGCATCTGCAGCTGTTACCTTCGAGTTCTGCCTGATAGAGCTTCAGGTCCATCGTGCAGGACTTGGTCGGCATCACAATTCGAGGGTAAACGATGCGCCAATTGAAGATGGCCTCAGTCACTGCCCGCCGCTGGCTGGAACGAAACATTGAAACCTCCTGTTCTGGCTTTTTTCAGAAGCTGCTCGGAGACTTAAAAAAACAATACTGATAGTGATTGTGGTGATGAGGCTGACCACAACGATCAAGATCCATCAGATTGATGCGATGTGAGTGACGACGACGTTACACGACAAAGCGCCCAAGTGCCCGCCCAGCAACATTACCCGTGGAGCCGAGATGGACATCCGTTGGCTGCAGCTTCGGAAAGCCCATCGTCACTCCCTGTTCAGCTCGGACAACTTCGGTCTCGTGGCGACAGGACATGACAGATTATTTGCATGCAGAGTCTGGCTCTTCCTCATGTTGTACAGGCCTCGTACTCTTTGCACTCAAGATCCACAGTAACTTTCACGTCCGTCTTGGAACCGTCCCAGAGCTTCACGTTCTTGCAAGTTCGAATAACAAGGCCTCAGCTTGCTTTCCATGTCAGCCATACACTGCGTATCCTGCGGGAAGTACATTGAGCCATTGCTGACCACCGCACATCTAGAGATGTGTGTTGGGCTATGGGGGTTACCTCAATAACCAATAAAACAACAAGAAGGGGGCGCTTTACGAAGAAAACGGGCGCCGTATAGGGAACTGCTAGCGAGAAAGGGTTAGGCGAAGAGACCCTACCAGTAGTACTAACTAATCTGGGTCCTCCTGCCCCGCTTCAGTTTCTTACGACTAAATTCCGCAAGGTGGCGGATCTCGATCTCCATCGCCGGAGGCTTCCGAAGTTCAGACGCCTCCGAAAGGATCTAAAGAGTGTGAATTGTTAAACTTATCACAGATGGCAAACCAGTGGTTTTTTTACGCCATCATCACGGCTCGCTTGCCATGGCCGCGTCACTATCGCAATCATGAGAGTGCTCTACTATTTGATGAGTAACAAACACGGAAAACGGCGACAGGTGGACATCGGTCCCTAAATTGGTAGTCCGCCCTTTCTGTCCCAACGCAGGCCTTGATATCTGACGCTCGCACGCTGTCGATCATTTCGACCCACATCTCGATGCCTGGCGAGCTATACACTTTGAGCGGCGCAGGCATCCGTCCATGTGGGGCCATTCCAAAAGGCACGATGCATGCGGATGCTGCATGCTCCCGGCCAAGCGGCTGCCACAGTTCTGGCCTGAAAGCTGCGGATTGATGAGCCTTGGATCCAGAAGGACAGAACTGAAGGACACAAGCAAAAGCCACGATGGCTGGAGACTTCAATGCAGTACTCTGTAAGTTCGGGCTGGGGACCGGAAGCCCTACCCCACAAGCCCTTAATCCAAATGCCCCACACCCAGACACACCCAAACCATTAACCCACTTCCCAAGAAGCCCGCGGTTCTCGGTGGGCACCTGCTGGCGACGGTCCATGCAGTCTTTCCAGGCTGCAGAGTGCCAGCGGTCCTGCTATAATCATTCCCAAACAACTAATCATCATCAGCATTTCCCTCACAGTAGTTACCAGTAGTTGAGGACATGCGTCAGGGAATGCAATCGTGTCCGAAAGCCGAATCTGAGCCGCGTGAAATACAAAGACATAATATGGGATCATGCTGTCTCCCTTCGAGGGGGTCAGAACCACGTGCTGCGGTTCGGGCAACAGAAGGCGAAGAAAGTGAGCAAGCCAAACGTGTTGCGACTCGCTCCTCTTCCGCACCTTCTGATCTTAGTCCGAAATCTGCAAAGGTCGGATTTCTAGTCCGAGAGCCTTGAAAGAACGAACGAACAGCGATGCCAACACTTCTCAGACGGGGGCCAGTAGCAGGCGAAGTTGAACAAGTCTACTCGACCACCGAAACGATTTAGCAAAAAATGCTCTAAGAATGTGAAATTGCTAGAGGGATGGGCCGGTGCAAACTGTAATTGCACCTGGCCGGCAAGTACAGTGATGAGATCATATACGCCCACAACAGTTGAACATGCTGGTCGTACCTTCGCAGAAACTGTCCGTCTGTGTTGAATGCTCGCTTTGGAAAGGTATCAGGACTGCACAGGCAGCATTACTTGTCGAATCGAGATTGTCGCTGCTGTGACATTCTGTTTCGACGCTACTGTACTGCCAGGGTGGTGTCTACCCTTGTGCTCGCTGCTAAAGCAGGGTCCTCCAAGTCGATCACCGTGCTGCCGATCAACTTTTCGCCATTAATGGCCTCGCAAAGGGAGGAAGCTGCTGCCCATGGATTCGCGGAGCTGTGCAAGTATTGGGTGTTTGGCAGATGCTTGCATGCGACTCACACAGCTACTGGACAACACCTTTTCGTTGTGCGGCCCATACATGGAATCACGGGCAGAGTGAGGATACCAGGAGAGAGACACTCGCGAGTCTTCGAGGTCGCTGGAACCCGAATCCTGAACTCGCCACGGATGCTCACGAAAAGCCATAAACCTCAAGCCCAGAGGGCCAAATCAAAGACGATGACGGGCTGTGTCCCCAGCATGTCACTCCATAGCTTGCCAGATTTGCCAGGCATCGAGGGTCCCCCTCCCGATTCGACCCTCGCTCAGTGAAGCCCGTTGTGTCTGTGAGACGGGCCTCGCCCAATGTATCTTGGAAGTCGAAGAGGTCCACCTTTTAGGGTCTCGGAAGCAGCGCAGCGACTACTTCTACTGCCTATCTTCCGTTGGTAAGTCGTGGATGTCCTAAGCAACACAATTGTACGGCCTGAAGCTGCCAGAATCGTCATGCAGTGCTCGGGTATGGTATCCAATTAATGCTCCGGATTCTATAGATCGTACATGGGATGTGAGGGTCGGGGGCATCTGCCATCCGAAAGTCCAGCCCACCTGTAGCCGGGACTCGGCAGGCATGACGATATCCCGCTCCTGCGCGGAGAGTCCAGCGCATTCCCTCCCATGAAACAAAAACCTGCGAAAATGTTTGCACAACACAAGCCCAAAGTTTCGAAGCCCCGAGCATGATCTCTCAACCACACCATCCTTATTAATTACTCGCTGGCCGGAATAAGGGCAACCGAAGCTCATCGCTTGAGTCAAACATCAGGATACATCTGAGAACTTGGAGCAAAGCAGACCATGAGCCTTGATGCTGCCACGTGCATGAAAGTCTCACCGCGAGATACACTGGATCTTTCTCTTTCCCTTTTTCAAGTCATCCCGACAGCCTAAGTGTGGCTTTAAGCCGTGCCGCGGCTTACTCGAGTCGCCGATGTCGCCATGCCGACGATCGCATCTCTACCCTAACCATTGACCTTGCATGGCAGCCCAACCCTGGGCTGCGCACCTCTACCCTGTAGAAGCTCGGAACGTTCGTGTTGTACTGGGCCATGTTTCCTAAGCACAAGGCACAAAGGGCTCCGGTAGAACTCGTAGGCCATTAAACATGAACCGGGAGCATCTACAATCTACAGTTTGAGGTAGATCATTAGACCGAAGCCTGAGGCTCCCAGTTGGACTTGAGGGTTGCAGGATTGGCCCCGACACTCGCTGCCCTGGCTCCCTCCCTGCGTCTCGCTACATCACGCGCTGGACGTGTCGACTCTCGTGGTGACCGCGCATCTCGGATCTCGGTGATCCTGTGGCATGCGACAACGCTACAACACGAGTCGATCTTCGGGCTTCTGCACATCGGCAACAAATCCTTAGGTCCTGAGGGGAAATGCTGGCTGCAGATAACCCTGACAAGGCTCTCATGGACACCACGATACTGTTCCCAAGCTTGTACCTTAGCTCTGATGGGCACGATGCAGACCGCATCGTGAGCGTGCGACAAGGACTTGGTTCAGTGTGTGGCGGGGTTGTCTTTCTGGATAACTTTTGCCGAAGATCTGAGTCAGGCTCTGGATATCCGAAGATATCTTGGGGAGCTAGCTAGCTCAAACAGACCCCCGAAAAACTGCCCATCTGTCGTACGGAGCTATGAGCTATGTTATATGCGAGTTTGACGCCTCCTCCTCCTCCTCCTCCTACTACTACTACTACTACTGCTACTACTACTCCTGCTACTAATACTACGACGACGACTGCGACTACGACTACGACGACGACGACGACGACGACGACGACGACGACTACTACTACTACTACTACTTCCTGCTGCTGCTGCTGCCGCTGCTCCACCACCACCACCACCACCACCGCTACCACCGCCAGCATCATCATTACGACGACTACTAGCACTCCTGCTTTTGCTCCTGCTGCTTGCTGTTGCTACAGTAATTATGGCTGATTGCCACTGCTGCTACTGCTGCTGATGCTGCCGCTGCTGCTGCTGCTGCTGCTGCTGCTGCTGCTTCTCTGGCTCCTTCTGCTAGTGTGACTTTAAAGCCTGGTTGTGTCGTTGATGGCGCAAGCGCTGATGCTGCATACGTATGAGGAAACACTGGGAAAGGATCCCGAAATGGATAATTTGATAGTAACAAGTTCTGCTACTTGTGTTAAGAACTATAGGTTCTGTCATGAACAATGTTGCCCCCGCAGGCAGGTTCGAGTTCATGCCACGTTGGCCCCCATGAGGTCTTGGCAGCATGATTTGTCACGATCTTACTTTGTCATCGTTAGCATGAACTCTAGATTCACTAGGCCCCTAGGTCGGTCGGTACGAGATTGCTTCAGCCACAATCATCACCGCCGTTCGCGAGTTCCTGTAAAAGCAAGCCCGACAAAGGCAAGGTGCGCTAGGTAGGGGTCGATGAACGCCTTGCCAAAGAAACCCTCCACCTGCTTTCCGAAGATGCAGATGGCCTGAGCTGAAACGGACTGATGCCCGGAAGGCCCAGTATTTCTTGGAACTGCCGTCCACCGTCTTCCCAAGAGATCAGAACCAGGCATGCTGGTGGAGAAAGACATATCATGGCAGTCAACACCGGATCTCGCTGATGCATGCGAAGGCTCCCGCCAACAACCAGTGCCAGAATTCTTGAAAGCATGATGTCTCTCGGCATGCTACCCCAAGCATGGTAATATTTTCAGTGATCCCCAATGCGGCGCAGACACCAAAGCACAATTCCAAGCTCAGAAATGTTGAATCAAAAACTTAGAAGCCCTTTGGCTCGAGCGAGGCCTTGACAAAGTAGATCCGCACACGAATTCGCGAAGGGACCCGCTCCTCACGAGGGAAGGGAATGTTGTGTCTGCTTGATGAACTTTTGACATTCTGCCAGTTGGAAAGCAAGTAGAGCGGCTTGGCAGGCCGGACCTTCCCCCGACCCCTATTAGGTACCAGGCAGCTCGTAAGACCCTCTGGACTTAAATTATGCATACTTCATCCGATTACCAGCTGGGGGCGGGCCGCAGTGCGAAGGGAATGGCTTGATAAGATTGCCGTGTCTCGTTTTAATGGATCCTGAATTGACTGCTGCAAGCACGCAACATCTAGAAAGAGAACCTTCCCTTGCTTGATTAAGGTGCTTCGGATCACACCTGATCCCTGTACGTCGCTCTAGTCCCGTTGCCGGCGACCCATATGCCCTGGAAATCTGTCGTTTGACAAGCTTACAGAGGCAGTGCTGGTCCCTCCTTGTTCTTGAAGCGCGATGTCAACTTGGCGACGTCGAAAGCATAAGAATCCAGATCATCGTCAAAGCCAACAGACCGCCGAAGCTTTGCAATGTCCTTGCGCTCGGTTGTTCCCAACTCGGTGCCCTACATCGTCCTACATCTGTGCTGTTCTCAACATCGTCTGCAAAAGCTCGCAGGACATTCACACGTCTTACATAGATGCTGCCCCCGCTGGCAGAGCTGGCATTCTAGCATCTAGCAGGCACGCACAACAATAGCATCAGCAACACATGTTCAGTGGGATATTCATGCCGAAGCGACATGAGTTCGTGTGCCGGAGGAAACTGTCGTCAGACGAAAAGGGCGTATGCCAAGCATGCAGCAACAAGATGGAAGATGCAAGAGAATGCCGCTGTGCTGCTTTATATTCTCGTACGATCTCCCACGGGCAAACTGTGCAAACTTGTCTACAGCAACTATAACTAGTGGTGAGCGGTGAGGAACAGCAGGAGGGGACAGGAGAGTATGCCGCAGGTCCTCGTCGGTGACAACTACGCTTTGAGTATCATCCGCCTTGCTCCGCTTTCGGGCGTCAGCACGAACGTTGGCCACTGCTGCCGCGTCATCCAGAAGCCCCACACCGGCGCCAGTGTCCACAGGGGACCTTCTATCACATTCGTGTGCGGCACGTGGTGACGCTTTCCCAAAAGACCCCAATGTCTGTCAAGTCGTCAAATAGATCCCGAGAGGATACCCATAAGCTCCATGGTAGTTCCTTTTTGGGATTACCTTTTAGGATTCTAAATGAACCCCCAAAACGAACTACTATGGAGCCTCTAGGTAGGGACTCCTCGTACTATCTAAATTTCGCTCAGAGGCTGAGCGATCACCGGTTCCACATCCTTGACTGCAACAGGCTCATCTTCATCGTCTGACTCCTCCGCGGGCTTCTGCTCTTGATCCTTGGCTTGGCAATCCCAGAGTTCGGAGTGCGTGCGCAACTGCTGATTTTGTAGCGCGAGACATTGACAGCCGACTCCCCCAATAAAAACATACCTTGTCGCCGGCTGGCTGAGGTCTTTGTGCCACTGCTTCACGAGGTGTTAAACTATGGTGTGGGATTTGAGTTACCAGGTTGCAGGCCAGATTCGTCCTCCCCGTACGGCAGATCCTCCCAGCCGTCCATCAGCTTGAAAACACACTTGACAAAGCCGAAGACCTGGCTTCATGTTGTTTTACTAACCATGCCACCGCCACCGGAACTGCTAGTGCTATGGGTTCTATCATACAAAAGGAATCGGGGACCCTTAGGGGGGATAAGCTTTTTTCGGTCCTCATTATGGGCATTAAGGCCCCCTACCCGCCCTCCCGCCACCCCCCGAAGGGTCCCTACGAGTAACGCCAGTCGCCCTTCCCCACGCGCCTTGTCGTGCATGAAGTTCCAGTCTGGAGCTGTCTCATCGCTCAGGTCCACGATGTCCGCGTTGCGCATAAGCGGGGCATTGTGATACCAGAAGTCCTAGGCTTACAGATGGCTGCATGTCCAAGTTTTCGTGTGCGTATATTTTTGGTACACTTCTCGATTTGTGCATATAGACCCTACATGTATGTATGTGTATACAAATATATATATATATATATATATATTTATTTATTTATTTATATTTATTTATTTATATATAGATTATGTATAAATGTGTGTGTGCATATGTATATGTTATACATCCATGTAAATGTATATGGTATAACATCATCTTGCAATGTATTCTACAATGTTGTGTGACATGCATAGATGTTGTATAGTACTATTCCATAAACTACTATACAACAAGACGTAAGACAGTATAGTCGAAAAAAATAAAACAGAATATGACATGGTAAATTATGAAGCGATAAAACATAATACAATGTCAAGGAACTTATTTAAAAATATGAATATAAGACATAACCATCGAATATACATATACTATCATAGACTATCATATAGTAGACTATGTTTTGCCATAAGAAAAACTACAGCATTTTGTAATTTGTAGTGTAGTATCATATGATATAATAGAGCATACTCAAATTCCAACTCGTACTACAATACAGTATAACACAGTATACAGTCTTATACATATATACTAAAGTGAAGTACAATATGTACATGTATGTAACGCATACAAGTCCTCGTCTATGTATATATATATATATATATATGCTCGCCCCCGCCCCCAAGATCTACGTCTGCAGGTTTTCGGAGTCTGGATTTCCTGATTTCCGGCTTTCTGCAGTACGTAGGTTTCCAGATTCCAGATTTGCATGCACTATGTTTCCAGAGATTCCAGATTTCCAGATTTGCAGGCTCTAGGTTTCCAGATTCCAGATTTCCAGATTTGCAGGCACTCTGTTTCCAGAGATTCCAGATTCCAGATTTCCAGATTTGCTCACCCTAAGGTTTCCAGATTTCCAGAAATCTGGAATCTGGAAACTAAAACCTAGAGCCTGCAAATCTGGAAATCTGGAATCTGGAAACTTAGAGCCTGCAAATCTGGAAATCTGGAATCTGGAAACCTAGAGCCTGCAAATCTGGAAATCTGGAATCTGGAAACTTAGAGCCTGCACATCTGGAAATCTGGAATCTGAAAACCTAGAACCTGCAAATCTGGAAATCTGGAATCTGGAACCTAGAGCCTGCAAATCTGAAATTTTGGAATCTGGAAACTTAGAGCCTGCAAATCTGGAAATCTGGAATCTGAAAACTTATAGCCTTCAAATCTGGAAATCTGGAATCTGGAACTTATCCTGCAAATCTGGAAATCTGGAATCTGAAAACTTAGAGCCTTCAAATCTGGAAATCTGGAACTTATCCTGCAAATCTGGAATCTGGAAACTCGAGGACGTGTAGAAACATGAGCATCAGCCGTGGCCTCATGAGCATCAGTCGGCTTCGGGGCTGGTCCTAAAACCAAAAGCCGCCTGGTCAGATTTGAGATTGATCATGGTCAAAAAGAAGTGAATTTGCTTAATGCACCACTCAACAACGAGGTCATGGGGTAGCGGCTCCAGTTATTGCACTGCCAAGCAGCACCGCTGATGCTCATGATGCGCGTGTCTTGTCCGCCCCCAAACCTGGTGATGCTGGTCCAAAAACCAAAACCGCCTGGTCCGTCTCGTTCTCCCACAGCCGAAATCTTGAGCGAGTGAGTGTTTATGAGAGGGTCTAGTGAAGAGGGACATGCGATATGTGATGGGTGCGCACCTGTGCACAATCAAGTGTGACTCCAAGCCTATTGAAATCTTGCCGCACACGAAGCCATGGAAATCCACCCGGACGAGGTGCAGTTCAAGCGCACAAAACATGTAATGCTCAAAAAATCAACTTTTCCAACCCTTGAAACGCACGAAACACTGCTATGCTCAAAAAATTCCAAACTTTTAAGGAATCTGCCCCCGGCCTGGCCATAGATGCCAGAATTTTTGGATTTTTTTGAGCAGTACAGTGTTTCGTGAGTTTCAGGGCTGGAAATTTTGGAAGTTTTTTGAGCATCACAGTGTTTTCTGATGTCCAGGACAGGATATATTGCATCACAAGATAATTGTGCTTTCAACCGTTGTCAAGGACTGGAAGTAATGATTTATGTGTCTTCTGGAACAACAACGGTTTTCATTACTCTTGTTTGGTAAGTATGAAAAAGGCCTAGTCGTTGCATAGTTTATTTCATATATGTTTTCGTTGGTTGGTAGATCTATGGCACCAGCAGCACTGGCCCCAGTACCTGAGCTTTCTCGAAAATGGTTTTGGCCATTCTTCGGCAAGCTGCACCGCCTACAGATCCATCACTGTAGCAGCGCAAGCCTATCTAGAACTTAATTCATTTCATGTTGAAGACTGTGGGAAACTGTTTGCATCTTGCTATCATCAGAAACAATGGAGACTTCCTATTCGGTTTCCTATGAGACATCCTCATACCTATCAAGCAAGAGACATGAAGATTCCTGCTAACCCAGAAGAGAATTCTACGATGTCACCTGTAGTCTTTGAAGACTGAAGAGAGCTCTTTTTCATGTTGTGATACGAACTATGACAGCGTTTAAACCACAGTCACATACAGAAGGACCGGTATCGCTTTGTCAGGATGTGAGGGAGGTGTAGAAACCGATACAAGTCTTATGCCTCTTGCCCGTTTAATAAAAGATACCAGTAAGCAAGCTTCTCTTTGTTTCTTGATCACATCTGGGGAGTGTCGCTTGAAGATTGAAGAGAGCTACTTTTTCCGCTACGTTCTATGACAGCAATTAGAGAAACAGCCATGGACATAGCGATCGGCATCTTCTCCGGGGTATAGGACAGCATCATCAATAAGAGTTAACCGAATGAAAACTCATGGCCCAAATGAGTACCCTCAAAAATAGATAGCGATTGCTATGCACATGGCTGCCTTTAATATCGACTCACAACATAAAGAGGAGTTTTCTTCCATGAAGTGCCATTTTACTTTGTTTTACAAGGTTAAGGAGCCCCTGCCTTGTGATTGATACGTATCAATGCAGCCAGTCGTAACTAGTCCTGCTTCATGTTTGGAAGGTTGCAAGAGCTCTCTTACTTCTTGCTGCAGACGAGCCTTCTTGTGCGCCCGCATATGCACATGAATTTTCCAACTCCAAGGGAGCTTTCCCATTTTTTATGAGGCAAAAAACAACTATTGGAGTATTGCTTCAAAAATAAATGCGCCCGTATATTCGACTTCCTCCATGTTTTACGGACAAGACATGAAAGGAGCTCATTGTGTTTCGTAACTCATAAATCAAATGCTAGAGCTATTAGGCCGCATCAGAATCGGACGCTCACGAGCAGCGGGAAAGAGATGGCCCACGCACACAGACGTTCTCGTAAGAAAGACAATAGTATTTTCATTATTAGAGGAATATCGTTAAATAACACACCATAAAACGCAACAAACACGAGGTTTTCTAGTACTACCTGAACAAAAATAGCACGCCCTCCAGCATTTCAGCTTCTCCAACATATAAACTACCATAAATCTGCTGCCGGAGTAAAGCACACTTGTATCTGAATTTACGGTGTTTTCGGCATATATGAGTAGTCGACCAATGTAGAGAAGCAACCTGTGGAATTGTGTGGAAGAGGCGGATGTAGATCTTGGGGGGGGGGTGACCATATATATATATATATATATATATATATTCATATTCATATATACATATATATATGTACATGTGTGTGTACGCATGGTACCTGTGCGTGTGTGTGCGTGTATGAAACACGTGTCCACACTGAAGGTTGTCCTTGGATGAGTCCATTGACGAAACAAACACGCACTGCGCCTTCTTGCTACTGATGTCTTCTCAACTTAGGAATTTTAGCCCTGAACACCAAGTTCGCCCGAAGAAAGGCCTAGAACGCTTCAGCCCCGAAGGACCTTCATCTGCTCAAACAGAAATCAAGAGACTGGCTGGAAGACATGCACCTGCTTGGAGTGCTCCAGCTTGCCTGTCCCAAACAGGCAAGCTATCATCACCATGCAGCAAAAGCAAAACGCGCGCAAACATCCTACCAAAACAACTATGATACACTCGACATGTTCGAACGGAAAGCACAGCATCATTCTTGGAGACTGTCGACACATCAGTTTTGCTTTCTGCAGAAACTGCCAGCGATATTATGTACATGAAACAAATCGATAAGCTCCCCGAGAGCCTCTCAGCCGGAGGCCCGTTGACCCATCGGAGTCCTTGTTGGACCGCTCGCCAAAGCGTTTTCCGAAGCTGCTCCTGGGGGGATGGCCGAATTCAGAACACCCTGGACCCGTCTGCGAACATTACGAGAAAACCCTCGATCCTGATAAAATCTGACACATCTTAGATAAACCCTAACCCCCCGAAAAGCTTTGAAGGTAACGCCAAGGCTCAAGCGCTCCATGTTCAGAGCATGCTCTTCGCGCACTCGCAGTGGTTCTTTCACCTCTGGCAGGTACCTTAGGATGATGAAATGTCAATTCTTCTGGCAGAAGTCATACAACAAGACGGGTGGAGGCCCTTAACTATTGGCCTGTGATTGTTGCAATCTCTCGCGTAGAGGCGTAGAACTGATGGCAAGCCTCCTCTCTTGCCCACAACACAAGGCCACTGTGGCCAGCCGGTTCGCCTACAAACCGCGGACGCTTTGAACGACGAAAGAGCTTCAGCCTCCGTGCGTCCCTGTGCGACTAACCTTGCAATAACCCCAGCAATTACAAAGGCCGTTGCATGAGCCAAGAGTAAACGGCCAATCTGATCATGTAGGAATGTAGGGCAGTAAACTTGACTCTCGCGAGACTAGTTGGCTTCTTGTTGTATCAGCCGAAGTCAGCCCTACTCATGCCAAGTCACCCATTCGGATTGTAGGTCGCTCTGTAGGGTCTGAGCTCCAAAGGCATAGCCCTCGAGTCGATCTTCTCTGCCTTCTCCTCCTCCATGCTTATCCTTGGATGCTCTGGACATGTCTACTCAAAATGGCCTGACGACGTAGCTTGCCGGAACCCGTAATGTCTGCAGTGCGCTGCAGCCCGCAGAGCCTATGCCTGACCGCGGATCTCGAAATCCATCCATCAACGCTCTGACAGAACACCACCCAACACCGCGAGAGGTTTACGTGAGGAAACAACACGCACTAACCTCAACCCTCTTGCGAGGGCTCATGACAGGAACGAGTGTCAATATTGCTGGTGTTGCTGATGTTTTTATGTTGAGTGTTTCCACGAGCAAGACTCAAGAGGATGACAGTCATCCATCCATCCATCCATCCACCCGTCCATCCATCCATAGGCGACATACACATGTAAATGTCGATTTATTGATTCATGGATGGGCGGCTGGAGTCTTAAACAGGATGCTGAAGTCATGCACTAGGCTACTAGGCTGCGGGTTGAAGTTTGTAGACTTCGGTGACAAGGGTGCCATGAAAGCGCAGATGCCTTTCAGTCTGGCGCGCGGTCTGACGCTCTAGATCTGCAAGCCCTCACAGCCTGGGTCGTGAACCGATTCCCGAGGGAAGGCTGTAAATGTTCGGCCTCCCGAAACCTGAAGCCGTGCGCGCTGAGCGTCAAAGACTTCATGTACTCCAGCTGCTGCTGCCTCCGGGTTTCTTTTTCCGCCTGAAGCCCTTTGGCCCGCTCCTCCATCGCACGAGAACTTGAAAGTGTATAGAATTGGGTTTTGATGCCTTTGTCCGTAAGGACATACGATGCATACGTGGAAAGTCTATGTTAAAGCTAAAACTCTAACCACAACAGGTTCCCAAGCTTTGGCTTGCACTCCCGAGGCACCTGAATTGAGTGAGGGCGGTTCCTTTTCACCCGACAGCCCGAAACTGCCGTTCCTTGCCTTGGTTTCACATTATCTTGAGCAGGCTTTCGTCCACGTTACCACAAGGGTGAAGACTAGTTGGTGTCGATTGCCCAGCCCACTCCTCCGCCGACTCCTCCTGGTAGAGCGTCCTGCAGAAACATGCAAACCGCCTTGAAATCGAACCCATCTGCCTCTTGACTTCTGAGGTGTATCGAAACAAACTTCGTAACTTCGATGTGATGCCACGGCGGGCGCCTGGAGGCACAGGCCCTGCTCGCCCGATCCACTCCACGCTTGATTCGGTTCTCCTGCGCCCGAGAGGCTTAGGTCTCTCTAACAGATCGGACCCTGTTCCAGTCAAGGTTCGGAATGTAGTTTTAACCGAGTATTCAAAGCGTCGGCTACTTGGGCCTTTGCGTGGACATGGACGGGTCATTTGGTTCCGTGAAGTTGCATTCAAGAGCTGGCCAGAGAGTTGGAGCAGGATCTATAGCTGCCGAAGTTTATGCCATTGCTCGCAACTTCCTGCGAAACCTGGGCAGCCCGTAAATCCGCCTCGCCACATGGACCAAAGTTCAGGAAGTGTTCAAGGCACGGGGCTCAGATGTCGAGACTCTTTTTCCGATGCCCGAAACCCTATTTCCGCATTGTCGCATCCTGGTAGCTGTAGGGCTGCCGATCGGTAATGCCCTCGTACCAGGTACAGGGGTAGAGGAGATTCAGACTCTGCCGGCTCTCGCCGACCAGGGTCCTGGGCGAGATCCAAGGGTCAAGGGGCTTGTCACTTGTCTAAACTTACTTGATTCAGCATGTGGCTCTGGATGCTCGGCTTACAGTCATTGAAGCCCGCAGTTGCAAACCGCCGAGTATAGACTTGCTAGTGCGCCCCTGTGCCACTCACTGAGACTTCCTGCAGTTGAAGGTGTGAGCCCGTAGGTTCTCAGAGTGGAGAAAAACAGCTACGAAATGACGGAAACCCGGCAAAATCGACATCCATGATGCCGCTGCAACCCTTGGCGGAAAATTGCAGAAGCCAAAAAACAACGAACAAGCCAAATCTGGCACCATCAGTGTGAAAACGGAATACCCCAAAGGTTCCAAAACTCCCTGCTCCCGCCGGGCGTCCCCTCGTTCCCGAAAGGCTTCAAATGCAGGGCAGTCCCATGGAAAAGCTCCATTGGCCTTCGTCGCCCAGTGCAGGTCCGGAATTCGCTGCTGGTCGGGCTTAAATAAGCTTCTTTCGTGAAGTCTGTGCTCGGTGCTGAGCTGACGCTGCGGAAGTACAGAATCAAGTACAGTACCCAAGGGGCTTTTCCAGGACCCTGATGGCGATGAAGGGCTGCAGGATCTCCTGTTTCAGCTGTTCCACAGAGGACAGCATCTCAGGGGTTTCGATCTTACCCCCGGCTATCACCACTGCAGCAGCAAAAACACGACCACGTCGCCGGTTTGCGCAACCCTACCAATGAAAACTGGGCGATGGATACGAAACAGGTTTAACGCAGAGCATAAACCCAGTCGCGAGAACAATTCAGCTTTGGATCCTTGTCGGGAAGCATGACGTTCACTTTCTGGACTTGGAAAAACCTCAGTATTTACCAACTACGTCCAGCAAGGCTCATAGGGTTTGGAGGGTTGAGACTTTATTTCGAGCGGATATTAGGGTCACAACGCGAACCACACAGGCACAGCCTGTTTTGCTTGTGGCTCTTAGCTGTTTATTTATTCAAGGACACAAAGGCTTATGAGACACACCTCTACCGCGCTCTGCACTGCTTTTCCAATTCATGGCCCAACACGCAGACGCAGCTGGCTCTGCACTTTGAACCGGAACGCCACACCTTCTTGTCTCCATCTCTAAAGTCTCCCGGCGCACATGCTTCCACACAGAGATTGAAGCAAAGGCGCTCGAAGTTTCGACATCCCTGCTGGCCCAATGCATCGGTTTTCCATTTGTGAAGGTGGTCGTCTTTGTTGTCTTCCTGCCCTTCTTCCACCAGCTTCTCGTACTTGAAGTTCATGGAGTAGTACCTTGGCATCGCGGTTTCTTCCGTCACCCAACAGTATCAGCAGCACTCTGGCTTGTTAGATTTACCAGACGCTTCGGTCAAGTACCACCGCGAGCCTGATATACAGAATGTTGAAATCCTTGAAGCATCTTAAACACATCCAAGGCACTTGCTTCGCTTTGCGCCTTCCTCACCTTCCGGCCGCTCGAACCTTGAGAAGTTTACACTTTCCAGCAGGTTTCTGGATCTGGCGATTCAGTGTGCCTTTGGTTCGTTGTTCTCACGATGCAAGAGCACGCGCTATGGTACAGCAATGCAGCCCTGCCGGATGCGACTCCCTGAACGCAAGGCGCAACAAGTCGTGGTCTTGAGCACTATGCTAGGCAAGTGCGAGTGCACTCTCGGTGTACAGCATGGTCAGTATCCTTTCCAGACAGCGGGCTCCAATGATGGCATGAAGCATGAAGGTGACACAGACGTGCCGCCACGCCAGGTCCAGTTGGGCATCAAGCGTTTATTCTCCCGTGCGTGCGGAGACTATGGGGCCTGCCATGCCAAGAAGCATGCAGTGCAACTGCAGCTGAAGCGCCACAAATGGGCAGCTGTAGAGTCGGAAGCCAAACATAAGCATCTTAATTAAGGGACCCCCTATACTCCGAACCGAAAGTGCCACCAAAGGAACTTCTTCACCCGCACATTCACCAGGGGCTCCTCACTTCTGCCCCCCATTGGGATCAAGTCTCGCAGTCCATACCTATAGGCGGCATAGCAGGCTCGCACATAACTGGGCTTCGGGTTCGAGGAGCTGAGGGCGCTTTCGGGATCAGGCCCGAGGATGGTCTTAGATGCTGAGTGCATCATGCGGGTCAACATCAGCCGTCTGTACCATGTTCGATCTATGATGTGTTTGTCAGCAAGCATTTCCAGCCCTGGGAATTTGATAGTAGCAATGCACTTTCAAGTCTCTTGTTTCAGGGATGTGAAGGAGCAGGGCTCCAGCCCTTGATGACAAGAAAACTTTCAAGCAGAGAGACCACCGTTCCGTAAGAAAGAGATCATCGAAGAATGCCGTTGCCGCCTTTAATCTGCCAAGATGCAAGGAAAAATGGAGAGTGGCCTTTTTGAGCTTGGAGAAGTGCTTGGTTGCGTTGAACTCTTCCTCCCGAGCTCCAGAGCTTATTTCGTTACTGTACCAGCTATTAATCATCTACACTACCGGGTCACGTCGTCGCTACCACCAGGCATGTGGGCTTCGGGCCAAGACTGCGCGAAACCCAAGCACCGAGCTGTGAATGGAGACACTCACTGAGGGTGACGATGCCTTTAAAATTTTGAAACCCAATCGCACGGTGACGCCTCTGACACGGGCCACATCTGGATTGCAGGCAAATCGGCTCGGAATTTTGAGTGAAGCAGCTCGAAACCTGCACGTGAGACTGCGGCATTCTTACTGTACCCAACATGCTACACTTGGCGAGCGGGCTTGGGCTTGGAGTTTCGGGCGGCTTTGCCTTTTTGGATCAGGGGAGGAGCCACTGGCTGCCTGGCATCATCGCCTTCTGCAGTCTGCAGCCTGGAGAATCTTAGTGCGCAGTCAAAATAGAAACTCTGCTCCAATGTTTTCCAGAGCCAGTTCCTTAAGCCTTTAAACCCCATCCGCATCTTTTAGCAGCAACGTCCGCGTACCTCCGCATCCCTACTCAGCAGGCTGATGGCCCATTTCACCCCATAGCTTGTAGTACTCTATATTAATGACTTATGACAGTGGAAGTTGACAAACCATCACTGGTTACGACCCCTCCGGTGCTACTCCGACGGCATCGGGCCTATAAGGACTTCCCCCATGGCCACGCTGCCGTAGTTCCCGCCAAAAAGTTGCACCCACTGGGGTTTCAAGCCTTGGATGTTACAAGGCTCATAGCTTGCAGGTATTCAGCTGGCTCTGTGGATGAACCACAAGTTGATCTGTAGGACACTGCGGAGGTTAGCCAAGTCTTCGGATTTCTTCCGCAGCCGCTTATCCGACCGGGTCGCACTGCAAGGAAACACACCAGACTAGGTTGAAGGCTGACTGTTGGGATTCCAAGTTCGGAGGTTGCTTGAGTTGATGATGGGATCAGTACAAAAACTCTGCGTTGTTGCAGGGACATCAGAACTATGCACGCGGGATGTATTCGTCGGTTCTGTGCGGCTTGTTGTGGCGACGTTGGATAGAAGGTATCAGGCTTGTGGAGTAGAGCTGGGCGAGATGGCCTGTCTAAATACAGCTCCTGTCCTGCCAGGATGTGTCGACAAGCTAGAAACTGAACGTCTTGCAACGTACAACCGTGCAGTGCATGCGCTCTCATCCCGGACAGCACATGGACACAAACATTTGGTGCATAGCTGGTCACATCGAACCCATTGAATCAGAGACTTGAGCCTCCCTCGAATCCAAAGCTTATCCCAAGCACCGGGATTTTGCACCCCAATCATGAAGGCAGTGGCCCCACGTATGTAGTATCTTCAGGCAGGCTGCGGAAGGGCTCCCACCTGCCCATGTTGTCCTTCTGACGCATGTACCTGAAGCAGATGTTGTCACTCGGTTCATATCTGAACCTGATATGATTCAGGACACGAACGGCAGGCTTGAGGAGGCTACTTTCTGGCCTCTCCTGCCGGAGAAGTTCAGGCCAGACAAATCCCAGGCCTACTGCAACTTCTGCTGCCATGATTCAAGGTTATATAGTTTTGCCTACCACTGCCACAACGCAAGGATGACTACTCCCAGTTATCTGAAATGTTGTGGTGACCTTGCTTCTCCATAATCTATAGCCTATAGCTTTTCAAAACCCGACTTGTTGTAGACCGAAGGGACTCGTAGGTACACACCGTCTTGCCGATGTCTCTGTCGGCCTGCGAATGCGGACGACGATGCCCCCTTTCGTTTCATGCTACATAAACCCCTCTCCGCAATCCAGGGACGGGGGCTTCTGGCCAGGTCCAACGTCGCCGAAGATGGACTTTGCAGATCTATATAGGGAGGTCAGTGCACCAGTCAACGCCCAGGATCTTTCACAGCAGTATCTCGCTTTATCGACACCTCCCCCGTAGCCCGAAATAAAAGCTCCTCCTGGCCTTGACTCCCAAGACGGTCCTGCTATCCAGTAAGGTGACAGTAATTGGCTCCATCGTCGGTGGCTCCTCCATTCGGCACTCGGCTCTCTCATCAAATGCAAGAGGTTTGTGATGGTTGCACAACGAACCACAAGCACCCCTCCGACAGCCAGAATCACACTTACAAGTAGCATGTCCTTCGGGTGGTCGGAGCAAAGTGTAACTCTCAACTCCAGTGGCTTCATCCACATGGGTCGCACCTGCGAAGCTAAACACCGACTCTCCAGTGTCTGCCTACTGTCACGGCTATCAAAGCGGGCTTGAGTTCCGAGTGGAATTGTCGAAAGTTCTGATTTGCAGACATTGACCGATGGAGATGTTTTGTAGGTAGGCCTGACGTGTACAGTATACAATTTACCCGCTGCTGCGGCTCGCTTGACCTGCAGGCTGGGCTCTCAATCAGTGCATCCGTACCTGCCCGAACTCTGGCTCCGTGGTTTTGGAGATTCCAGCGCATGCCACACGCAGTGCGAGATTCGCTCCAGCAGTGTCTACCTGGCTGAGAGAGAGAAACCCATCTACTCCAACCCCGTTCAGATTTCCCCCTGCATCACATGTGAGAAGGTTGACACGCGGAGTTCAGCAGCAGGTTGAGGAGGCAGCAAGCTGCAGAAACATGTTAGGATTTCTGCGAGAGCTGCTTTGATGTTGCGGGCCATGAAAACGTACGCGCGGACAATGTAGACCATGGGCTTCACCGTCCTGTCGAGACTCGGACAACCAAGATATCTTGCCCCTGAAACCACCAAGTCTTCATAAGGTTGCGTGTCCCAACCGGGCACTTAGACTTCTTGTGAGCTCGGAGCTGTGTATAGCAACTGCGCTAAGCATCAGAACAGTGGCCATGACAGCCTGCACTTTTACACGGCGACACTAAATATGAGTATTCGTAGTCCATGGAGTGCAACACAACCATCGCTTGATCAATGCTAATTAGTCTTAGTTGCTGTTGGCGGCAATTTGTCGTGATGCTGAGAAATTAAGAGAAAGACGTGCCAAACGAATAGTAGCAGTACTGTTCGAAGGCCAATCGCATGGGTCATAATGGCATCATAATAGCACTCACAATCGCAAAGATGCTAGCGACATAAGAAACGTAGCTCTGGCGCATTGCCGCAATATATGAACAGTGTTTCCAGAATATCGGTATACCGAGGAACACACTGGCAAGTTTCGATGGCCTGCGGTTATGCCTCGGCACATCGTCTGTGGTGAAATGCTCGATGACCATGAGGACAGATCCAGGGATCCGCGCGTGCATGTTGAACCTGATTTGAGATTGCGGTTTCGACCATCACAACTCGGCGAGGGACAAGTCTTCGAGTTCATGGAGCGTCGTATCGGTGCGGCTTTTGTGTGCAACTTACGCCATTCGCTTTATATCACGCACAAACTTCGTGGCAGTGTCAGAGGTCCGCCGCATGGAGGTCTGGTACTTTTGATGTGTGTGGTTCGTCACGAACACGTTGCACCCGGAGATTCCTTCTGCATTCCCTGCACCCAGGCGGCAAAAACACTCAATGCCCTAGCTCAATCAGAGCTCAATGAACGATCCAAGCAGGAATCTTCGTAAGCTTGCCTTGGAGTCAACACGTGAGACAGTGCAATGGCCCACGTATCATACCCTGGGAGTCTTGATCTCAGACTTCTGACTTCACCTCTGCCAGGCTGCGGCATTGGTTCCAACGGGATGTAGCGCGGACGCCCGGGGCTTCCTGAGCTTCGGTCTCTCGCGGCCTCTTTCATCGGATCGCTAAACCCAAAACGTTACGAAACCCTGCTTGTATCACCACGGGAGCCCAAGATAAACCAAGCTTCCCGGCTCGTATTTTTTGAAGTTTTCCAGCTGCCTCATGGCGTAACCAACCCGGACCTTTCCGGAGAGCACGCCGCGGGTATAGACATTGACCTGGAGAGAACAGGTGCCGTGTCGGAAAAAGAGCCCACCCAATCCAGTTCAAATCTCTTTTGAAGACCTTTTCTGCCCGTGCACATACGTCGACCTACCCGACGCAGCACTAAAATTGCCTTGCAACCTGACACGACTCCTGGCGACAGTCCGACACCACACTCTGCAAGCCCTCAAGTCCCCAAACAAATGCCACACCCCAAGCTCAGAAACGGCGACAATCTCGGGACATCTCAGGCTCGTAAGAAGAAGACCGTCCCCTCCCCTGCCCCCGCGGCCCCGCGCACCATGACCAGAGGCTGCGACTTCGCCTCCTCAGGCGCCATGGTGAGGATGGGGTCGATTCGACCTTGATCCTGCGAGCGGAGCCAGAGCCGGAAGTCAGAAATAGCTGCGTCGGGGTTTTGTGAAGTGTTTGATGTCGATGTACTGCCTACCTCCTCTACGAAAGGCAACCCTACTGTTGGCAAGGTCCTGTGTGAAACTGAACGTGGTGACCTCCTCCACGTCAAAAATCTTATCGTCCTCCCCGTAGTCATGAACTACGCCCTCAGCTGCCGGACGCTGGCCAAGGACTGCCAAAGGGGGCCTACCAGGCGTGACCAGACCCGGCCGACTGATAGCAGTTTCGCATGCTTTGTGCGGCTTCTGTAGCTTGTGTAAGGCTACCTGGAAAGGCTCACTTACGAGGCATAAGCAGCACTATCCACTGAAATTTCGGATCTTGACTTGCAGTTGCTGGAGCCAGCAATTTTGCCAGGAGGCCCCTCTGTCGTGGGCTTCGATGGTTGCGATTTTGTCAAGGCCACCAGGAGACACCCAGTCTTTGGTCTCCTTGGTACTGCTCCTCGGATGGTCGGATTCGAGTGACTGACAAGACTCTATGGAGAAGCCCCATCACAATTGAGAACATGCGCATATCAGCAGCATTTTCTCTCTTTGCTCAACAATAGTTTAGCCTATCTAACCCTGTGCTGTATAGTGCTAGTGCCGAGGCTCCCAAAGGCGAGCTGGACCTGACATTCGCGGCCGGCGGCTCCACAAACCTCGCGAAGATCTGGAAACCGGAAGACTTTCCAGACAAAAGGCAAAGCCCGAAATCTGAGCGCCCAAGTCGCGATGATTTCGACGTCAGCCCTACACCCGAATGCCTCAACTTGACAATGGCTGCACATGAGACCTCATAGACGTCCGCTAGCAACGCCAGCTGCATATTTCTCGGCTCCACCGCACCTGAAAAGATCGAGACGAACTACTTAACTACTGCAGCAACCATCAGGCAAGGGAAAGGCCAGTGGCAACCGATCGCAGAACAACACCCCTCGCTTTTTAAGTCCCAGGTATAGGTGAGCTAGTGTTTCCAAGATATTCCCTTGGAGAAAGACACGAACCCGGTGAAACAAGCGCGCTAGTTCTTTTCAGTCTTGAACTTGGCTATGATGATACAGCACTTGACGAGGCTGAGGCGATAGCAGTTCTCGCTCTTGTCATTTTCCACCCTAGTACCCTATATAGGGCGCAAGCTGCACAAAGAAGGCTTACTGGGTTGCATAGCATATGACTAGCAACCGCCTAGTTAGGTGACTAGTTGGCTCCCGCGTGGCATGTCTCGCGGGCTCAATTTTTAGGTACGGTAACAGGAGGTAAGCTAATGTCAGATCAGGCGCTTCTGGCGGTTGTGATCCCTGCGGGCATCATGGTCTCGTCTGCGCCGAGCCGCTCCACACGGCCAGAGATCAGCAGCTTGCCTGCCAAAGGCCAGGACTAGGACACGATACTGTAGTCATAGTAGGCTCCAGCATGTCTTGTTGTATTCTCTGTAGCTTCATCAAAACTTTCCAACATACGACATGGTGTGTTGTTTCATGCCATGCTACTTCAGGTCATATCCTATCCTGTGATTATCATGGCTTGGGGCTTCAGCTCCCATGCCGTCTCAGGCTGCAGGAGTCTATAGCAGTCCTGCCATCAGGGCACAGTCTTTGGAGCTTGACTCACCTCTGGAACTCCTGCTCGATTTCCGGTACGAGATTACTTGAAGGTTCATGGCTAGTTATTTTGTGGAGTTATAAGTCCCCGAATATGGGCAATAAGTATAGTTACCCTACTTATAACTTATAACCCTACTTATAACCACCCATGAACCTCCAAGTAGAAACCCAAAAATCCCACTACACCAAGCCAGAGATACTGCAGGCAAACGACCATAGTTAGTTTATCAAGGAAAATCCCTGCAGTCATCATTTTGAAGGGCAGTCTCTTCAAGGACTGGTCAGGAAGCTTAGGGAAGCAAGTAACTTCAGAAGCCGCACACTGGTTTCTATTGTGTTACCCGTGGGTCTCCAGATGGAGGCCGTCGTGGCACTTCTGATAGAGCCAGGATGCCCTTGAAGAAGTTGGGCTTGATATTCTCCCCGCTCTTGGAGATCCTTGGTGTGCAATCGCGATCGCTTAAAGGATGATCGGCGTTGCTCACAATGCACAAAGTGTCACAGGAACATGTTCCGAATTGTATGGAAGCTTGGAAGAGGGCCCCTTCAACGGCACTCTGAGTGTCGAGAGCTACGGTTGCAGATGGCAACACGATATATTGACGACAAATAGAAGTCTTTGGTGGCCAAGCGACCGGAAGCCAAACGACAACCCTGGATCGCAACACCGCCCATCCGCTGCTACGTAGAAACATTTCCTAACTCGGAGATCTCAGGATTACAGCAGCACTGCCTTGCGCTGCTCCATTTGGGACCCTAACTTGGCCCTCATCCTAAAGCAGCTTGGGTCGGCCCAGGCGCTGCTTCACATCTGGGACCTCCTCAGTGTCCCAGCCATAAAGGCAGAACCTCAGCACTCGCAGAACCGCAGCCGACCCCTTCCTGTGATTTTCTCATGTCAGAGAATCGGTTTGAGCCCGTTGGGAAACTTCATACTTCCCCTTCTGGTTCCTGTAGAGGTACCTATTCATGTCGTCGTCGTCGTCGTCGAAATCGTTGTCGTCGTCCTCGTCCTCGTCGTGGTCGTTGTTGTTGCTGCTGTTGTAGTCGTCGCCGTCGTCGTCGTTGCTGTGGTTGTTGTTGCTGTTGTGGTCGTCGTCGTCGTTGTTGTTATTCTTGTTGGTGGTGGTGGTGGTGGTGGTGGTGGTGGTGGTGGTGGTGGTGGTGGTGGTGGTGGTGGTGGTGGTGGTGGTGGTGGTGGTGGTGGTGGTGGTGGTGGCGGTGGTGGCGGTGGTGGTGTGGTCGTCGTCGCCATCGCTGTCGTTGTGCTCGTGGTCGTGGTCGTCGTCGCTCTTGTTATTCTTGTTGGTGGTGGTGGCGGTAGTGGTGTGGTCGTCGTCGCCATCGTTGTCGTTGTGCTCGTGGTCGTGGTCGTCGTCGTTGTTGTTATTATTACGATTATGATTATGATTCTTCTTCTTCTTCTTCTTGTCGTCGTCGTTGTCGTTGTCATTGTGCTCATGACCGTGGCCGTCGTGGGATTGTCGTGGTTGTTGTTGTCGTTGTTGTTGTCGTTGTCCTCACGATCGTTGTTGTTGTTGTTGGGGGTGTTGTTGCTGTTGTTGTGGTTCGTGCGCGAACGGGTGCCACCTCGTAAACTACCGTACGAGTTCGCACCTGGTTGCACCCTTTGCCACGAAGTCCGAAATCCGTCGGTACAGTAGTTCGGGGAATGGTACTTGGGCTTCGGGTGCGAATTGGTGCGACCTCGTAAATTAGAGGTTGCACCCGTGGCACCTCCAGTTCCGCGCAGTCCGGAATCTGTCGGTAGTCGTAAATGACGAGGTTGCCGGTGTCGCGAAGTTGTCGTATGCGGAACGCTCTTCCAGTGGCTGGGCTTGGAAACTGCTCTTTTGGAGTACAAACTTATAGTACGCGGAAGGCCCTTCCAGCGGCCGGGCTTGGAAACTGCTCTGTTGAAGTACAAACTCAATACGCGGAATGCTCTTCCAGCGGCCGGGCTTAGAAACTGCTCTTTTGGAATACAAACTCAGTACGCGGAATGCTCTTTTAGGGGCCGGGCCTTAAAACTGCTTTTTGGAAGTACAAACGTAGTACGTGGAATGCTCTTCCAGTGGCTGGGCTGGGAAACTGCTCTCTTGGAGTACAAACTCAGTATGCGGAATGCTCTGTTAGTGGCTGGACCTTGAAACTGTTCTTTTGGAGTACAAACTTAGTACGCGGAAGGCCCTTCCAGCGGCCAGGCTTGGAAACTGCTCTGTTGAAGTACAAACTCAGTACGCGGAATGCTCTTCCAGCGGCCGGGCTTAGAAACTGCTCTTTTGGAATACAAACTCAGTACGCGGAATGCTCTTTTAGGGGCCGGGCCTTAAAACTGCTTTTTGGAAGTACAAACGTAATACGTGGAATGCTCTTCCAGTGGCTGGGCTGGGAAACTGCTCTCTTGGAGTACACACTCAGTATGCGGAATGCTCTGTTAGTGGCTGGACCTTGAAACTGTTCTTTTGGAGTACAAACTTAGTAATTACGCGGAAGGCAATTCCAGCGGCCGGGCTTGGAATCTACTCTGTTGAAGTACAAACTCAGTACGCGGAATGCTCTTCCAGCGGCCGGGCTTAGAAATCTTTGGAATACAAACTCAGTACGCCTCGGTAATTATGCGGCATAACCTCTCGTTGCGCGAAGCTGGGAATCCGTCGGTAGTTCGGGGAACGGTGTTTGGCATTCGGGTGCTAATGGGTGCGACCTTGTAATTACGAAGTTGCACCCGGTCGTGTTTGGCATTCGGGTGCTAACGGGTGCGACCTCGTAATTACGAAGTTGCACCCGGTCGCACCTCCAGTTCCGCGAAGTCGGCAATCCGTCGGTAGTTCGGGGAACGGTGTTTGGCATTCGGGTGCTAACGGGTGCGACCTTGTAATTACGAAGTTGCACCCGGTCGCACCTCCAGTTCCGCGAAGTCGGCAATCCGTCGGTAGTTCGCGGAACGGTGTTTGGCATTCGGGTGCTAACGGGTGCGACCTCGTAATTACGAAGTTGCACCCGGTCGCACCTCCAGTTCTGCGAAGTTGGGAATCCGTCGGTAGTTCGGGGAACGGTGTTTGGCATTCGGGTGCTAACGGGTGCGACCTCGTAATTACGAAGTTGCACCCGATCGCACCTCCAGTTCCGCGAAGTGTGGAATCCGTCGGTAGTTGGGGGAACGGTGTTTGGCATTCGGGTGCTAACGGGTGCGACCTCGTAATTACGAAGTTGCGCCCGGTCGCACCTCCAGTTCCGCGAAGTTGGGAATCCGTCGGTAGTTCGGGGAACGGTGTTTGGCATTCGGGTGCTAACGGGTGCGACCTCGTAATTACGAAGTTGCACCCGGTCGC